TCCGGACGTGATAAGGCTTCCTTTAGTGTCCTTGGAAAGGTCTGTGTTAGATGGACCGGTACTTGCTATTCCAGCAAAGAATGTCTTCTCTGTATCAGATGTTTCTTCATAAACCTCAGGAGTGTTAGGTTTCTCCATGGAGTTGTCATGCTGCTTTTTTCGAGACTGTTCCTCATCTAGAGTCCTTTGATAATCTTGGTTTTTGTCTGCAGGACGGGTCTGGCGACTGCTTCTGCATACTCCTAGGACTTCAGCAGGCATGACTGCTCTTTTAGGAATTTGTGCAGGTACTCCAGGGAGTAGACACATTTGTGTGTGTGTTGCTCCACTCACTCCTGAAGGTGTTGAATCACTCCTTGGAGGCATTGGATAACTCCTCGGAGGTGTTGTATGCCTTCCAGAAGCTGATCCAATGAACAGGCTGTTTAGCTGTATTTGGACTTTTTCCACATCAGCTGGCTGTATGTTGAGGGGCTGTCCTCCCACTGACTGTAACTCTACTTTGGCTTTCCATTCTGAAGATGGCCAGTGTTCAGGTCTTGGTTGTAGAGACTGTTGTGGAGGGTGTCTTAGCTGATCAGGTGCTCCCACTGCTCTCGGAACATCTTCATGCTGATATGGTTCTATTGCTTGTGGAACATCTCCTTGGAGATGTGGTTCCATTTGCAATTCATTTGGATCTCAGATCCGAGGGTCAGGATCATCCTCCTCCAATGTTTTTTGGTCTGGATAGTGAGCACTCTCTGGAATGAGTCCCTCCCACTGATCTGTGCTAGTGTCTAGTCTGTGTTCCAGGGAGCAGTGTCATCCTTTTGTACCTTTCCGGATTCATTGAATATGACATGCCGACTGGAAAACACAGTCCGTTTTTCAGTGTCTAGGAGTTTTTAGGCTTGCTTTCCATGTGTGTAGCCAATCATTATGGCTTTGCGCCCCTTGGAGTAAAACTTCCCTTGCCTTTTGTCTTTCGGAATCAAGGCATATGCTTGGCATCCGAAAGGGCAAAACAAAGTTGGATCAACTCTCCTTTTAAACAGTATTTCATATGGGGTCTTTCCATGGAGTCCTGATGCTGGGCTGCGTGCTGTGATATATGCAGCTGTTTGCATGACATCTACCCAAAATGACTTTGGGACCTTGGAATCATGGAGCATAGTGGTTGCTAATGTAGCCAATGTCTGATTCATGCATTCTGCAATGCCATTTTGTTCCGGAGTATCTGCAGCTGTAGTTTCTTGGATGACACCATCTCCTCTGAGTTGATTTTTGAATGCATTGCCAGTATATTCTCCTCCCCCATCGCTCCGGAGGAATTCTGTGTATAGTGGAGTGAAGTTTTCTTCTCCCAAATGAGTCCGGAAGAATGTTTGGACATCTTCTTTCCATTGCTTGTATTGTTCCAGTGCTTCACTTTTATGTTTTAGGAAATATATCCATGGAAATTTGGAGAAATCATCTACAATGATAATCCAGTACCGAAAACCCTCCCTGGAAGTTGGTTTGATTGGTCCTCCAACATCTGTGTGCACAATTTGTATGGGGCGCTTGGCCCAGTTTCCTCCAGTGGACTTGAAAGATAATTTCTTCATCTTTCCTAAAGCACAAGGTTCACAAAACTCCGGGGTTCCGGTAAGGGTGTCTATGTCCTGGAGCTGTCATTTTGTAACCATTTATTGCAAGCGGTCCATTCCAATGTGTCCCATTCTCCTGTGCAATAAATTTACATCTACTACTGCAAAAGCTGACTCCGGGTTGATTTCGGGTTTTGCTTGGATGTGATAAAGTCCTCGCTTGTGTAATGCAGTGAGGATAAGTTCCTCCTTTTTCCGAACTTCACAAGCATTTGACCCTGCTGGAAAAAGTGTTGATAACCCCATTTTGGACAATTTGTGGACAGAGACAAGTGCTAACGTGAAGTTTGGCACAAGTAAGACATTTGACAGTGCAATATTGTAGTCTTTTTTGCCAACAGTTGCTTGTAGGATTACTGTTCCAATGCCAATGGCATTTGCAGAGGATTCATCCCCAAAACTGATTGTCCTCAGAGGATGCAGAACATGGTATGTTCCTGGCTCAAACCAGGAGCAGTGAGGAACCATGTGGGATGTTGCTCCGGAGTCAATAATAATTGTTGTTTTGGTCTTATCGGGTTCCAACACAAGGTAAGCTTGAATGTGTTTAGCAAGGGGCTTGGAAATATGTACATGTTCCAACGCAATGTGACTCTGTTCCTCCTCGGAGTCAGATCCAGATGATTGCTCCGCCGTATTTGCCTTTTCCTTCTTCCTTTGACCTTTTCCGGCTGACTGAAGTGTTCGACACTCCAAGGTGTTGTGTGTTTTGGCTTTGTGGAAGTCACACCACTTCTCCTCGGATTTGAGTGCTGTTTTGGAACCTCCAGGGGCCTTCCCTGACTGTCATGCAACTTCTGCAGTGATCCGGATCTCAACTGCATCAAAGGTAAGTTTATTTTCTTCAATCGTGTTGATTACTGATGACTGAAATATTTGCCATTCAGGAGTGCATGGGAGAGATTGGAGAAGAGCGAAGGCCATGGGTTTGGTATCAACTCCTAGTTTCATTCCGGAGAGGTGTGAATCAATTGTGCAGATTTTTGCAATGTGGTCCTGGATAGGTGATGTCCCATCCCAGGACAATTTGGTGAGTTGCTGGAATGAATAGAAGGCCGAGGCAATGTTGGACGTCTGATGGAGTGAGACAAGTTTATCAAATAACTCTTTGGAGCTGGTGAGGTCTCCAGTCCTCATTAAGAGGGCATCAGAGATGTGGTCCTGGATGATTCCATGTGCCTTCTCATCCTTAAGTATCCAGGTGATCTCAGGATCCTCCGAGGAGGTAGGTTTTCCTGGTGAGGGCTTAAGCTCCTCTCCAGTAACAACCCGGAGAACTTTTTCCCGACGTAGCTTTGAGATGATCCGGAGTTTCCATATTTGAAAATTGTTGGGTCCAGTGAGAACTGGACATGCGGATGTATTGTGTGCTGTGGTCATGGTTCCAAGGTTGCCGTTTTAAATAAGAATTATTTCCTGTGTAGCTTTTGCGCACCAGGGCTCATAACCTAATAAAACTAAGTGAAACTCAGCCACTGCCCGAGAGGCTATAGAAACAACTTTATTATTTACCTAAGTGAAACTACAATACATGTTAGTTTAAGGTGATCTCTAATAAATGTAATGTAACATACCTCAGCCACTGCCCGAGAGGCTATAGAAACAACTGAGGTATTCTTATACTAAACCCCCTACTACTTATAGTCGGAGGTGCTACTTGCTACAGTATAATGACTCCTAGGAGAACAATGGTTACTCCATGGAGTGGTGGCTATGCTCCATGGAGAACAATGGCTGCTTTGGCAGAGACCGGGTTTATCCGGTTTTGTCATCCACCACCACTTAATGGTACAATACTAATGAACAGTAAATCTGGAAACTTTTGCTTTAATCTTAGTCCCTAATATTTTTCTCCGCTTCATTTCCAACCAAGGTAGTATTCCAACAACTCACAACCAGCACCAGGCTTTGAACTGTAGTACTTCACTCAATATGATCGATTGGCCTTCAAATGTAGCGTCAAATATTCAGAGAGAGCCTGTATAACATGCATGAGTTGAATGAAAGTGTTGGTTTACCTGTTCCTGTAGCGGTCACAAAACAGCACATTCCCATTCCTGCCATCAATAAGGCTCCCAATTACTTCTAGTTGGTAGTCATGTATCATGGGGCATCCGGGTATCAATAATGTATCAATTAAGTATATGGCCTTCATACTGCAAGGCAAAAATACAAAGGTAGATTGGCCATATTTGCAGGACTGAGCGACATTGAGTTGGATTGCTTCGACAGACACGGCAATATGGACGCGACATGTCTGTTTGTCCCCACACATGACTTGCTTAGGGAGATTCCTGTACTATGGTTTTTGTCCTCACTTTGGATGCAGACTATGCTCTACTAAGGTACTGCAATCTCAGTTTCAAATATTTCAGGTGTGCCACACTCAAAATCATGTTCAACCACTGATAGTGCCGAACAGAGCTCCAACTCGGCTTGTGTAACCTCTGTGACGTCCGAATAGCCCACCCCATCCGAACTGACGGTTAACAACAGTAATCTTTACAGACCGACAGTGGTCTCATTTTCACGGCCGTGTCCCGGTATCGCACTGTAGTCGGATCAAAGGACTCCATTTACAAGTAAAACACGGACGGACTGTAAATTTATTATTGCCGGACTATTGGGTTGGGTGTGTAGATATTGTGCCTTGAGCGCTTGAGCTTGAGAATCTTGTACGCACACGGAAAAAAACTGTTCGGTATGACCGCGGCCCTGACTTGAGTTTGTCTTATTTGTGATGGAACCTGCCCAGGAGAGGCTTCTGACAGGCCTTCGAAGGCCTGGGAGCTTCCGCGGCGGCGGGACCTGCCTCTTTGAATGACCGATGTTTTCTCCCTTCCATACAGATTGATGATCTGCTTAGAGGAGACTAGAGTCTTTGCTTGTCCCGACCGTTTCTCGAAAAAACTTGAAGACGTGATGATCACTCACACTATCCCATCATACTGCCATCTGAGACGTTTTGCTGGTATCAGGTTCGTAACGAGGAAGACGAAGCTGAGGCTACAGCTACTCAAGTAGGCTTGATTTGGCGCATTGAAAGGATAGCGCTGCTCGAAAGGGAGCCCTGAGTCCATTCTACAGGCTGGCACAACTGACCTGGCACAAGTGTTCAGTTAGACTAGCGCATCATGATGATCATGATGGCAAAACGGCGTACCGTTACACGTACACGTGGTGCGTATTACGTCTATCGGTATCAAAGTGCGTAAAGCTTAAAGCATCTGTCAGGTGCCACAAAAAACCACGCGAGCGAAAACGAAGCCAAAAAACGTGCTTCCACGTGCGCCGCACGCGATCTTTGGACTTCGTTTTAGATTCGTCCATCTTTGGTGATCCCCGGTCGGATAATACGTCGAAAGTGATATAGAAACAGAAATACATGATGTGAGAAAAGCTTTTCCAAACCCAGGAAAAGTAGTAACTTGCCTGTTTGAGCGGACAGTCGTGAATGCAGCTGTGCTATATGAGTTCTCGGGCACATTCGAATCTCTAGGGGCCAAACACATTTTAAAGGGCCAGTCTGCTGAAGATGGTTTTCATTCCCCTAAGGTTGCACACCCACAAACGCTACTGTCGTATGTAACACTTCCCATACTTTCTCTTCACCTCGTATGACAATATTTATGTCTAACCCCAAAACTGTTCTAGTTATTTTACCAGCCAACATTACCAGCAATGGGTGCCTTCCCGTCTCGCTCACGTGGTGAAGTGCGCGAAAGCGACCAACTTGGCACATCACTCAGTTCAAGGCCTCACCATGGTGCACAAGCACCCAACTCAGCCATCAATGTTACAAGCCGCTCATTCTACTTTGGATTTATCGTAGTGCGGGGCACAGACAATGGTCCAGGTACTCTCGATTATCTACCTGAAGGGATAGTTTATAACATCTCCCCCAATACCTCCCCCAATACCTAGTGGTGCAGTCACTCCCGCCTGCTAGTGGGCCAAACCATATGCACACGGAACATAGTCCAAGAGGGCTAGACCACCCACACAATCAGAGTCAACCCACCTAGTACGTGCCTACATTTCATCCGTCAAGAAGACAATCAGACAACTGACCATAACATCTCCTATCACTACAGCAGAAACTGGGGAGACACCATATAGAAAACATCCAGCATTCGTGCAATGCGAGATGTATACCATATAATATGTGCCCGTTGGTTTGCAAGTTGAGATTCAAGCTTAACATTATGAAGAATGTTACGTTGGATGCCGGTTTCGATGGTAATGGAGCTGCAAATATTGGCAATTTCTTTCCTGTGTGCAAAGATCAGATACCACAAAGTTATAATAGCTCAACGGACTTGAAACCATTTTGATAATGAATAATCATCAGACTAGTATACACACACTTCAAATCCTTAGCCCACGGATATCATTCCATCATCTATATTGATTATATTGAACACAACGCTGTCCGTGGAACTTGGTACATCTTTATCTGAAAAAACGCTTAGCGAGGCATTAAATAGAGGTAGCATTGACCCAGTAGCCCACGTATCGCTACAACCTATCAAATCACGTCCTCGATTCTTCCCGCACACCTGCCAGCAACAAATTATGTCTCCAGTAGCCGCCAGAAATGCCATGACACCAGCCACCTGATGTTTGAAAGCAACGATGAACCACAGCTACAGCTAGACTTCTGAGTAGCTGAAGTGCTACCGTTCGTTTAAATCTTATCTTTTTCTCATTGCGCATTGGCATACTTCCTATTTTACAATCATGGAAAAAGATCACTTTCGTCGTGAGCAGTATCACATAGTACAGACCAAATAATGTGACTGCACCTTTAGAATGGAGCCACAACGGTAAAAAATGACGGTGAGCAGAGACTAAATACTGTGGCTGGATCCCCAATCGTTCCCAACGGTTCATGGATTTTTTAATATTTGACGTCGCATGTTTTAAATAGGAGAATCCGGGTGCTGTGGAGTGAGTGTAGAGAAAGGGGGTAATTACGCGGCTATTCACCGGTCGTTCAACTTTGTGGATGTAAGAGACAGAGACGAGGTGCCAAGAGAAGACGAGAAAAGCAAAGGATAATGGGCGTTCAAGAGGTTTGATTTATTTTTTTCTATAATCCCAGTCGTATCGCATCGCATTCTCGAGCTTAGCATTTTCCCAAAGTAAGCCACCAGTATATGGGGAGGTAGAACAAAGAAAGAAGGAAGAAAGTGGAAGAAAAGTGGCTACCACTCGTCGCCCTCGCCCTTCTCACCCGATCTCATGTTCAGATAAAAGCTGTCCCACCAACGCCAATACATAAATCAAAACGAAGGTGCAAATCAGGTCACAAGGAGAAGATCAACCGATCAGTAAATGGAAAATTGCAAGAAGACGACCGCGACAGCGCTTACCATGTTTGGAATCCCGTTCGAGATGGGGTAGATATGTTTACAATTCGAGCAGACCATCGCACCTTCGGTGATGTGAATCTAATTCAGGAGAAGTGAAATAAGTGAGGAAAAGACATAAAAAAGCGAAAGATGAAGGTAAGAGACAAAGAAGTAAGGGATCGAAAACCCAAAGAATTGACTAAAAGAAAAGAAAAGAAGGAGAGCTGAATGTGAGGGTGGAAGAAGACAGGAATGTACCTCGAGCAATACGTGGTGTAGTTTTTGAAGGACATCGTCGTCTGTCATCTCTGGTTGTTCCGGGGGCAGCGACGTATCGCCCACCTAGTGATTCGTCGTTAATCATTCATCGTCCATCAAGCCATCAGTCGTCATAATCAGCATAGCTTTACGAAAATGACAAAAAGGCGATCCTAGAGCGTATCGCTTTTGAAGGCACATCATGAATGGCGTCTCTCACCTGTTTAGCAGCATCCACTAACGCGCCCCACTCCAGCCTCGGCAGGAGGTTGCGCACGAAATCAGGGTTAAACTCGGCCTCTTGGAGCTCTATCTGCACATCTTGGAATTGGAGAGGAAAGTTGTTGGTCGTGCAGCCTTTGACGTGGCAGGCGAGGAGGTTATGCGTGATAAGGCGCACCATGGCGAGCCTTTACAAGTGTGGTTGGAGCAAGAAATTATATTATCGGTTTGCAGGTGTGATCTAATCGAGGATTGCTAAATTTGCAAAAAAAGCTTGATATTACTATTACATCCGAAACTTGGCTTGAATCAAATCTAAGTGCTTCCTCTGCATTCGTCCACACAGAACTATGCGTCCTCCTTCGCCATCCATACCTGAAAAAGAGTTTCTTTATAACGCCTTGAAAGAATCTCTCCGCCTCGATGGGCGTCAGTTTCTCCATACACGAACACCAAGTCTCACATTTGGCCCCGAGCTAGGATGGGTCGAATGTGCTATGGGCGACACACGGTTTGTCTTTTTCCCTTTCTTTTATCACCCTTTTCCCTTTTGCTCTAGTCTTAAAATTCTCACTCTCACCTTTCTTCCTCTCTCACCATGTATATACGCATACAACTTCCAGGGTGATCGCACAAGTTGACGGCAAGATGGTCAAACCACTCCCTGAGCGGCCGTTCGAAGGGATGATCACGATTCATTCTGAGATATCTCCCATGGCATCTAGCGAGTATGAACCCGGTCGGTAGGTACGTGACATCGCTCGTCAGTTCCTCCCGCCTCACCCAAGGTTCTTATCCCACTCATCGTAACGGCGTCACCTACATTGCACATGCTCTTCGTTCCTGCGTTTTTCTAACCCAGGCCGTCAGAAGAGGAAGTCATCATCACCCGAATGCTAGATAAAGTCATACGGAGAAGTGATGCTGTCGACAAAGAGTCGCTTTGTGTCTTGGCAGGACAACGCGTGAGTCTTCTCCCATGCCCCGTCGCTTTATGCGCTGCTTTTACGATTGTGTGCGAGTTACTGACATGATAACGATAACGAATAAACGCGGGATTGGTAAAATTTCAAATCTAAAACTGAATAATAGGTCTGGCATCTTCGTCTGACGATTCACTGTCTCGCCGATGCTGGAAACATGCTTGATTGCGCCTGCCTGGCAGGTATCGTCGCCCTCAAGCATTTCCGAAGACCAGAAGTAGAAGTTATTGGCGACGAAGTAACAATTGTACGTTATGCTCCCTCTTCACACCTTCCTCCTCTCTGAAATTATCCACTCCATCGCATTTCACAATTCACATTTCAATATCTCAATTCTTCACAGCACGCTCCAACAGAACGAGCCCCCATCCCTCTCGCAATCCACCACACCCCATATTGCTTCACCTTCGCCTTCTTCCCCGACCCCACCATCCGCCCCGTCGTCGACCCAACACTCCTCGAGCAAAGACTCAGCGCTGGCTTACTCACTATCGCCCTCAACGCCCAGCGCGAAATTTGCGTTTTACAAAAAGCTGGGGGAACCCCCCTCGCGCCTAACGAGATCTCCAACGTAGTTCGTATTGCGGTGGGACTGGCGAAAGATCTAGATCAGCTCGTCGAAGCCAGGTTGCTAGAGGATTGGGAGGGTAGACATGTGGAAGTACGATGAGATGAGGTGCGTTGACAAACTTCCTCTTCACCGTCGAATTCACCCGTGTGCTCATCGCGTTTCTGAATAGGAAAGGGGAAAGATTGCTCAAAACTTGCTTGATATATAGCAACGACAGTAGATGATTAACATTATATACGAAGATACAGGTTTTAATTGGGACCAAAAAAATGGGGTTGAGATGCAAAACGTTACTGCCAGTTCAGCATCCAGGAATGATGTTTCGTGACTCTAGTATTGAGTCGTCTATGGGCTCAACTTAATGAGATTCTCTACACCCCTCTAACATCTAATTCCTAATCCACGCGAGCACGCTTCTTCGCTGATCCGTTCGTACCATTGGTGTGGCCATTGCTCTCAGGTTCACCAACAGTGGCAAAATACTCGAGGGAACCTTGAGGGTTGGGCTTGATGGTCTTCGAGCCTTCCGTCCAGCCCAACGGGCACACCTCACCGTGAGCATCCTACAAATTAACATAAAAGCATAGTCAGAACAAAACCTCCGCGGGGGTTGTCTCAATCTTACCGTAAACTGGAAAGCCTTCACGAGCCTGATAGTCTCCTCTACTGAGCGACCAACAGGCAAGTCGTTCACTGTCATCTGTCTATATAAACATCACGAATGTCAGCATTTCTGGGTTCGCCACATCATACTGAGAAGGGAAGACTTGCCTCACGATACCCTTGGGGTCGATGACGAATAGCCCACGCAACGCGATGCCCTCCTTCTCGATCAGGACACCATAGTCCCGGGAGATGCTCATGCTCTTGTCAGCAACGAGAGGAAGCTTAAGGTCGGGTCCGAGACCACCCTGCTTGCGTGGCTGTTGCGACCATGCGAGATGTGAGAAATGCGAGTCGGTCGAGACGCCTGAGCACATAGATAGGGTTGTATGAGAAGGGTTTATGTAACCCGACAATGGAACGAGAGAACGTACCGAGTACCACCGTTCCTATCTCTTTAAACTGAGCCAGCGCATCATTGAAAGCCAATATTTCGGTGGGGCAAACGAAGGTAAAGTCACTGAGCATAGTCATAAGCCATCGGGTTCAGAGCACTGCTGCGACATGTACTTACAGAGGGTAAAAGAAAAGAACAACCCTGTGAGAGAGTCAGAAAGACGAAAATAACACGCGTGTGCCGTTTCTACTGGCAAAGGAACAAAACGCACCACTGTCCCAAGAAGTCCGACAATGAAACATCCTTGAACTGACCTTCAATCACAGTCGTGGCAGTGAAAGAAGGAGCTGGCTGTTGAACGAAGGCTACCATGGTGAAAGAACGCGTCAGACGATGGGTGAAGCGAAATGAAAGCACAAAATATGGATGGGTCGCGCCATTTGCACAAAAATATTGACGCGTTGTTTGTCTCTATTTCTCTGTTCCACGGCCCATATTCTAGTCCCAAATAGGAAGGAGTTGTAGAATGTTCGTCGAGATGAGCGCGCCAACGCTACCCAAACGCATGCTCTCGATACGCCCCGCACAAATATTCACAGCTCATAGATGAGGCAATGCTTTAACTTTTTGAGACGTAGACAAGCCCACTTCAGTGATCCGTCAAATCGACCCTGGATGTCACTCTCAGATCCGTCAAGTGCATTGAACATCGAGTGGCTTTGCTCGAGGCATTCCCATCAACACCAGGAATCAAATTTAATCTTAACGGTGCGACTTTTTCTGTGCATTTTCATTAAACCACCGCCCCAATCTGTCTTCCCGGTGCACCACACTGCACATGATGGAGATGGGCTTAAATTGGCACACGCGCTGTGATCGCGCCGTTCCTTGATAGGGGCTCCAGATTGGCGCCTACCCAAAGGCGAATGGTAGATGGATCTGGAATCTAGCTACTGTCAATGACGTTTGCAGTCTCGCTTTCGTATGGGACAACAGCCGTAGCCATGTATTAAGGAAGCATTTGTAGCTACAGAACGTGGTATCCATAGTCTAGCGACTTTTGCTGAGGTGGTACCGTAATTAGAAATTGGTATAATAATATTAAAAGTCTCTCATGGCAAATTCGTATCTTGGATACCTCTACTGACAACTCCCCCTCCCTTACACACCAATGTCCCAGTGGTTTCCTCGACAACCACGTCTATACCGCAGGAGAATGGGTATGGTAAGCAGTCCGTGGCGCGTAAGGCGGCGGTAATTCGACTACCCTCGTACCACCGTCGTTCCTTTGTAACGGGATTAGCCGTGACGGGCGAACAGCCGCTTGCGATAATTCTGTAGGGTTTGGAGAAGTAAAATTTGGAGGAGTTGCGTGAGGATCCGAAGTCGTGTGAATAGCAGATGTAGGAGGTGTGTGCGCCTTTCGTCGACGTGCTCTTCTCCGTGCCGGAGGTCCTTGTGGCTGTGGTGCAGCTTCACCGTGTCCGCCAGAGCTCCCGGGAGCAGAAGGTGTCTCGTTCTCATGGGAGTTCAAGTTACGCAGAATGATGATGTCGGGGTTCTGTGGTCGAGCACGCGATCTTGATTCTCGAGGCATCATTGACAGTACATTGGCCACAGACCTCCGCACCGAGTTCCACGACTGCACACGAGAACCGGTGGAGTTGGGAAAACCGAGAAACGGCCTAGGGGTGTACGCCTCTTCTCGCTCTTTCTGCCTCTGCCTTCTCCGCGTCCATAAAATGAGGGCTATGATAACTACAACAAGGGCCACGCAGCCGCAGACGACGCCAATTATAGTGCTTGTGTGCCTGCGAAATAGAAGCCTGTCAGTTTTGAAAGTGCATATATAGCAGACCGAGCTCACTGAGAAGATGGTGGTGGCGGAGACGGCGGCAGCGGAACACTTATAGCGCGGATCAATGGCAGTGCAGTGAAAAATGGAGAGAGAACGTACACGCTTGAAGAATTTACGACAACATAGTCTATCCCAAGAGCACTTGCATTCCCCGTAGGATTGTTGCGAATAACTAGGCGATGTTCGCCTGCAGAAAGGTTGTTGTGGAGATATATCAGATTGCTCGAGAGCCCCTGTACTCGCGTATTTGGTAAAAACTGTGTGGGAGATGCATCGTCGACATGGACAATGAAAGGTGCCTGAGCTGCACTAACGGCACCATAGACGGCGACACTCTCTCCTGTACAAGACGATGTTAATTAAGAGAAAGATTGAACATTTATGTAAGTACCCTGCTCGATCAAACGGTGATAAATATGCGTTCGAGGGCAAGATGAATAAACTTACTGTAAAGTTGAGATGCATGGCTCCGGTGGCGCTGTCTGTCATACTAACGGGGGAAAGTTTACACTAAGAGCGTATAACCAGGACGACAGACAACTCACTAATAGCTGGATTGAGCACTCCATCCAGCACCATAAGAACATGTATACCTAAGAGAAGTGTTTTGGTAGTCAAACCGTGAAGATCCCACGTTCTCGCTGTCGAGATAGGTTTCAAACAAAAGCTACCTGGACTTCAGCAAGAGATGTACAACGAATCGATGAACATACATAGTCTATGTCTAACACATCCCTCTGAGTGTCATTACTAGTGTTCGTCATCTCAATATAGTGGGAGCCGGACGATAGGTTGCGCTGGCCAAACAGCATCGCATCAGCCAGTTGCTCGGTGCCATACTGATAACCAGGAAATTCATGACGCTTTCCATCCAAGTTGACCTCGTATGGTCCCAGACGACTCCGATAACCGCCAAACAACCTAGGGTGCATGAGCACAGAGGTCAAACAGCATGTTTCATGTCGATCGAATAAACATACCATATCCCAGTCCCAGTAAAAGAAAAAGACACGCTTGCTTGGCCCAGAGATGAATTGTTGGCGTGATAACTTTGTGTCGCGTAATTCGACTATAGCGGTCGGAAATCAGATGAGACGCCATCACATAAACGACATGCTTACTAGCATGGTGTCGTTAGGAGGTGCTTCGAACCATAACGTCTGGGGGACGTAAAGAAGCAAGGGACTGGTGTTCGTTACGGTAGTGTTGAAGTACATTCGCCTCCCTCGAGAGTATCAGTCGAAGGAAAGAAGCAAAGAATTGCAGATTAACCAAGCCTTTTGGGGTAGAGCTAGATAACCATGGGATAACAAGGCTGGTATCGCCATCAACCCCGTGAGTTGGAATCATCATCAAACGTGACACCGCAATTGCGAAGTTGATGAAATGTGAGAAGCTGAGACAAGGGGTAAGGTATCACTGGTGAGATGTGCAGTGCGGCGAGTTTGGTGGAGGTGAGAAAGCGGGACTGCTGTGATGAACCCCAGGCCAATAATATAATCGAGGCTGTCCCTGGGCGTTCAGTTTGTTCACCGGCCGGTGGCTTTGGCGGAAATACCCACGCCAGTGAGAGTAAGGCATTGGCCTCTTTGCATGAAATGGACCACAGCCAAGATCTTCACGAACATCAGAGGCGATTGCATTTGAGGCTGAGAACCGTTAGATTATCGAAAAGCAGAGAAGAACGACATCTTTGCAGCCAAGTCTGTTCTGAAAGAAATGCCAGGGCACTTACATACTAGTAGTAAGGACACTGGAACCTGAGTACAGCCAAGAGGCCGGTATTCATAGGATAATGAACACGAAACAAATGCATGCTAAGACAACCGTAGTTCCCTTAGACTTTCGGACGGATGGTTTTTCCTGAGTGGAGATGAACCGCAAAGGCAAGTTTAGCGAACCCAGCGGAGGGGAATAAGATACTGCTCAATCATATCTGGCCAAATCTGAAAGATAAGCCAAAGACGCTTCCGAGATGTCAGTTTTGAGTTCCCATGAAATTGCTGGCTATAATCGTAGGAAGAAAAGCCAATACAACAAATCTGTCGCAAACCATTAATAGATAATGAACACAGCAATACGTATAGCAACAAAGTGAGTAAAGCGCACTATCTTCGGCTCTAGATCTTCGTGGCATGGGAATCAGTGAAACTTTGAAATGGAAGGGCGATGGCAATCGTAAAAAAAAACAAAAACTTCGGATACGGGGAATCGAACCCCGAGCTGCCGCGATCTCATGAGAGGCGGCAATGTTAGCCGTTACACCATATCCGACTTATAACTTGTACTCCAAGTATTGATATTGTGGGCTGCTGATATGTTCTGAAAATGTTGTCAGAATTAGACTACACATCATTTGTACAACGGTCACCGTACAATAGCCCGCTGACTGGACGTGTCCGTCGTTGGCCTTCTTGATTGGTCCCCTGAGATCAAGGATGTTGCACATGGCCCCCAAATTGCTCAATGACTCCTCCCTGATGGGCTATCAGTTACCTCACAATCACGTCGACAACTCTGACACTGTGAGCGCTCCGTGTAAACGCGCAGACTTGCTTACAATGGATATTGTTGCTCCTTCTGTTCCAGAAGGGACGATGAATAGAAAATAGTAGCCTCGATATGGTAGCGCCCAACGTGTTAGGTAGGTGTTTTTTGATCCTGTCATGCTTGTAATGATGTTTGTCCACAATGCGAGATGCGCCCAAGAGGACTGTGACTCATCCCTAGCGCTGAGCGCCGGCAAGTGCGACGTCTGCCAGAAGAATAGATTGAGGGATGTTTCATTTTCTCATACGTGCTGTATGGGACGCACGGGCGAGAAGTCAAGTAAGCTTCCATGTCTCTCCTTGTTCGCAGGTACGGATAGCCTCTGTTGAAAATTGATACGATAACACCTTGCGATCATTGATTATAACAATTCTCTTCCCACATACATCCTAATAGAGCCAAGCCTCAGTTCTCTGTCAATTCCTGTTCGCTTTGTATAAGTTAACACGGACCTCAGCACAGCGCGATGAGCTATCCTTGGGCTGGAACACTCACAACACCCGCTAGTTACGCCTCACTCCATAACGTTGCTTGGCCGCATACTTTCTCCACTTTTGAATGTCCTCTCGACCTTGTAGCAGTTCAATTGTATAGTACTCGCGAGCCAGTTCATCGTTGTTAGCAACGTGGTGCACAACAGTATGACAAGGTCTAAAACGTAGAAACGAAGAGTTACACGAGTATACAAGGAAACTCACAGATCAATCAGCTCTCGGTCACTTACCTACACAGCCATGCCACTGAGTTGAGCATCGATTCGGGATGCAAGTTCTTCTTCAGAACTTTGGCGTGCGTCGCGCGGGGTATCAAGTGATGATAGGTCAAAGGAATTTCTCGCTCGCATAGTTCGCATTGCTTCGTGCGCGTTGAAGACCAGACCGGAGGTGGGGCGCAAACAAGGCCGATGTAGTCCCCGACCGCCTTCCTCAGAAACTCCAAGGACTCGTCATAGTCAGATGTAAGCCCATATGCGACGAGCGTGTCACCAAAAGCAACTGGTGTGTTTTCGAATGAGAGGTCGTCGGGGCTTGGAACCGTGTTCCTCGTTTCGTATGAAGCCTGACGAAGAGTCGTTGGAAATGCAGGCCACGCTTCTAGGGCAAGAAACGAAGCAAACTCGTCGAGCTCAGAGTCACTGTCATTACTGCTGTCGACGACGAAATCCGATAGAGATATAATACGACGAGCCAGACAATCTTTGAAAGAAGAGAATTGGAGAGATCCCAGGTCCGAGTGTGCCATCAACTGCAACGTTATATTTCAACATGTATGTCAGGAATATTCGAGCATGGACATTGGTCTACTGAATTCGTGCACTTACTATCGCTGTTTTGGCCATACAATCGTAAGCTGCATAGTTTTCCAGAGCAGCTTTCAGGAGTTGCGTCGTGTCAGCGGTCCGAGTCGTTCCCAAGCACTGCCAGAAGCGCAGAACATGTATAACCGTGGGTCCGTGACATTACGTACTGCTCTATGCCAGCCAGCGTATACACTCTACAATGAACTTCATTTTCCAAAAAAAAAAAAAAGAGCGGGAGAATAGTGGTGTAAGTAGAGGGGTATTAAGTTACAGACGATGCAGCTACAATGGTTAAATAGCAGGGGAAGGCAGCATATAGTGGCCACGACCACGATTATAGCCTCATCTAATAAACGATTGTCCGCAAACAAAAACAACACAGTGCATCAGGCCATCCCTTCAAGCCGTCGCATGCATCACACCGCAAAAACATGGCTACAACACTCTGTGGTTGTGATTATGTATCAGCAGTCCGCGGGGGGAAAAAAAACTACTTCAGGCGGTAATGCATAACGAGCTCAGCAGACTGTCGCCAGAAATACTGTCGCACAGCCGCCAACGTCATGTCCAAGGGTAACACCGAGTTGTTGCACAAGATCTCGTAAGTGTCTTCGGCTTTTGGTCGAGAACTTTTGGGGGAGGGTGAGGGTGAGTCTGGAGAGCGTGGAGCAAAGGGAGAAGGGGGTGTACTGGCAGCAGGGCTCGCTGACGGATGCGCTAGTTTTTCCAGCTTGTCTTGGACCTGAAAATGCATATCAGTACAAAAGCAAATTTTACGGAAAAGTAGTTTTATTTGGAACGAACATGGTGCGTGAGTTTTCGAACCCGCAAAAACCGACTCGCGGTTAGTTTAGATTGCGCACTGGATAGGGGGGGTACGTATTCAGCTTCCATCTGTTTTCCAGCTTCTTGAGTAAACTCACGTATTGAGTAATTCTGGAAGCTGTTCCCCATCCGGATCATGCTTCGGCCACGGCAACAAAACAAAGCTAACTTTGACAGGTGGAGTCGAAGAAACCTTATTCAAAAGAAGGTATTCCAAAAGCCACATGGGTATCGTCTCCTCCAACGTATAAACATCTGCCGAAGTGCTTGAAACGTTGCCCCGATAAACCGTTCTCCACCCCGGATACGCCTCATCAGAAATGATAATCGAAATGTCCGGTGGTAGCGAGAGAGTTGGCAGTTCACTTGAGGAAGGGGGCGACAGTGGACCCGCCAACAGGATTTGTACTGGGGTCTTTTGCGCCTGGTCTGATGTTTCCTGGAGAAAAGAGACAAATAGAGCAATGGCAACGTATAAGAAGCGGCAAAAAAGATGCTCACCTCCGGGATAGTGGGCGTCTCCAAAGAATCAGCAGAAGCACCTATAGTCGGTGACCCAGGCCCGGATTCTGTATTTGCCCTCCGATGGTTGTTCTTTCCAAAGCTCTTCAGACGGCCCATAAGCCCACTAGGTGTGCTGGGCGATTGCAAACCCGAAGAGTCACCACCACCTGCTCTCGAAAAGGTGCCAGGACCACCCCAGCCAGAAAAATCGTCTCCTGCGCTTGATGTCGACGGGCGGCGCGCACGCGAAGAGAAATAATCAGTCTCCCGTGGTGTGCTGCCGGAGGTGGGAGGACCTGTCGAAGAACTATCTAGGTTTGTGGTCCGGATGGGTCCAGGCATCGGTGTGAGCTCATTACTCAACGGTGTAGGAGACTGAGGGATGGAAGACAACGGTAGTGAAGCTTTGAGGGAATGAAGTGGTATTCTAGGGGTAAGCAAGGGTGACGGACTGGTGAGTAAGGGGGCAGTAGGAGTCACAGCGGGTATCATCTCGGAGGACGACACGACGATGCTAGAAGCGGGGGCAGCTAGCCGTGCGGATCTCTTGGAGGAGGCAGACCCAGGTCTATTGAGTGGGGAGTTTCCATTGAGGTCGATGTGTATTGGAGTTGATCCCCGATGTATTGTCGCGTAAGGAGATTCATGTCCGTCGCGTTTCTTCCGGGCACGCTGTTCCTCTCGGATGAAGCCAAGGAATAAATTTCTCAACACCCACTTGCCAATATTAACTACACCAAAAATTTTCGCAAAAGGGGGTGAAATCATAGATCAAAAAGTACGCACATCTTAGCTCATCACTGAAGTGACGTTCAGACCCGAATCCAGCTTCATCGGCATATATCTCAGCCTCAAAACATCGCTCACTGATATGAATGGTTAGCACTCCAGTTTTTGTGTCCACATTTGACCATGGCGACACCACAGCCTCTCCCTCAATGCGCTCTCTGACAGCCTCCAATGCTTCTCGTGGACTTCGCTCCCTCTCACCCCCACTACTAGTCCCAGATACACTCCCGCACCGACTTGCGGCCGCGACATCTTCACGCGGAAATCGTCCTAGACAGATCCCTCGCACAATATCCCATACAGCCACTTCCCCCGATGTATCTACAGTAAGTGCATGTATACGATCATTTAAAATTATAGACCGTACGAGGCCATGATCTCCCGCGATTATATCGTCCGGGATACGGTTGAAAGGTACAGCATCGGCAGCAAGCTCTCGTTCGTCTAGATCCGTACGTGGTAAACCAGTTTCACTACTGAGATTATCTCCCCGTAAAGTAGCCGCATTCGATTGAAACGTCGAAACAAATGGTGATTTTCCTCCTGGAACAGAGACTATTGAGGCAGCAGAATATAAAGTTGCGACGTCTGCATCGCGCCCTCGAGGATGAAATGCTGTGGGCGAAAAAGGGTCATTGGGAGAGATTAGGCGTACACGACATTCCAATGGGACAGAATCATCGTCCTCCCGGTCTCTCAGACCTGCAATCTCCTCGTGAGAGCCTTTTCAACTTGAAAGACCGCAGACATACCATGTGACATAGGTGGTGATGACAAACGAACGGGTGAAAGAGGAACTTCAATGCCAGCGGATACCCGCCGTCTAGCTCTGGGGGAGATGGAGTCTGCAAGTAAGTCTTCAAACTCGGTGCCATGCATGGTGGACCGACGGTAACGAGTTTGAGGCACTTTCCAGCGTTTGACGCTGGAGCTTCCGGATGCTGTCCAGAGTAATTGATCGTCCACCGACACGATTTTGTTTACCCCTTCTCCTGTTCCCGTTTCAGTGGATTCTTGACAAATGACAGTACATGCGCCCTCAGAAACGTCCACACAATCCTCCACATCAACTTTACAAACCAGACCGGATTTGTCGCCTGAGTAGAAGACTTCCAACGTAGGATGGGTCGAAAAGAGAGACCATACCGAATCCACATGGTAGGTGAAAGTATGTAGACACCGTTGTGAGGCCAGAGACCAGAGTTTGACGGAAGCATCAGCAGAGCCTGTTAGAAGCTGTGGACACATTTACCACAGAATGCCAGATACGAGTATGAATGACACTCACATATCTTGCATCCTCTGAAATCAGTATAGCTCGAATATTATCGGTGTGACCAACTAATTTTCCCGTCCTTTTGCCTGACCGAGGATCCCATAGTCGAACCACACGCTCTGGAGAGCCAGATGCAATGGCATGACCGAAAGGATCGGTAGCAATTGCATACACGGACGATTTTGGGGCAGTCGCGTCGGGCGGGTTCAATGTCATGAGTGGGTCAGGCACACCGGAAGGCGACGTTGTTCTGCTTAGGTCCCAAAGCTTGATTGTGCGGTCAAATGACCCAGAGGCGATCCAATTCTGCTCACGACTAAATACACTTCAGCACATACTGGGGGAGTCGAGAACTGTGCGTGCGAACCAGAGGGTTAGACAGCGAGCGTAGTCTGCATGCAAGCCAATGGTTGAGGGAATAGAAGTTGTTGTGGTATGAGGATTCCAGGCCTTGACAGCGCCGTCAGAAGAAGCGGATACGACTGTCCTACGTCAGGCGATTATCCACTAAACGTAGGCATACGTACCAGTCTGATTGTAGTTGCATAGAATAATATCATTCACCCAGTCGGTATGGGTCTGCGCGCATTGTCGAAACTGAGCAGGCTGATGACAGAAGCTATGACGGATGCTCAAAAAAACTATACAACAGACACGAGCTTACCCTTACAGTTGGTCGATCTGCGAGACTATCCATTTCCCACTGTGATTCATATGGTATGTCTTCACTCTGGCGATGCCTTCGTCTCCGCCCAGAACTTTCTTTGACATCGCCTAGTATGTCGCCATCACTTCTCATTCTCTCCTCATCTTCTATTTCTTCGTCGATGAAATCATCTGCCATGCCTGTTAGAGTCTCCCAGCGATTGGCTGGCTTGTGCTGTGCACCGTTGATATGGCGTGGGGGGCGGCGTTTCATGGGAAGGCCCAGGTCCCAGGACATGACGAGTCCATCCCTGCCTCCCGTGTACAAGATACCTTCTGGGGAGCTGCGACCTGTGAGATGGGTTGAAGTGTCGACGGCAAGAGACATGACACCGAGACGATGGCGTGGGTGCCGCGATAGTTTTGGGGAGCGAATTGCAGAGAGATCATGATCTTTGTGGAAGGGAAGAAGAAGAGGGCGAGTACCACGCTGATGGACGGTGTGAGGAGGGAGTTTGAGGAGAGGTACTGGATCTAATGGAGGAGGTATCACGTATGAGACACGTCGTCTAGAAGGCGCCATACGATTATTATTGAGTGCAAGGGATATAGGTCTACATGCAAATGCAGTGGGGTGACAAAGAGGGTGAGGGCAAGAGTACTGAGGAGTGCACTGAGGTCAGGCTATGGCTGACTGCGAGGACTCGTGTGTATGCTACTCCGTGTGCCTGACCCGAATGATCACAGAGCATTCACACCCGTGTCTCGGCGAAAACGCGACTAAATACGGCTTATGTCCGACACCTAATTACTTGAGATCACCACTCCGTCATGTTTGTTATCGACACTATCATCTATCCCTCTCCATCGACATCATCTATCAAGTCTACCCAGACTCTCTCCACAGCCATCCCACCCATCCCACTCCAAGCCACTCTAAGCCTCGTATGTTTGCGTCCATTGCAGCAACCTAAAACTCTGTTCAATCGCCAAAGTGTTCTTCGGCAGCGTAGCCTCGTAAACCGGCTTAGAACCAGTCCTCTATCTTGTGTGAACATGAAACAGTCTCCATAAGCAATAAGAGCGTCCACGCAATCGTCATTGTCGGAAAGAATAGTATTGCGCAGCGCTTATGAATCGATCCACAGAATCTTGCATTCCTCCACAGTCAGAACTCCCAGCTCGAATAGAATATCCCTCCGGCAGCAACTCTTGAAGATGCTGAATGGGAGGAAAAGGTAAAAATAAAATGAGTGTCATATAATCAAATTAAAAGTGAAAGTAACCTTAATACGCCTTTCAGCCCCGGGATGAGTGCGTAAAAACTCGGCGCCAGAAGAGCCTCCAGCCATCTTTTCAAATTCGGACAACCGAACATGGACGCTACAGAAAAGTCAGGCCATTTGAGAGACAGAAATGACAAGAAGCAGAATCACAACTTACTCTACCGCTGCCTTGGGATCATAACATGCTTTTGATGCTAATCGCATACCGATAGTGTCAGCTAGATACGTGTCAGCAAATCCAGCTGCAACCTCAAACGAGTCTGTTCGCTTGGATGCACTCACCTTCTGTTTCTTGCGTCCTCGAATTTGGTAATTCTAGCAATAAATGTGTGGCCAACTTTCCAACGCCAAAATCTAAACCAGATGCTTGTAATAGAAGAGCGATGAACAGGAGGACTTTCGTGGAGGAGTAGCGCTCAGAGATATGGCGAGCCACTGAACAAGAAGTTTATACTCAATAAAATGCAACAACACTGCTGAACACATGCAGTTTACCCACCAACGTGACCTATTTCTGTAAGAAAATCATGAGCCTACACAATCGGGGATTAAGCAAATCAAGTACATACCATGGCTCAAGACGGCCGCCAATCCCTGTTCATCTTTACATATAGGCAATATACCCGTGAATACAACAATATTTCCTGTTCTCGCCAGAATTCAGTTGCTAACCCTCAACTCATGTACGAAAGCAAAACACTCCGTACCAACCGTTGCCATTGCATTGATCATCTTGGGATCGTTCACAACGAGTAAATTCCACTCTCTGCCACCGCTCCCAGGCACCAGTTCACTATGACTATCCTCCCTGAACACATCACCACCCCAAACGTCGCCGTCGGGGCTTTTCGTCGTTATTGGTGCGGGACCGTCGGAACGCAGAGTGCCCAGGTCGGATGATTCAAGTATATTGATTACCACACGCCGTACGTGACGCGTCAACGGATGGTTGGGAGGGAGCATCTTGTCTCCGAATTCGTCAACGAGTTCTGCGTAGGACGTTTTGGCAAGCTAGTTTTAGAACGTCCGTTCGAAGACGATAATCAGCAAAAATCGATGGAAACTTGTGGTAGTGGAATATTCACCTCGGCTTCATACTTTGGGTTGACGTCCATAAACCTCCAGCGACCTGTCTCGGGTACTTTTTCTAAGCTGCAGGTCAAGCAAATGGTTATATGAGAACGTGCACGAGCAAGAGACTGCAAAACTCGGTCAGATATCGTAACTCACTGGGCGACATAATACATTACACCACCAGCGACAACGCATGTAGCTACCACTGTCTGTATGTCCCAAGTCTTTAGATTGGAGGGCCCTTCAGGACCAGAAGAGAACCTATTATACTGCGCACGTCGAGGTAATGACGTCGAAAGATTGCGCCATTTCTGTGATTGAAGTGTTCGGGGAGGTGTACCAGACCAGGTAGGTCGAACGAGGGGCTTAGGGGACGAGAGCACAAGTATGCCAGTGTGTTTGGGACATTTCCAGGAGAATGGCCGTAACAGCGGTCTTATACTTGATGAAGATCTGAGGGAAAACATAGATATGCTGGCTCTAGATAACTTCGCCAGACACAACAGCGTATGAGCTCTGTATTAGAATTTGAAGTAGTCCCAGCCAAGGTCGGAGCAGCCATTGGGCCAGGTCATCGAAGTGGCCGAGAGTCAGTCGGTCATCTGAGTTTGAAATGTTCACTGCTTTCTGTTTTCATGATACGCTATCGTCGGTTTCATCCTCGACCAAGTGCACAAGCATCTTCTGATTCTTTTGCCTTCTCTTCGGATCTCAACAATTTCATTGTTATGCTTTGGAAGCTTATTTGAAGCAAACGGGAATTTTTTCCAGTACATTCGGGGCTTAATAATGCAGGGTAATCCAAGGCTTCAAGCTTCGCAACTTCGGGCCTTCGGATTCACCGCTATTGCTAAAGCATCAGGTGTTGTTTTTCGTCCAACTTGCTGGCCTATCTGGATGTGAAGTCCGGCATTAGGAGGCAAGCAAAAATCGCTCAGAGCTAGTCATACCTTGGTTCATACAGTAAGTAACAGTCTTTGCACAATACTTCTCTCCAGTGGCAGGAGGGGTTGAGTGGTCAAAATTGACCATTATATACCTCCTGTCACTTACTGTATATGGAACTGTATGATTCTCTTGCTAATGGGCGCATCATTACATCCACTGTGTGGGAGAAACGCGAGGCCGAAAGTTCGGTCTTTTGACTCATCAACCTGGTCCCTTTGGCACTCTAATTCAAAACAATGAACTGCCGCTTTACAGTTACAGTAAACGGCAAATCCTGAAACTTCTGTGACGTAGCCTTCTCGACGCCACGACTGTTACACCTGTCCTATTGCAAAGCATGACGATAAGATAACCGATGTGTTCTTTCTGATCTCGACGTCGGATATGGTGTAACGGCTAACATTGCCGCCTCTCATGAGATCGCGGCAGCTCGGGGTTCGATTCCCCGTATCCGAAGTTTTTTGGAAGGTGACCCTTATCAAGGTCAAGGTCAGTAGTAAGTCGACAATAGCACAACTTAACATCTGTCCTTATGTACAGATCTGACGATAGATCCTTTTTATGCGCGCTGGTTTGTCAAAGCAGTTTGACATAGCCTATCTCGTTTGCCGTGACAGGTTTACTATCACCTCGGATCGTTCGACTGGTGTGGCCGCCGTGAGCTACTGATTGTTTTCGATACCTGGACAAAGAATTAGACACTAGCTGTTTTCAGACTCGGTTCAGTGAGTTCTTTATCTGAGAGCGCTCATACTTTTTATGCTTACTACTGAGTACCTTCACAGGGGACGGCCTTTTTGATGCGATAGACTCGGTCGCCGTGGACGTCTTCTCCCGTTACGCGAGGGCGAAACTCTCATGTCGGGCCATGCATGCGATTATGACATACATAAACCTTCAGGGTCAATATGTGAATTCCAGTTATCTTAGCCTCCTTCATCTTTCGCTCTTTGTTCTTTGTGAGCGATAATGCAGTCTCGCAATAGCCATGGGCAGTCTCGCAACAGCCATGGGCAATCTCGCAACAGTCATGGGGCGGTCGTCGAAGATTTTTATGCCAACGACGAAATCGAATTAACCAGCCCCACTAGTCTCGCTTTTCAGCCTCACGCTGTTTTACCCGCAGAGACTTCACGAAAAGGTATGTCTATGGCAATTCATCAACAAAATGGATATCCAGCTGATCAAAGAAAAAGTCCAAATAGCGCCGTTCTCGCATGGCTGTAAGTATGCGTTCTACTCAGTGATGACTGCCCAGTACTAACTTCTCCTTAACCCACAGTTTTCTCTCCAGAACTGGCTCAGCTGAGAAAGCAATACCTGAAGGTCGTCGTGCCCGCCATCGTGCTCGTGCTATTGCTGATGTGGACATGTCTACCTCTGTAAGTCCGTTTGCGCGCACGTCCATCTCCATCTAAGTTCTAATCTTGCTTCAGCTACTGGGGAGCCGTGGCGGATCCAGAAGATCTTACGAGTAACCTGAGTGCATGGTTTATCAACCGTGATGGCTCACAATTAGGAAACGACCTCTGGAATGAAATTAACAACGAAAACGGTACTGGCCCTCGGTTAAAGTGGTCGCTCATCGATGCTCAGGTAGCAGGAACTGATGAAGACGTTGCCAACGCAGTAGTTGACACAAAAGCCTGGGTAGCTTTAGTGGGTAAGGATCTATCTTATTGGGTGGGGTTCTTGAGCCTGGTCTGACATGGAACAACTTTTGCAGTTGAGAGCGGGGCAACTCAGTCGTTAGCTCTCGCGCGTGAGACCGGTAACAGTACGTATGATCCGACGTCAGCCATTACTGTGTACTATGCACAGGTAAGCTTTCACCTGTGTTTTTGTCTGACTCTGAAACAAGGCGCTAACCGTTTCAAAGGCTAGGCACGAAGTAGCCACCGGCAGCTATTTGATGCCAGCAGTCACCACATTGCTCCAGACTACTACCACAGCATGGGCTACATCTTCCGCCCAACAGTACCTGGCCCTCACATACGGAGGTGGCCAAGTTAACGCCACTGCACTGCAACTACTGGCCCAGGCTCCACAAACGATATCTCCAGGAGTAAGCTGGACGGTTAATAATCTTCGTCCTTTCAAGTGAGTCCAAGTCTCACATAATTCCTGCGGCATTAGATAACGAACGTTATGTTCCAGCGCACCGCTTGCTACCGCTGTCATTACAGTTGGGCAAATTTATCTGTCCGTGTTTACGTGAGTTATTTATATTCCTCATACTAGCTTTTCTGTGCTGATTGTCTGTCCATTCAAGTTTCATCACGGTAAGGAAGCTACATAGATAATCTAAACTGATGAGATGCTGAACTATGACAAAGGCTATGGCGCATGCAGCCGCCAGAGTTCCAATACAACGTCATCTTCGTTTCTCGTCCATCCTTGCAATACGTCTTATCGTTCCTTTGGTTGCCTATATTCCCATGAGTATCACATACACCCTAGTCAGCTTGGCATTCCATTTACCTTTCGGCGCTAAGTTTGTCCCCCCTGGTTTTCCCCTTGTATCGAAAAACGCTGATGACATTCTAGGTATAATCCTACTGCAGGATTTTTCCTCTTTGCTGTCTTTGTGTACTTGGACATGGCCGCAATCGGTCTGGCTTTGGAAGCTATGATCACATTACTTACTCCAAAGTTTATCCCATTCTTTATGATGTTTATGGTACGTTCTTATTTCACCTTTATCGGCGCTCACTTTTATATTTCGTTTGGTAGGTTGTTGCCAACATCGCTTGTGTATCCCTCCCGGACGACCTTCAAAATGTACTCTACCGCTACGGTACAGGTTTCCCCATGTAGTACGTCGATCTTTTTATTTGCGTTTTTTGGACTATGCTCATCATTGCTCATTGCCGAACAGCAACGTGTAAGTGCAGTGTTTGTTGTACCATTCTATGAACAGTATTCACGAGACCCTATAGATCGCTAGCCATGCGCACCATCGTGTTCAACACCTATTCCTTGCTCGCTCGTAACGCAGGTATCCTCCTTGGGTGGGCGTTGCTCTCGTGTTGCACACTTGTCCTCTTCACATGGCAAGGGAGGCGGTCTGAAATGAATGCGGCTAAGAGGGAAAGCGCAGAGAGACGAGTATCCAATCTGCAGTTTGACAACCTACAGGAAGACAAGGATGGGATGCAGATCGATAAAAAACCTTGATAATATCAAAGTGACGACTGAGAATTCTCTGCTTGCAATTACAGGGACAAGATAAAGAGTAAGGTGATTACTTCGTTTGATGACGGAGGCCTGTATACACTTAATAGTCAGTATATAATATATAGAAGTACTTATTGCAAGTCGGTCAGCGTCGATTTCAGAATGAGTACCGTCTGGAACAAAAATGTAAAAGACTCAGAAAACAAAAACTTTCGGATACGGGGAATCGAACCCCGAGCTGCCGCGATCTCATGAGAGGCGGCAATGTTAGCCGTTACACCATATCCGAGATATAGTAACATTATCTGATAGAAAATATATAGTAGATAGGAGTGCAAAGTAATATCGGTTTTGTCAAGGTTTTGTTTTGTTTTGTGGGGCACAGTGTCGCAATTGGTTCTTATTCTTATTCCTATTGTTGTTGTTAGTGTCAGTGTTAGTCCGCCTCATATAACAGGGTTATGGTGATGTGACTTTTTTTTTATTCTTCTTATAGTCGCCTCATTTAATATCGAACTCGACATAAGCAACCGGCATTTCACTAATATTTCAACAAGAAAATTTCTATATACACATAATATCCAACACCCTTCATCGCCATGTATCGTTCAAAGTCTGAGTACTTCCAGATGTTGTATCATTCCTGTTAGGGTCTGACTCCCATACGATCTACGTAGTACCAAGGAATTGATCAGTATTTTGTACATATGTCAGACAGTAGAAAAGGCACTCACACTACCATCGGTCTCCTTCCTGATGAACTTATACTCGAACGCGGTGTTGAGCGGAAGGTTCACTGTCGTCTCCCAAACGGGATAATTGCTTGACGACAAAGCAATCTACCTTTCCGTCAGCTCCAGCCCAAGCTAAGCTCATCGAGAAAGCAAGCCCCCCCCTACACGCACATCACGCACAACCACACACAAGTCCCACATCAGCAACCAACTCCTCTGATACATCATCGATGTATCCTCCTCGACTCCCCAACTCGCTCTGACTCAAGACGAAATACCCACCGAGTTAGCAGGATCCCACGACCCTAACTGTTCTAAGCTCCCAGTAAGGAAGATGTTCTAAGAGATGAGTATTAGATCATTACGCACAGAAAAGCGGGGACCTTACCTCGCCGTATGTTGTAGTTGCGGTCTCCGAAAAAGATACAGCTGATGTAGATCCTGTCCCAAGTGCGCCCGTGTGCAGCGCGATGGCGTTAGCTGTAGCAACTGTTGCACTGAAGGTTCCATCGGATGCTACGGTGTAACTGCACATTTAGGAGAATTCATTAAGGCAGTATTGAAATCACAGAAGAGAAAGAGAAAGGATAAAATGAAAATGAGATTAGTATACTGTGATCGGTCCAAAGGAAATGGAACATACGATGCACCCGCACATGTCCCCGACGAGGTTGGTGGGCCGCTAATCACGTCACAGTATGATCCAGCAGGCAAGGATGTAGTGAATGTCGTGGCCCACGTGGAATCTTCGTTATTGATTGCTACAAAACCAAGAGCCCCTGCAAAAGCGAGGGACGAGTGGCAGAAGAGAATGATGGCGCAGGTCAAAAACAAAACACGAGTGGTAAGACAAGAGGGTCAAGTACCTCTTCCGAATGCAATCTGCTGCGAGCTTGGCGATACCCAATCACCTAATGCCGCAGTGCCAACATTGTTGTGGAAGCCGACCATACCTGCGATGGCAGACCAGCGGTGCTGGCAGAGCCTGCAAAGACAATATAGTTAACATCAACGTAGTTCTGAAACGTTCTCAATGTGACTCACCAGCCATTCACGCCTCCGGCACCATAGCACGTGCCGTTTCCTACATACATTACCCAGTCAGAGGATGGACAACAAGATATTACTCTATTAAAAAGGTAAAGTGACTTACCGCCATTGGGGGCGCCATCGTCATATGAGCTGAACTGATAGCTGGATAGTACCGTTGGTGTCCCGTAAGAGTGAGCACTATAGATCAAGAATGAATGATAGATCTTATGCGAGGGACAATCTTCACTGCATCTTGGAAGGAAGAGGCAGGGAGAGAAATGAGTGTACGTACAGCGAGAACACGTGTGCCAAGGTATAGGTGTTCGAAGGCGAGTTGTAGTTGAGTGAAGATCCGCCCTAGATAAACTTCCCGTTAAAGAAAAATGAACCTATCTAAAACTAAAAAAACACGTACCCTTTCTGTGTCATGGTCGGCAACAAAGACATTGGCGGATGTCCCGGGAACCCAGCCTGTAAAGCCAATCAAAGTTAGTAAACTCATGGGATATAATGAATGAGTGGGTGGGACGAAAGCAGTCATGATGGTGGGTACGACACGGCACATAAAAGGACGAAAGACATGCCTTGATTATCGAGATCCTGCAAACTCGATATTCCACCACCACCAAATGCGCTTTGCAAGGCAGAAGTGTACCTGAATCTGAAGGAGGTAAATGTAGTCAGCACTGTTTGTCCATGCGATCTGGATAATGGAAAGAAAGCGCACTCCATAACATCGCCTACAGCAGGATAGCGAGAGCCAATCAGTAAGCAAAGTAAAAACACTGACAGATCTTTACGTACCTATATAGACGTATTCGGAAGGTTGGATAGGCTGATCGGCGCCCCAGATGACCTAGAGGAGAGTGACTGAATTACTAAAAGCAAGGCAAAAAAAGCGGGGAGCAACTAACCTCTTGCGTGATATAGGGACTCCCGTTGATCAAGCTGGTGATATTTCCGATATCACTTGCTGCTATGTCTGTCATATTTGCCCGAGTCAGCCATATGCGCAAGAACAAGTAGAGAAAAAAAGTTGAAAAGCCACAAGGCCAAGCCAGCGAAATGACAACATTATACGTACTTTTAGCAGCATCCAATCTCAATCCTTCCACTCCGAGACTAATCAAGTCATTAGCATACGCTGCAAGAATTTTCTGAACAGCAGTGGTGTTCGTTGCTAGACTAAAGATTGAATTAGCAAGGACGTTTGAGACCAAATAGGCAGAATGTTTAGAGCAAGAATGTCATGAGAAGGGAGTGCAGTGTATTTTGTGAGGTATGCCATCACAAAAGCCGAAAAGCCTCGTTGGTGGAGCAAAGGTAGAATGAACTCACTCAGCCAATCCATCCAACTGACATGTCTGAACCTCAAGACGATTATCATAATTGACAATGGTGTTACCTGGCTCAAGGCCGCAGTAATGGAAGTTCTGCGGGAGCACGAGAATGTGAGTAAGTGCGTGGCTTGGAATTGCACAGGAGAAGCATCCCGGCACAAATGAAAATGAAAAAACCCAGCAGGGCAGAGACATCAAGCTGGACATAAAACTGAAAGATAGACAAATGCAGAAAATGAAATTAATGAACAACGTACATCAGCCGAATAAGTTGGTGGGTAGCTATACTGAGTGAACTGGGTTCCTGCAATGCCAGTACCTGTGTGCCGACAGGAAGTTATTTCACAATCAGATGAAGACCAGGAAGAAATACACGTACCAGAGGATTGGCCCGTCATATGATTAAAGATAGTATCTATGTGCAAATTTTCAAGGTAGATGATCAACACGTGCATTTAGGCTTCAATGGAGAATAAACATAAAGTAATAACCGACGCTTGCTTCGGGGACAAGGCTCCGGAATACATAGCTCGGAGCTCAGTATATGAGCGCAAGTTTGACTCACCTGCGATGATACCAACACCAGCACTTTTACATGTCTGTATCATGGACTGATACTGTGCACGGTTTCCACGCTTTGATGTAAGCGTGTATGAAACAGGCTGATAGTCAGTCCACCACTGAGTACCAGTGATAGTTTCCTGGGCGGGGGATGCTTGTACATATCCGTATCCTGTTTAGAAAGGAATTTGAATGAATTAGCTCACACTAGTGACAGAAAAGGGAGACACAGGATGCACCAGCAGGTCCGATGAACTGAGTACACTCTAAAGCAATGCTATCCCATGACCATTCGAACATCTGGATGATGACATCTAGCGCATCCCATGGCACAATTTATATTAAGCAGCATGTTGTCAGATGATTGAAGAGATTCCGTAAAGTTGAACAAGGAGAAAATTCATCGTGTCGACAACCGTCCAGTGACAAATAAATAGAAAATCCAATGCATTAGTGCCAAATCCCCAAATAAGAGCATAGACATACCATTGTTGCCCGACATCCCTCTTTTTGCAATTCTACCATTCCCCGCTGCCTTCGGGGAAGGCGCAGCGAACGCATTGGCAACGATGAGAGCGAGACTGAGTATTCCGAGTTTTATCATCGGAAGTAGATAGTGAAAGGGTTAAAGCAGTGAGCTCAATTGAACAGCGTCGGATTAGACAGCGCTGAAGGGATGGATGGTGACGGCACACTGGCATATATACCGAACAATCAAGCACGGAAGCAGTCCCTCCATGTCTCCCGTTTGCCTAAATCAAGAAAGGTATTGCATATGATTGAGCGTACATAGTGCGTGCATGCGTTGTTGATGCAATACGGTGTGGGCACCTGATCTGATGCACCTTGTGCTCCACTCACTCCTGACAACCGCATAGCTGCACTCCAGTCTTGCGCGCACTCACGGACACTTCTTGCCAGCGGAACCCTTGGCATAATCATACACGGATACCGACGGGAGTGTATCGATCATGATACAGCAAAAAAAACAGGACATTTTTGTAGACTGGATGAGAGAAAAGTGCGTCCGCTTGACATAAATGGAAAGATACGGTCTTGTCACTGAAATGAAGGTCCGTTATCACCTTATGCTGCAAATACAATGTTCAACCATACCAGCTCATAGTACTGGTCCTGCACTGAGCTGGCCAGCCGTCGGTTCTGATGGAGATATCTGAGTCACAATTTGTCACGGCTATCTCGTTTCAAAACTACGAATGTTGCGTGAACTAGCATCAACCTAACCTAACCACCATCGTAGCGTACCCTGTTGTCAAAATCGCACCAACCTCCATGGGAATTATGATGGGGATAATCTGGAGTGTCAAAAATCAAAACAAAGCAAACGTGCATCTCGCCAGTATCTCCAGATTCGAACATTATCCATGTTGTTCTGTAGCAGCTGGCTGAAAAGGACGGACGAACACAGCCAATTACATCGTGGTTCATTTGGATACCCGTGAACGTTGGCCATGTGTGCCCGCATTCCGAGACCCTGTATTCCTTGAGGCCAGATGCTGCCAGATAGTATATCGCTGGTGGGAAACAACAGTTGCCTTTTCCTTGCGTTTGACAGACTGACTCGGTGTATTTTTTTTTGTCTGTCCAAAGTCCTCTCGTGTTCTTAGTTTGACATCGCACTTCGAACTGCTGTTGTCTTGAATATTTTGGCACAGCCTTTGATCGATAGCGGAAATTACTGCCCTCACAGCCCAGATCGAGGCCATGCATTATCGTGTTTATGCCGGTATACCTCGCCATTCATGATCGTGTTTTACATTTCAAACTACCGGTAACTGGATTTTAATGTAGTATGACCCAACCAAGGATTTGAGGTCGTGTGCACCAAGGAGGTGTGGTTTGATGGCGTCACACCTCGTTGACTCCATGACGTCACGGCGTGTCTCGAAACAACCATATAACCCTTTGTCTCATGTCTCTGAACGCATTCTGCTATCCGCCAACCACCCACAATCATCTCTCAACCGCTCAATAATTATCCATCATGTCGACTCGCAAGCGCACTAAACGCAATGCATCCACTGCATCCAACGCTAGCGCAGCTCAAGTTGCCAATGCATCTTCTTCTAACATCGACAAATCTACCTCCACAAATGGCAGAGCCCCTGGCGAAGACGGGAAGAAGATCGATACTTCTAATCTCCCCCCTCCACGACCTAAAGAAAAATTCTTGAAAACCGTCCCACCTCCACTGTCTACGACAAGCACAAGCCGTTTCTTTTACACCCTCGCTCTTCTCGCAGCCCTGACAGGGGCGTTTTACGCTTGGCGTGTGATGCAGTGGAAGGGTGAGGTCGGTGGGTGGTGGAACTTGGCTATGGGAAAGAGACCACCCCAGCTGAGGACGCAGGAGGAAAACCACAACCAATATGATGGGCTGAGCGGATGGTTCGCCAGTCGAACTGGATGGACATCACCTAAAGCAGGGAAGAGTGGCGAGGAAGGAAGCCATAAAGTGGAAGATAGGTTAAATGCCCTTGCTGAAGCGCTCGGTATGCCTTCGCATGACGTTGCCTCTGCCATCGCGGGTGCTGTGAGGGATCATGTCCCGCCTGCAAGTCTGTCGTCTATTGCAGCTCAAGAGACAGGGTCAGCTGTGAAAATATTAGTCGGGGTACCCCAAGGACGTCCAGCTGAAGGAGGAAGCACCGGAGGCTTATACGAAGGCATTGAGAGAATCGTTGGCATGGACGAACCTCCGGAAGAGGCTATGTAGGGGACTGATTTGAGGATATGATAGATGATTTGGCTGCTAAAGTTATTATACTGTAATCTTGTCTTATACTTATATATGCGTACGAATCCATCTATGATGTTCTATGATTGAGACTTAGTCTTGTGCTCTTTAAGAGTAAGTTTCATTCAGACTAACGGAGGTGATGTCCCTATCATGATAGCTGCTGAAGCGCTGATGCACGTTATACAATTAGAATCCAAGTAGAAACATCTTAGTCAACCGTGACGTTGTTCCAAGTATCATATGATGGGACACTTAGTGCGCCACCTGAAACCATGAGCCTATCTGACAGAACACATTGGACTTGAACATTTAAACCTTAAAAACACAGAAATGTCCACTTTCAAACATTCATCTTCAGGCTGATAGGCCGGAAAACATTGCTTCTTACACCATTTTGCCGTTGCTAGACCCATCTGTATTGGGTTACGAATTTGGAAGCTGGTCAGAAGACGAAATCCGAGTGGATGTCCACTGGGTTTGCGAAGTCAGTCCGCGATAATGATGTCCCGGTTTGTAGGCAACGGGTATTCTAAGGAATGTTTTCATTTGGATCGAAATATGTGCAATATATAAGGTACGCTACTTGTTTGTCTAACTAAACATTCCCACTTGACATATTTCTTAGCGAACATGACTTTCACTGGCACACGTGTTGCGATTGTAACTGGCGCAGCTCAGGGCATTGGACGGGCTATAGCGCTTCGACTTGCGCAAGACGGACTTGATGTTGTCGTAGCTGACCTGCCTTCCAAGTCTACCCAGCTTGACGACCTTGTAACAGAAATTGAGGCGAAGGACCGGAAATCTCTGTCTGTGCCCACCGACGTGTCTGTCGAAGAACAGGTCGAAAATCTCGTGCGCGTAACAGTTAGCTCCCTTGGAGGACTTGATGTGGTTCGTACCCATCATTGTTTTTCTTCTGCCTGGTTTTTGTATTGATTGGGGCTATTTTAGATGGTCGCCAACGCAGGAATTGCTCCAGTGGGAACATTGATGGACAGTGTGTATAGTTAACACCAGTTCAATCCTCACTATTTAACAAAACGCAGCAAACCTCGACGAATTCAACCGAGCATGGTCTGTCAACGTCCAAGGCACTCTGCTTTGCTACAGGCATGCCGCTAAAGTTATGATCGAGCAAAAGCGAGGCGGGAGAATAATAGGTACGAGAGCGCGCGCTTGCTTTCTCAACTTTACCATTGTTGAAGGAGCTATTTTTCTTCCAGGCGCTTGTTCCTTTGCAGGAAAGAAAGGTTGGAAATCATTCACAGATCCAGTTCTACGTGATTCATGTCTGTTCGGCTAGGAACAATTTATATAGGGGCCTACTGTGCGACCAAGGCTGCAGTAAGGTCACTTACTCAAACCGCTGGTAAATACTCTTCCAGATGTTTGACATGCATGACTCATTAAGTCATTTGGCTTCAGCTACGGAGTTTGGGAAACACGGAATCACTGTGAATGCGTATGCACCAGGGCCTGTTGATACATCTCTAAGTAAGCCTTTGTCGAGTTGACATGTTCAGTTTCTCAAGTTCGTGCATTTTCGTGTTCATAGCCTCAGGCATGATTGGCAAGCTGTCTACAATGATCCCATCCTCGGATCTTATGGACGTAACGACTGCAATGGTTAATTCAAAGTGATGACTGGCTATTGAAAATCTCACTATGTATAAACTCTAGGCCTCCTCCCAACCTCTGTTAGGAAGAACGGGTGTCCCAGAGGACGTTTCGAACTTGGTTTCATTTATAGCATCGAAAGATTCTGCCTTTATTACGGGTAAGCAACTTATACAGAGTATGGAAACATGTGGATGTCTGATATCCGTGCTTTACAGGCCAGTCTATGACCGTTGACGGAGGAATGTGGTTCGACTAGTCGATACCTTACATATACTATCAACATTGATATCAATGTTGACCCTGCTCGGCTGAGGTTTACTTGTATTCATAGGAATTTAGGAATCATCTGAATCATTCTTTGGCGTTTTTCGAGGAGTATTGAGGTTTAGCGCTGAAGATCAACATCGAATTCAGTTCAATACCTTGGCTAAAATCAGGTGTGTGGTCCCTACGACTTCGGTTCTTGCCCTACTAATGCCGGTGTGAAGGACATAGAAAATAGGCTAGTCACGCCATCATCGATCATTCTCGGAACCTCCCGTATCTTATCCACACTTGGGACGTCTTCGGTTGCACCAATTGCTTGAGCGTTTATCGGAGTATTTGGATTCGCTCCCTTATAATCCCTTACGAGCTCTCCTTCGTCTGAGTGACCACCTGAGTACGGAACTCTTTCAGAAAGTCAGAACTATCCCTAGTAGCACCAGCAAGATATGTCTACAACTCGCATCGCCGTAGTGACTGGAGCTGCTCAGGGTCTTGGACGAGCCATTGCATTACGGCTTGCTGATGATGGCCTTGACGTTGTCGTTGCTGATCTAGCTTCCAAATCTACCCAGCTTGATCAAATAGCCTCAGAGATCACAGCGAAGGGTCGAAAGGCATTATCCGTCATTACTGATGTTACAGACGATGAACAAGTCAAAAATCTGGTGCAACAGGCCGTTAGCGTACTCGGGGGGATTGATGTGGTCAGTCACACTCGCATTTACGCAAAGAGGGAATTTTGTTTTGTTTTTACGTCGTGTCCAGATGGTTGCGAACGCAGGGATTTGTCCTACAGCTCCGCTATTAGATTGCAAGTGTTTATTTCTTGGGATGATTTTATCGTTATCGATATTCTGATCTATCCTCAGTGAACATACAGGAATTTGATCAAGTGTTGTCAGTAAACCTCAAAGGTGTTTTATCATGCTATGTGCACGCCGCAAGGGCTATGGTAGCTCAGAACAGAGGAGGTCGATTGATAGGCAAGTAACACTCACTTTCAATGTTGCCAAGCATGCGCGCGATACTTACCTTGCGCAAATCCAGGTGCCTCATCATGTGCTGGCAAGAGAGGTGCAGGCGATATATATATTCAATCGTAGGGATATTAAAACATCCCCCCAGGTGCGTATGGAAGTGCTGCCTATAGCTCAAGTAAGTTTGGTGTCCGGGCACTTACTCAAACAGCGGGTAGGTCATGTTTGCTATTGCTGGAACTTCACTTACTCATTTGCTTTTCTGAATTAGCCATCGAGTTCGCAAAGTATGATATTACAGCAAATGCCTACGCACCGGGACCAATTGATACCCCCATGCGTAAAACCCCATTTGATATAGCTATAGATAATGTGCTGATCTGGCGCATTCGTATAGATACGGATGCGTTAGAAAAACTCAAGGCATCCAAGGAGTTCCAGTCAGATGTGACTATGATAGATATATTAAAAGCGATGGTTCGTTTCCATCCTGGATATCTGTAACGACTAATGACATGAGAGTGTTTAGTCGTTCAGTCGACCTCTCATAGAGAGGCTCGGGACCCCCCAAGAAGTGGCAGGGTTAGTTTCATTCATTGCGTCAAAGGACTCGTCTTACATCACAGGTCAGCATACGAATAAAATCACAGGTGATGATAACTAACTATTGAGTCAATGCTCGTGCTCTCAGGTCAAACAATCTCAGTTGATGGTGGAATGTCGTTCGACTAGGGTCAAGCGCTATGTGGCAATGTACAGATGTAATGTTATTGAATATTTTTGCAAGTAAATGGCGGTCCTTGAGTGGCAAATTTTGTATTATATGTTCTGTGAATCATTCCATTGGGAGGAAGCAACAACGTAGCAGGAATGGAGTGTACCTTTTAGTGCCGAGGCTCCAGACCGTGGGGTGTCAACGTCGGTGATGGTCCTTATCGTACATTGTGTCTTGGAGTAGAACCAATTTATTCTTTTGGCTGACGAATTTCCTTCTTACACCTGTGATAGCGTCTCTGATTTCTGGAGCATTATCAGCGCTTGGACAGACTTCTGCGATGCAATAAAGAACTTAATGGTAAGTACTTTATCTACGCATCCTCCCGTGGATATCAACCGACTCGACATTCTCAAGCTTGGTCACAACCGCCTCTAAGTATAGTTGTACCTTGCTAGAGTCTCAGAACTACTGTTACATTTGATTGTTAAATGCTCTGGCATAAAAGCTGTGTCTTTGACTTGTCCCTGGCAATGTCAAATATCAGCTATGTTGCATGTGCATCCTGAGGCACAAGTCCATCACTCCCGCCATAAACACCGAATCTGAGGTATCCTCTCGCTTACTGTAAATTTAAACAGTAACGCAGAATCCAGGGCACGGCTATTGCCGTCGTTTTCTATGTTTGACCGTGTCAGTCACGACGGTGTCTGCGATCCGCTCACAGACAACCAGTTGCCTCGAAGACTTGCGAATGTAAACCTATCTACTACCTAACACTCCAAGCTTAGAGGCAAACTTCACGGCCATCGTCATTGTGTTGGCCTGACTGCCAGGTTCTGTGCATTCCTCGGGGCAGTACTGTGTGTCACTCAAAAGCACTTTACGGACAGTGTTCACCGCAACGTCAGACAGTATGGATACCTATACATTCTGATTACCGTTGACATATTATTGTAGAGGGTTTGATTCACTTACTGACAAACGGCCATCTTTCGCCGCCATCAATATATAGTACCGAACGACATGAGTCACTCGCTCAGAACATAAAAGCTCCCCTCTGCTTCGGTCTTCACTGCTTTTTCGTCGTCTCGCGGTTTACTACACAATGTTTGCCACGTCGCCCCTGTTTGTTCTCCTCTCGATTGCTGCTGCAAGCGCTTTGTCTGTGATTCCTAGGTCTACTTCCGATGGTGGAAGTTGCGATTCTCTTCGGAATGCTTGCAACGCCAATACCACCGACCTCGCGTTCTTCTATAACAACACGGCTTGTGTCTTGCTGACCACCTGCACCGCCCCTACCGAGACTCCTGCTTTCGTTCTCCATGAAATGGGTGCTCCTGCCACTCAGCCGCGGATGACGGAGAGCGTAGGTCTTCCATTGAAAGGTGTAATGTTCAAGTTGTGTACTTACATGTTTCGACTTGTAGTTTTTCTATACTATGTCTGGTGGGAAGGATTATATGTCTGAAGTAGACTATATCAATGCGTACTACGGCCAAATTGCGATTACTCCGAATGGCACATACCCTTCAAGGTAAGTTCACAGCATTTTCTTCACAGCACTTGCTAACATCATTGTTAAGTGTCGACGACGTCACCCCTGACTGGCTCAACATTGCCGCTTGGACGGGATTCTGCGACACTCTCAACATTCCATACTCCAATTTCGCAGTTCGTCAATTTCTTTCGTGTATCACTCCCTTTATGACGTTTTTGCTATACATTGCTAGGACTGGTTTGAATACTCGGATGTCGCTGGTGTCTGTCCGGCTGTCTCTTCATGCGACGCTTCCATAGCCAATACAACTACTCCCTGTGTGCCTCAGCCAATCACTGATAACGGAAGCTGCGCCGAGGTAGAAAGCCAGTGCCAGCTGTTCGTTACAGGTGGTCTCTTCCAGAATGAAATATGTGTCCTTGCAAGCATGTGCTACGCGGAGTCGACTACAGATGTGTTGCTCAGGAAAATATATAATTACAATGGTCAGCCTGCCCCTACAACGCAATCAGAAGCGCGTCTGTCCGAGAGCGTGAGTGGAATTTTTCGTTTGGTTTGTTTGTTGTATTCAATTATGCATGATTGTATCATTTTCATAGGTCTTTTATAACATGACCAACGGAGCACAAACTATGTCCTTACAGAATGCCATTGATGCTTATTATAATGCACTGGTAAGTTAGCTTCGTCAAATGCTGTATCTGCGTTAACATAGTTCCCAGACTGGCACATGGACGAGTCTTGGTGGACCTTTCGGTGCTGAAACTCCGGAGAAAACAACCACTGACGGGCCTTACCCTACAAGGTAAGTTTTGGATTGGGTTCCAATTGTTATGTATTGACTGACCCATTTCTATCATAGCACTGATTATGTCTCTAACTTCTGGGGCATCATCAGTGCTTGGACAGGTTTCTGCGATACCATGGAGATCCCTTATGATAACTTGGCCGACTACCTCAGCTATGCCTCCTCCAGTGGATACCATCCAACGTGCTAATCAGATTATGTCAACTTTCTCCGAGTTTATTTTTCAGGGCTCCAAGTGGAACATGGACTAAATGGACTATATCTTATTTGCCTTCGTGGCTTTGTGTATCACGGATCTTTTTGATAATATAGATCATGATTATTCTCTGGAGTCTAAATTCTACGGTGGTCGTTTGAAATTATAGTTCCGTGCTGGGATTGATTGATTAACCATGATGTTGTCTCTTTCGTCGCTGACCATAGAACTAATAATATGCCTGTGACTTGAATTTGAATAGTATATTTCTGCACTGTCCGATCCTTGGTAAAAATAAAGTATGTGTCGGATAAGTGTCAAATAATGTCTGATATAGTCATGTAAAGTCCATACAAGATGCTGAGTTTGAGTGTCAGACCAGGCGCCAAGTTTCGGATATACTCGCTGATAAGCTCGATCACCGACTGGGAAACGACCGTAACTTGAACTAGAACTACGACTCCATGACAGACTCGACTTTCTGTATCATTGTGACAATTCCAGCATTTGCTTAACCACTAGTACCCTTGGGACTGAAGTTCTTGCTATTCTGGCCACCTTTGAATGAACCACTACCATGCACACTGTACACATTAGTACCCTCAAGTATATCAGATAGCAAACTCGTCACGACACGCATTCCTGGTTTAAGTTCTCATGCATCGCTGTCAGGTTTAGGCCTCCAGTAGTCTTCGAGTTCAAGCTGGGCTAAGATCCTCTCAGAGTGCGTAAAACTGTGGGTCAAGTTCAATCATTCCGCTCAGAATATCAGGTGTATCTGTTGTTTGAACCGGATAAAATACGGTCAATGCGGTGTCGTGAATTTGGGACCATGGGCATAGTTTGATGTGAGTTCGTCCTCCTACATTTAGCAATTGACAGTCGTGCAGCTAGAAAACATGCGGTATGTAATGGCATGCCTGGTTAAACGACACGTTAACCGATAATATGGCGAAAAACATCCACCTCCCAAGACTTGCTACCCACGTGAGTGGAAATCACTTGCTCCAGACCCTTTTGTGACATCCTGGACAACAGCATTCAGCTCGACTTTTGTATCGGTGACTTCGCGCACATACGGTACCCCCCTGCCCAGCCTAGACACGTTGGTCTACCGGGTTTTCTCAAAGTGATAGGCTAGCCATGTTCGGTGAACCTTCGGAATCGAGGACATGCCCCTCGTAAATCTGTATTGCACTCAGCGGAGCAGTGAACTTGTGATACATCGGTATTGACTTCATTTTCCCGGAACAACAAGAGGTATAAAAGCGACCACCAGAAAACCCCACCTACCCCTGCATCTCCACGTCCACAGACAACATGGCTGTAAAGACTTTATACATGTTTGGTTTCGTCGGCCTCACTGCACTCTCCGTTCAAGGCCAAGCTGCTTTATATGCCCAATGTACGTCTCAAATCATCGTGATCAAACATAATCACTCACTATTGTTCATCAGGTGGCGGTATTGTCAGTATACTCTTTTGCATCTAGACAAGTCTGATTTTTAACACTTTACAGGGTTGGACTGGCGCTACTACTTGTGCAACAGGTGCTGTTTGTACCGATATTAACTCGTGTAAGACTGATTATCTCATTCCGTACATAAATGTCTGATCCTTTTTATCTACACCAGATTACTATCAATGTTTACCCGCCTCCTCTGCTACGTCTGTTGGGGGAGGATCTCCGACAACATCTACAGTATCTGTGAGCTCGCCCACTAGCACTTGTGGCGCCACGCCGCCATCATCTGCCGGCACATTGAAGTATGCTGGTGTGAACATCGCTGGATTCGGTACGCACCTATACACTTGGCCCTTCAAATATGCTTACTCACCTATCCTTGCTTGTAGATTTTGGCTGTGACACTTCAGGCGATTGCACAGCGAGCGGTGCATATCCTCCTCTTGCGCAGTACTATGGTGCCGATGGAATTGGCCAAATGACCCATTTTGTCAATGATGACAAGTTCAACATTTTCCGTCTCCCTGTTGGGTGGCAATATCTTACAAACAATGTGTTGACTGGCACGTTGGATGAAACCAACTTCGCCGAGTACGATACACTCGTTCAAGGTTGTCTCGGAACGGGTGCGAGTTGCATCGTGGATATTCATAATTATGCTAGGTGGAACGGACAGGTTGGTCTATCTGCAGCTTCAATAATACCCCAGTACTTAATTTTCTGCAGATTATTGGACAAGGCGGACCGTCTAACGAGATATTTGCGTCCCTCTGGAGTTCCATCGCAACGAAGTATGCGAGCCAGCCTAAAGTTATCTTCGGAATGTATGGATGTCTTTTTCATGTTTATCCCACTTGACTGATTCACATCTAGCATGAACGAGCCTCATGACCTTCCTAGCGTACGTACATGGTTCTCATATCAACAATCACTCACTTATACATCAACTCCAGATTCCACTATGGGCAGGTACCGTTCAAGCTGCTGTGACTGCTATTCGCCAGGCAGGGTGAGCACTGATACCAGTTTACTCTTGCTTCTGGTTGATAAACTGTAATATGTAGGGCCACTTCTCAGCTTGTCCTTCTCCCCGGTGACAATTGGACTTCAGCTGCGACTTTTGTGTCTGGCGGCTCCGCAGATGCACTGAACAATGTGACCAACCCTGATGGTAGCACCACCGGCCTTATTATGGATGTCCACAAGTACCTGGACTCTGATAACTCGTACGTACCTTGCTTATGCTCACGCTTGCCAACGTCTCAGTTTTTGTTGTGGAAACAGAGGAACGAACGCCGAGTGTGTGACCGATAACATTGCTAGCGCCTGGCAGCCTCTTTCGCAGTGGTTGCGCTGCAACGGTCGTCAAGCATTGAATACAGAAACTGGTGGCGGAAATGTCGCTTCCTGCGAGACATACATGTGCCAACAAATTGATTATCAAGCGCAGAACTCGGATGGTGCGTTCATAGTGCTATAGCGGCCGAAGTTGACGGAAGCAAATACTAACTTGAGGAAACAAATAGTGATTCTCGGATACGTCGGGTGGGCAGCTGGGAACTTTGCTGCGAGCTATGTACTTGGCGAGACTCCTACCCAGAGCGGTACGACTTGGACTGATACGGCGCTCGTTTCGACCTGTATGGCGCCGTCAGCAAACGGCGTCGCTGCATGAAAAAAAAAAGGGTCACTATGCGTGTACTATCATTTCTCGGCTTACTTGCAAGTTGTATGTATATATAAACTCCTGTCCATTTCAGGTGAATCAAGTTTGATGTGACTGGTCTGGACTGCGCGGTGAGGAGGATCAATGTTGCGAGGAGAACGTGGGCTGCACAGTTCAGAATAGGGACCGAGTTAAGCCTTGAAGATGATGTGGAAATGATAGCCATGTCGTCCATGCTAGAATCTCGTGTTCGCGGGCGAATACGGGCTGAAGAATCATCCTGTTAGTTCGCGAGTTCCTAATCTGAAGCTGTCTGTATCGGGGGACAGTACTTGATGTAAAACTGAGGACTCCGGAATGGAGCGAGATGAAACCGCAAATTCATGTAATATGGTACATACCATATTCCGTCGTAGAAAGATGCATTGGGAGTGCATTGAGACTTATCTTTACTTAATAGGTGTGTCTGATTTATTGTACCTGAAACGTCGTTGGTCCTGGCATCTGACACGTCCTTGAGTCAAGGAACAGACGCTGTCGGCAAATCGTCGGCACGGGGTCTGATAATTTGCTAGGGAGTTGCAATTGAATAGAAGTCTAAGCAGAAAGAATAGAAGAAATAAGGAAAACCATTGACAGTAATACCCAAACTAGGATGGGCTTACCCGACATTGAATTTGTGCCGAGGAGGACGGGGAATACTTACTGACTGTCAATGAAGGTGCGGCACGTATGGCTTTGTAGACTATAATTTCAAGCTCCTACAGGCTAGAGAGGCCAACGGCGGAGAAGTGGACAAAGTCGAGAAGCTCGATGATATTGGATACAAAAAAAGGATATCCTATAGCAAAACGAGAAGAGAACGAATGAAGAGTCTTCTCCGAAGTCGATGGCTCCCGAAGGAGATTCGCCACTAGCCTAAACAGCATTACGCATGTCTAATGGGTTGAGACGGCAAAGAGACACGCCCAAAGCATCCAACTGTCTCCCGATAGCAAAAGGGAGCGTAAATACACCAAACTGCACATGTGGACAGACGGCAGGGCAGCGATGTGCATGTACGGCAGCAGGAACAAGGGCTACAGTTCGGTATATCAACAGCGCCTTACGTCGAAAGTTTCATCATTGTCGGAACTTGCACGGTAAACAGGGTCTCGACAACTCGATTTGTGGCTTGATACACGTGAGGTATGATGCCAGGGCCCATTTGCCACGGTGAACCCGCACGTAGAGTAAGTGATGCGTCGATGGCATCGTTCTGTGGTCAAGCTGCGAAGTACTCCACGGAGTTGGGGTAGCATAAGGTCTTCTACGTGAGCATGGATTTCGTTATAAGAACCAAAGTATTGAAGTTGAGTAGGCCTAAGATTCACTAAAGCGATAGCGAGGATCAAATTGGCCCAAGCAGCGCCATAAAGGGGCCTATAAAAAAGACACAATGATAAGTATAACCAAGGCATTCTGGGGGACAAACTCTATCTGATGGGACACCAGCGGGTCCGCCCTATCCGACCTAAAGCAAGTGAGTGCCAGGAATATCCCTCGGAAGTTAAAGCCATGGTGTTGAACGCTGAATGCAGCTGGCAGGGAAGTCCTTCTGATATAAAGTTTGCGGTCACGGTATATCCGTAAGCTCCAAGTTCTAGCCGAAGTGCCATGGTTAGAGGAATTTTGAAGAGGGATGTTGGAGGAGGAATATGGAGAGCTAAAGACTGATATAAGAAACGTGATGTTAGGCGTTTTAACGTTTCTGTGGATGAAGCTTGGCAGGACGACGGCCAAGCACGCGGGAAGAGTGACAAGAGACGTCGGCGGCAAGGTTCATTTGGACGGCCCGGCCCAATTTACGGGCGTAAATATAACTATCACGGCATAGTTGAATTTGATATTTATTTATTTATTTTGTCAAGTCTCGGTCAACATCATCATCCATCGTCTATTTTCATGGGATAAATTAATTCTATAGCAGAATATAGCACGGTACTCATGGAGAACCTAACTATGCACGCTTTCATCGGGGTTGTTTTCGCAAGCAGGCATACTAGGAGGGCTATTGTAATAACGATCGTATCTATTCGTCGACAGATCGGCCCACCTGACACTTTAACCTCTTCAGATCTAATGCCCGCGATACGTTGATCGTGCCCCAAGTTGCTGGCATCCATATGCTGGTCCATGTGGGCCGCCATCAACACAACACTCGCAAACTCATCAAAACATACAACCGCTGTCCCCGCACCCCCTCCTTGCCACTGCATGTCAGCTAGACAGAGGTAGACAGAGTTTCAGAACAAATAGCATTATCCAACTCTTAGACGTGCTGTAAATGCCGTACATAGATCTTACATTTCTATTTGCATTCTGGACCACAATGTGACCATCATTTTTGCCTAAAACCAAAATTAGATTCAGCAGCAGCAGACTCCTCTCCATGAGGCCGGCATGGTCGCGGCAACGGCTCCAACTATATATATCAAGGACCTCGCTACAAAAATACTTAACATCTTCTGTTCCTTCCCCATCACCTTCTGCACGTTGGAGGGCTGAACGTTTCTCCAAGCCAATCCTAGGTCTTCAAGAAAATAGCTGCCTCTCGTCAAATTTAGGGCACCCTCCAATTCCTAATTTTTGGGAGCAATTCCTTTATATTTCCAACTAAACACACTTTACAACTCATTATACTAACGCACTACCAAATACACAATGCGTTTGTCGTCGCTCTTTACCACCACGCCCTCCGCCTCTGCGCTTTTGGCTGTTTCTATTCTTGTCGGCTTAGCCAGCGCTCAGGATCGCACCACGGAGGCTGGCGAGGCTCAAATTTTAGGTGAGCAACGCTGTAGTTATTCTGGTTCAGTAGGGGAGAATTGCACCTGGGTATTGGGAGAAAGTGTTGTGGTCTGCAAATGAGGTGTTGGTCCTATGAGGATTTTCGGCTCCGTCTCAGCCAATGGTTGATGCAATCGTTATCTGGCAGCTGGATCACCAACACATGTTCTCGATGATTGACGCCTCTGCGTGTTGCGTGTCTTTCCTTATCAACGGAGTGTTTCAGTCGGTGGTTCCTTGCCTGGTCACCTGGCCGCGAGGAACGGCTGACTGACCTCCAGTTGAGTTTTCATGGGATCATCTATTGGTCAGCCAATTATCTACCGGGGCGGATGTTGCGCTGTTTGTCCTCAAACGACCCCTCGTACTCTTCATCCCTTCCGTGTGGGGCATCATACATTATCTACCGAGCGCGAGTCGCGTTAATGACGTATGATAGCTATTTTTATCTTTTCCGTGATCGCGTCGAACGTTCTCAAACTTGTCTCACACTCACTAAACGTCTATCTTGGTCCTTCTAGATCCTACCCTAGAATGTTCACCGTACAACTATGCACCAGTTACAAACGCGCTTTCGCAGTTCCCAACGATTTGGGATCCTGCCGACATCTTATCGAACGATACCAACGCGCAAAACAGGTACAACAGTATGTCTAGTGGCATACCCAACATTCAACCAAAGGGCACCCAGCCTGCCTCTCTTATGGGTGACTTCTCCAACTACTCGTATCCTGCTTCCGATCCGGATTGTTGGTGGACCTATAGCAAGTGTACAACGCCCAAACTTTCGGGGCTTGCACCTGATATGACCGGCACCCCTGAAGTGAGGACGCAGTCTTCATTTATATGTCATTCGAAAATCTGACCTGTTAGTAGCCGGATACTCTTGGGTATGGATTCGATGACGGACCTAACTGTTCCCACAATGCATTTTACGACTTTTTGCAGCAGAACAACCAAAAAGCTAGTGAGTAATGCGGCCGAATGCACGAATGAAGCTTACCAACTTGTGCTCAAATCAGCCTTGTTCTATATCGGTAGCAATGTTATGAATCACCCTCTTGAAGGACAGCGGGGCCTTACTGATGGTTTGTTTCTCTAAATGCAGCATGCTCAATATCTAACTAGCTATAATCATTTTTACTAGGTCATGAGATTTGCGTTCGTACGTAAAGTATTTTATCCATTTCGACCCGAAATCTAACCCCCCTCCATCGAATAGATACTTGGTCCCATCGCTATAGTATGTAATGTTGCTACTGAATTCGTCAAGTACTAAACCCTTGTGCAGTGACTTCTTTGACGAACACACAACTTTTCGCAGAATTCTATTACAGTACGTTTTTTCATTCGATACTGTCGTCTTGTCGTCCTTACCCTCGGTTTTAGCTGTGAGTTTGATATCAAGGGCTAATGAACAAAATAAACTTATAGTTTTGAACAGTTGCAAGCCATCAAGCTAGTCATCGGTGTTACACCCACTTGCTGGAGGGTAAGCATTCGTACAAATTATTTAGATACGCTGAGCTTATGTGACATCAGCCTCCCTACGGTGATGTCGATGACCGAGTCCGCTATTTCGCCAATGCGTTTGGACTGAAGACGATCGTTTGGCAATACGACTCAAACGACTGGAAGGCTGGCATTGACGGGGTCACCGATCAAGATGTCGACAACAACTACATGAATCTGATTACCAGCGCTCAGAATGGGACATTCAAATCGGTCTGATCATCTTCTACGTTGAATGGTATATCGATTCAAATGTACTTACCTCTTTCTTCTAGGCTGGTACCATCATGTTGACCCATGAATTGAACAACTTCACGATGTCGGAAGCTATCAAGTTTTACTCCCAGCTGAAGTCGGCTTTCAAATACCTAATCCCCATAGGTGTTGCAAATAACCAGACGCAGCCATACGTTGAGACCAACTATTCACTTCCCACCTTCGAGCAGTGTACGATCGTCCACGAGTTCACGTTTGCATCACAGCTAATCACTTTATCACACAGATATCAGTGGTTCAACGACCGTTACCGCTTCTTCTCAGCCGAGTAGCAGTGGAAGCAGCGGCACTGGTGGCCAGGCAGGATCGGGTGGTTCCACTACTTCTGGTGGCTCCACCACATCGGGCAAGCCAGGTTCTAGTGGTGCTGTTGGCATGAAGGCCGTGAATGGAATGGGTTTCGTGGTAGCGACAGTTGCATTACTGGCCGGTGCCTTCAGGGTTCTGGCATAGATGCCTTAGCTTCTATTCTTGTTAAGGGTGTCAGTTCTGTTTTTCGAATAACATCCTTCCACCAATCTGACTTGAATTTGTAATGCCCCTTTCCTGTAGCTTCCATTCCCATTGCCATCCAACGGCACCTAATAATGACACCATGCAAGTTGTCTCGTTGGTATGCGGACTGCATTTTCTTTCATTTTGTCTTTGTCGTACAGACTTGTTTATCATTACGAATAGCTTCAGACATATTCTATATACTTTAGTATGTACGCCACTCTTGTGCGGTTGTATGGCCTTGAACTGGACTCTTTTGCCTGCTACGGTATACAATAACGCGAAGACGTTCCATAGTTGCAAACTATCGTCATCACGATCCTATTTTGTTACACTTCGTAACTTTGACTTACATTTTCATCCATCTGCTCTGTTCATTAATGTACATATGGCATACTTTGGCGGTTTTGTTTGGCAGTAGTCTTGACAGATTTTACGACAGAATACCCTTGACAAACTTTTAGGTGTGTTCGAACTCAGCGCCCTAGCTACTCTATACCAACTCGAACACTACTACTTTGACCGTGTGGTAGTCAGAGAGCTCAACGTTTCATAACAGCAGCCTCAACCGCTGTACTTATATACCAGTTGAGTCGTATATTTTCTCTGAAGCGAAGTCAATGGCACGGATCAGAACTACTCAATTGATCAATCTTGCGTGACAAATATTGTGATGATTCTCTTTATCAAATGGTGTCAATGAGGTGATGATCCGCACCTCGGTCGGTCCTGAACCTCGGTGTGACTTCCATTGATACTTCTGTAGAAGCATGTCAAGATGTTTTATTTCTTCAATATTCCTCCAGTAGAATGTGCTTCGGTGAAGCTTTGAGTCTTGCTCTTGCTGTTTCGGCGACGATTCACACCACGTGGATATTCATCTCCGGCTCATTACGTCACGTAGTTGAACTACAAACTACTATAAAGAGCTGCTCGCCCCTGTCGACTTTTCTCAAACTTCAACCCCCACATCCTTGTACATTTATTACTACATTATACGGCCGTTGTATCGTAAAGCTCCATAATGCATTTGAAGTCGCTCTTTACCCTTTCCTCATCTTCTGCGGGGGTCCTGGTCGCGTTCCTCCTTGCCGCGACAGTCAACGCTCAAGACCGCACCACAGAAGCTGGCGAGGCTAAGATCAAAGGTATGTATTTTTGTGATTGTGTTCCATCCATCCCTACTACTTGGAGCCGCATACGTGCGAGGCCGGCGGGCATCACGTTCAATGTGTGGTCAGCCGCATACCTTTAGCCTGAGGTGCAGCTATCGAACACGTTCTTCGGCCGTGGAATATCACGCTGTATCTTATATGCGCGTCGTCTACACCTAATGGACTATAATTCATACCTACCCAAACTCGTCATCTTCTTTGAGTTGATTAATCTTTGCGCATCTTGACCTCTATTTTATAATGGGACTTCTCGCTCCTTGGAGTGTTCTGAAACCTTCTTTTCAGATCCAAACCAAGAATGTGCCGATTACGATTATCCTCTGGTCGTAAATGCCTTGCCAAATTTTCCGGCCATCTGGGAAGTGGCTACTATTTTACTGAACGATACAGAGGCGGTGGATAAGTATAACTCGATAAAGGACCAAATCCTTGCACTTCCCCCGAAAGGTACCCAGCCCGACTCGCTAATGGGTAATTTCTCTACTTTGACGTACCCTGATACCGACCCGGATTGTTGGTGGACGGATACCATGTGTACTGTTCCAAAGAATTCCACTATAATACCTGATATCAAGGATGTACCGGAGGTGAGCATTTTGCTTTTTTATTATCGTCGGGTCGGGTCACTGACAACGATAATCTACCACAGCCAAGAACAAGTGGCATGGGCTATGACGACGGTCCCAACTGCTCGCACAATGCATTCTATGATTATTTGCTGGAAAAAAATCAGAAAGCTAGTCAGTTTCACTTCTACTTCTTTGCAGTACATCAAAAGAACTGAAAGCTGTCTAGCGATGTATTTCATCGGCAGTAACGTCATGTATTGGCCAATGGAGACACAGCGTGCCCTTGCAGATGGTCATGAAATATGTGTTCGTAAGTAATGCTCTATCCAAAACCGGTGTGTCTCACCTAAGCACATGCCTAGACACGTGGTCTCACCACTACAGTTGAGCCTTTCGTTCCTCTTTCCCCGTGGATGTTTGATTGAATGCCTTATGCTATGTAGTGACCTCCTTGACGAACGAGCAAGCATTCGCCGAATTTTGGTACAGTGAGTGTTACAGCTCAAATTAACTGATCACGGCTTCCTCAAATCTTCTCCTTCTTCAGCTGTGAGCTTTGAACATACTAACTCTACTCCGACTGGGATTTGATAGACTTTCCGTGCAGTTGAAAGCCATAAAGCTGGTCGCCGGTGTAACGCCCACTTGCTGGAGAGTATGTGATTCAATTGCTGCTTCTATTTTTGCCTTACATTTCCATAGCCTCCGTTTGGTGACGTGGATGACAGAATTCGTTCCATTGCACAGTTGCTTGGAATGTCGACCATTATCTGGAGCTACGACTCAAATGATTGGGAGTTTGGAATGGGCGCCACAGCTCAGCAGATCGACGACAATTACATGGGCTTCATAAACGCGGCCAAGAATGGTACTTTCAATAATGTGCGTTGACGTTTGATTATAATGATAGGAGCGCTTACTTATTATCACTTTATCTCATAAGCGTGGATCCATCATGCTGACCCATGAATTGGACAACTTCACTATGTCAGAAGCGATGAAGTTTTATGATCAGTTGGCCGGGGCTTTTGACCACATGGTACCCGTTGGTGTCGCCTACAATAAGACTCAGCCATACGTCGAGACCAACTATACCCTGCCCTCTTTTGCAGAATGTGAGCCCTCAGTTCAAAGTAGTTTAAATATATAGTCGACTTACCATTGTGTAGATGTGTCCGAGAGGACCGCCAAATCTAACAACACTACGCCCAAAGGCAACAGTGGTGGAGGTGGGAAATCCACAGGTTCTTCAAGTTCTGGTTCAAAGCCTTCGGACTCGCCTTCTGGGAAGCAAGCAGGCGGCAAGAGCGGGGCTATGGGCCAGATGGTTTTCAGTGGTATGGCTGTACTTGCAGCGACGGCAGCATTATTTTTTGGCGTCGGAAGGGTTTTTGCATAGATGCGCCTTTTTTCTTCTTCATTCTCGACTTCGGCAGCAGATTCTTTCTCCATCTAGACAAGTATTTTTTCTTTATGTATCGCCCTACTCCACTGTCATTACATGTAGCCTGGCGTACCGTGCCCCCAACCTGTATTTCTTGTTCTAGTTAGCGCCTGTGCATCAACGATTCGATCGACTCACCAAGTTTACTTCAGTCGCCGCTGTATTCATCTTACATAAGTCTGGGCCATACGCATGCAAAAAACTGTAGTGTATTTCAGTCTTAGGTGTTAGTCCAAGATACGAGGCTTGAAACTACAGATAAAAATACAATTTCTTGTCGACTCCTAGACTTTCTCTCTGGAAGAGGCATACCATACTTCAACTACAATGGCCAGTCCAATTTCTCTCCAAAGTTCCAGTGCACTGCTTTCACAGAGGTGTATTCGTCTAAAGCGTAGCTACCCAGTTCTCGGCCTGGATGGAGGTCGTTATGTTCATATCAAGTACTATTATGGAAACGACACATACCGATGCCGCTCTGTTTTTTACCGCCAAACGGTACGTTATTGTTCAAAAGATTGTACTGGTTGATCCAGACCTGACCGAATAAAATCACATTACACTCGTGGATTAAAGCTGTTCGGTACTTACAGTTCCTGCTTCAAGCATGGACGACACGCGCATACATTGATTGGCATCGTCTGTAATAAAGGGTAAAATATGTATTACTGCTTGATAGTGTACCAAATGATCTGGACTTACTAGAGTGAAGTCCAGCACCGAGGCCATAAGTCGTGTCATTTGCCAACGTTATGGCTTCCTCTTCAGTGCTGAACCTTCCGACTGACAGAACTGGGCCGAAGATCTGGTGCAAACTCGTCAGCAGAGGTCAAAGCGAAAAACGTAGCAACCGTGGACTGCTAGAAATTTTTACCTCTTCCTGGACCTGTACACATCACGCCTCGTCAGATACCTAATACGTCTCACAGAGGCCAGCTTGGAAGACTTACGATCTTCATGCTCTGTGTGATATCCGTGAATACTATCGGGTTATGTCGTCAGTGTTCAATGCAGATGGGAAAGAGGCACCAAAGCGAAAACTTACTAGTGGGGTCGACGAAGTAACCTTTCCCAGGTCGTTTCTCGCCGCCAAGTATCGCCTTTGCACCCTGGGATTTTCCACTCTCTATATACCCCATCACTTTGTCGTATTGTGTTTTAGACACCTATACGCAGGATGATAGCTTTGAGTCAGCTTGGAAGGGTACGGCACATCAAAGTGGAGAGGCCTACCAACGGCCCTCCGGCGGTTTTCTCATCAAAGCCATCACCTACAACGAGCTGCTTCGACTTCTCAACAAGCAATGATACGAATTTGTCGTATATCGAATTCTGAACGTACAGCCGCGAACCGGCCGTGCAGTCCTGGCCAGTGTTGTACAGGATGCCCAAAGCGGCCCAGTTAGCTGCCTGATCAAGATCCGCGGATTCAAACACGAGATGTGGTGATTTACCACCGAGTTCAAGAGAGACCTGTATTAGGTGCATTAGTTGTTAACCCGTCGCAGAATTGCATTGTCTTCAGAGACGTCATCTTATACCTTCTTCAAATTGCTCTTGGCTGCCGCTTCCATGATCTTACGACCAGTAATAGTCGATCCTGTGAACGCCACTTTATCGACGTCCTTGTGTGATGCCAATGCGGCGCCACCAACGGATCCCAGGGAGGGAACAGTGTTCACTACGCCTGGAGGGAAACTTGAATGCGAAAGGTTCACATTACAAGAGGTTAACATCGAGAATGAGACACTTACCCAGCTTCGACGATGAGCTGTGATAGCATCAGAGCGGTTAGGGGCGTCAACTCGGATGGCTTCATCACGATGGTGCAACCACACGCTAGTGCGGGAGCTACCTTCCAAGCCCTGGAGGTTCGTCAGCGTTATCGTTATGCACGCCCTTTTGGATGCTGTTTTTGCGTACCACATGTTGATGGGATAGTTCCATGGGATTCTACGGAACAGGGACAATGTTGGTATTTGTGGAGAAGTAATATAATGAGTTGCTTACATTTGTCCACAAACGCCAATAGGATCATGACGAGTGAAAGCCAATTTTGTCTTGTTGTCGACTTCGATGGTCTATATACGATGGCATTATATCTCGTGCTATAAACACCAGATCATTAATATCCTACCTGACCCAGAATCTTATCAGCCCAACCAGCGTAGTAACGTAGACACTGGATGCTGTCGCCGATATCGAAGTCCCTGCGAGAATAGCCTTAGTTCTATTCGAGTGTATCGGGAGTGAAGACGGTTACCTAGCAATTCTGACAGGCTTTCCATTGTTAAGACTCTCGACCTCAGCAAGCGCCTGCGCGTCCCTCTCCATAAGATCGGCGAGCTTGTTCAGTAACCTGGATCTTTCAAATCCAGTGACATTCTTTCCCCATGTCGTCTTGAATGCTTGACGAGCAGCCGCAACAGCTATGTCGATATCTTTCGCGGATCCTATACTGACAAGTTATGCTCTATAACATGGTAAACGAATTTTGAGGATATCGTTACCTGCAACTACGGAACAAAGAGGTTCTTCAGTAGCGGGATTGATAGTACTGAATGATGTCAGTGTGGTATCTTATCGGGTTCAGGACAAAGCCGTACTGAATGAGCTCTTGAGAGTCTGCTGAGGGGACGAACTGGTTGTTGATGAACAAGCCAGAAGGGATGGTTACCTCGCGGTTGGTAGCAGGGATGACGATACGTGCTGTCTGTGCCATGGTCGTTCGAGCAATAAAGAGGAGTCGGCGAGAAGTAGAGAACATCTGACTTGTGCGATAAGCCCCCGGTTATAAAGCCGCGCGCTAATTGAATGTTTTGCTCTTTTGGATATCTTTGAAAGGACGAAATGTGATTTCGTCTCATGTGGTATCTCACGCCGCGTCATATGCCATCGAATTTCACCCAGCGAGCGACGGAGGGAGATCTCTAAGCGAGGAGTTCCCCGATACGACAACCATGAAGCTGTGATATAAACCGATAGAGAAGAGAATATGATGCGGATAGCGGTTTAGATACTTAATGCACCATAAAGACTTTCTGGTGTCACGACTGTACTTATCAAGAGCATATACACGGTGTCTAGATAACCTACCAAAATGGCAAACAACTCCCACGCTGTCTTTTAGGGTCACAGCCACGGTACACGACATGATGCATGTTGCATTTACACCGCGACCTTCAAGTTCTCTGTGGTTCTTACTATTGGTAGTCTGGACAAGGCTCAGCGCCTATTAGAAACATGGTCAGTACATTTGGCTCACCTCTGTATCTGTGCTGATGCGCAGCAGTCCGCGCTCTTCAACTTCCAATCACTACTTCTTGTGATTTTACTTCTCATCTGCACCTGCACTTACGTTCGTGCTGTAGCACCTCGTCTGGTCGACAGAAACAAAAACGGGTCAGTGCAATCAAATGCAAAGAGATTATCTTACTAAACTTGTGCAAAGGTTTCTTGGACTATTCTTCATGTCTGCTAGAATTGGTGCGTCTCGTCTGGTTCCATTCACGTCCACGTTCGTGGCTTACCTCGCGACTTCTTTACCTTCTAGGAGAGCGTCTATCACCTTACGTCGCCTTTGCCTGTGTAGCAATGGCACTTACCATGCTAGTGCAGTAGTGGTACATGGCATTCTATTATAGCTCTACATGAAATCGACAGCCAGGAACAAAAAGATCGCTACATGTCAGTGTTCAGTCCATATCAACCTATGCAACAGCCGTCCGCCGCCCCCGTCGTCCTCCCTGTCCATCCTCTTCATTATTCCTATCTCCACCATATAACGACGAAGAAGACCGCTGCGCCGTTCGCTCAACGATAGATGTGCCGTCTCGGAAACGCGCTCGGAAAAGCACGTTCGCATTCGTAAACAACCCTTCTTTCAGCGATACGACGATGAATTGGGAGCCTTTGAAACGTGTGCGTAAGAGCTGTCCGATATGTTGAGTGTGAGAGAGGTCGAGGGCGGCATCAATTTCATCTAGGATGTACATAGGAGCGGGTTTAAATTGGAGCAAGGCCATGATCAAGGAAAGAGCTATGAGTGACCTATACCCAAACCATCAATCAAACATAATCGACGAAGATGAGAAGGTTAATGATGAACAGACCGTTGACCTCCACTAAGTTCAGTTAAACTCTGCTTCCAAACACTTCCCAGGCGGACTTTGACCTCGAGGCCTTGCATTAGATCTTGGCCTTCTGGTGGCTGCAGCTTGGCAAAATTGCCTGGTAGTAACTCGCCAAAGATTCCTCCGAAGTCGCTGAAAAGATGTCTGGTTATGTTGGTGCCAGAAGATAAAAACTGATTATCCTACCCATTCACTTTCTCCCAGGTCTTTTCAAGCGCATCTCGTTTATATCGGTCCAACTCCTCAATGGTCACTTCAATCTTCTTCTTGTCCTTTAGAACAGTGTCCAACATCTTGTTCAGTTCAGATTCTTTCTTCTCGACGCTAGTAATGAAGATGAGTTGGATGAGATCAAAAAACGAACACGAGCGCAACGCACGTATCAATCATATTTATGACTTTCGGGTTGATCTTCTTCTTCATTCCTTTCTGTCTTTGTTCGAGTTCTACTGCCTTATCTCTCAAGCCCCCTATGTCTACCGTCGAAAAGTCGTACTGCGAACCCGATTTACCGAATAGGCTATATTTCCCAAACATTATAACTGATACTGATTCCGAAGGAAGTTACTCACTGATGTTCCTCCTGGATCCACTCATATTGTTTCTCCAGGTTTGTCACGAAGGTGGTAAGATGAGCTTTCTCTTTCGCTAACGCTTGCAAATCATGATCCAACTTCTTGAGGCTAAGGTCCGCGTCTGACACCGCTTGCTTTTTGTTCTTGATCACTTTCTCAAGTTCCTTTAACTCGTTGTCGAATCGCGATAACGTAGCGCGTTCCTCTTGCAACTTTCGATCTGCCTTGGCATGGGCTGTCTCGCTGTTCTCCAATTGATCGATTAGCTTGCTCAGCTCCTTCTGCAGCTTTGCTATTCCAGCCCGAGCCTCTTCCACTGATTGTTGCGATGTGCTTATATCCTTTTCCATTTGCTCTGTGGGATGGTTAAGAAACAGTGACATTAATGCATAATGAACGTACCGAGTTCCAGTTTCGCAGTCTGAACCTCCTTTTGATGTGTCTTCACCCCAACTGCTTGTTTCTGAAGCGCTGCCTTCTGCTTCGAGATACTTGCCTTATCACATACACAACCCAGAAGTCAACGCCAAAGCCAACAGTACAGAAACAGAAGACTGGTATGTACCTTGAGTTCGTCGATTTTGCCTTCTTTATTGTTCTTAAACTCGTCCATGTCCTTCTCGAGCTTCTTGCATTCCTCTTTGGCGGCCGACTGTTTATCCTTGGCGTTCTGCACGGCCTGTTTCAAGTCGGTTATGGTCTGTTTCAAGGCCTCAACTTCTGTTCCGAGCTGCAGGATTTTCCTTAAAAAGTGACAGGTATAGAAATTCTGAGAACGTACCCTCGAAGCACTGCTCCCGCCAACCTGTTCTTCCAAGAGGTTCATCTCATGCTGTTTGATATCCAACTCCCTTGAAAGCTTCTTCCACCGCTCCCGCTTATCGCGACCCTTTTCATCATCTGCTTCCAAGGCAGCCAAGCGTGCCTTTGCTTCTTCTAATTTGTGCTCCGCTTCGAGAAGCTCTTGCACCTTGATCAGCATGCCACTTCCACTAGGTGCCGACCCACCGCTGAGAGTGCCAGATGGGTCATAAACGTCGCCGTCAAATGTCACTGAGCGTGCACCGCCGACTTCTTTGGAAAACGTTACGAGCTTCGCGGATTCTGCGTCCGCACAGATGAGCGTGTCACCAAAAACATAGGCCATTGCGTTGGCGACGTCTTGAGGGTAGCCAATGAGGGATAACGCGAGGTCAACTTTACCAGGTGCCAACTGCGATGCGGTAGCAAGTTTCTAAAAAGCAACGTTATAATTGTTTTTTCTTCTGCCAAAGCATAATAAGACAGACTCTGTTGTTCATGACGTTGGCATTGATTTTGTTTAAGGGAATGATAGTAACGCGTTTCTTTAGCCTACCATTCTGTAAGAGTTCTTTGCCGATCCGCTCGTCTTCGACAACGACATTATACAGTTTACCTCCTGCCGTGATTTCTAGTGCCGTGGATTTGTTGTAGTGTTGTTGGCCTATCGAAACTAAGGATGCAACGAGTCCCTTCACTTTTGAGTGGTCGAAATTAGCATGCGGCGGCGTATAGTTAAAATCGAGAGCCGAAAGACGTTGCTTCACTGCATCTCGTTCCTACACCGACTTTTAGTAGACAGATTTTTCCTGCAAGAAATTAACGTACCTCTGTAAACTGACGCACTTGCCCCTTGGCCGTCTTCATAGCCACTTCATGTTCATGCTCTTTCTCCGCGCTCCACCCACAGTCTGCAACCTGTCGTCGGAATTTCTCCACGTTTGCTTTCATATTCTCTAGATTTTTCTTCCCTTCCCCCGCTTCCCTCTCCACTGCCTTCCACCGCCCCTCCAGCGTCTTGAGCTCTTTCTCGCTCATTCCTAGCTTGACTCGGCTTTGCTCTTCCTCGGCACTAGCTTGAGCGATACGTGCTTTTGCATCAGCAAGCTGACCCATATATCCTCCACCTGAGTTACCCGCTTTACTAGACGAAAGCCCCGTAAGCAGGGTTTGTAGCAGCTCCTCTGCATTCGTCACTGCAGTTTGGGTTTCATTGTGCTTGTCCTTAACAGTCGTGTACGACTTGTCGAGGTCTTGAACCTGCTTTTCTTTCTGTCCCAGGGACTCCTGGAGGTCCTTCAGTTCTGTCTCCATACCGGCGGCTTTAGTCTCCTCGTCCGCGATTGTCCCATTCTTGATCTCAACCTGAGTCCTGATTTTGACTAACACCTTCTCCAGCTCCGCTACTTCTTCTTCGTGTTTCTTCAGCTTCCCACCCTTCTTCATCTCTTCCTCCTTCTTCGCTATCACCTCTTCGCAAGCTTTCTCAGCCTCCGCCCCCTCTCGTACAAAACGCTCTCTGTCCTTCTTCGTCTTCACCATATCTTTCTCCTTCCTATCCATTTCATTTTGCTTCTTCTCCGCTCTCTCATGTCCGTCTGTCCATTCCCACGCACGCAACACCCTCCCAATTCGTTCTAGCTCAGAACATGCCTTTTGCCATTGAAGGAACGACTTTTTCTCTTCCCGCAGTCCGTTGAGTTTAGGTTTAATTTCCTCGTGCAATAACGACTCTATTTCTTGCACCCGCTTCTCCTTTTTCCCCATGGTCTTCTTTGCCTTGTCTTTCCGTTCTTCGAACATACGAGTTCCTGCAGCTTCTTCCACCATGCCTAGAATCTCTTGTGGCCTCATGTTCAACACCTATTTTGGAAATGATGATTAGATACCCCTGTGAATGTCACAAGGACACACCTTGGTGATGCGGCCTTGCATAATCAGGAAGTTGGGGTTGTTTATGTTGAGTTGCACGCTCTGAAACAGGGTCTGTATTGTGTGTTGCTGTGATTTGTGCCCATTCAGTAGGTACTTTGAAATATTGGGCAGAGCGATCTGTCTGGACATTCAGCAAGCGGATAGAGAACCATGCGAACGCCACGTACCTGCCGGGTAACGGTAATCTGTTTACAATTCTCCAGACCAACCGGGCTCTTCTCCCTATCTGAGTTATCGAATACAATGGTTACGCTCGCCTTTGTGATGCCCGCTTGCCCACGTTTGTATATTAAATCCTGTTGGTTCTGAGCACGCATCTAGACGGTAAAGCGTGTTTGAGTCGTGGATTGGGAGTAGAGCTTAACCCAGCGTACCTGGGACATGTTCGTTATTCCAAGGACAAAGCAAATCGCGTCGAGAATGTTGGATTTGCCTGAACCATTCAGACCTGTGATGGCGTTGAAAGAGGCGTCCCATCCTGTGATCTGCGTTCGAACTGGATACGATTTGAAACCTGTAGATTCACATATGAGTATCTGTGCGATTCGAGTAAAAATGCCTGTGCACACCTTCGAGAACAAGTTCCTCTATCCGCATGTTTCCAATTTACCGTGAAGAGCGATGAGCACGCGTCGCGACGCGCTCGTGTGTTGAAACCGGAGATTCAAATTTAACGTTCCGGGGTGGCCAGGGGCCGCTCGCCCACCTGACGGATAACATACTGATGGTGCCATCGATAACCTCCTTACAATGATCTTGGAAGATAAGTCCGCGTGGCGCTGGAGATACAGGGGACTCTCGCTCTCACACGCTGCTTTTCACAATAAAAACATACCCAAGAGTGGCGGCGAACAGAAATGGAAGACCCCGAATCGCACTTTGAATATTTCGTTATTTCTGAGCTCATTCGCATCGTGTAGCTTGGGCTGAAGTTTTTGCTTTCTTGCACATCGACCTCAAAGCCTCTTTGTTCCACTCTTTCTACACCTGTAAAAGACGTTTCGTAGAAACCTCTAAAGCTGTTGCACTTGACTACAATTTAGCATGTCTCTGTCTGATTTTTCAGAACTGACAGAACTTTCATCGGATGAAGATATCCCCTTGACGCAGGCAAGCGCTGCGAAGAAACGCCCTACACCCAAGAAGACTATTCGTGAATACCAGATATCACATGCCCTGCGTCCTCCGCGTACCTCGCAATACACTGCTAAATCTCTTTACGGTGCGCTTTCTTTGCCATTGTCTTGTTGACATCATGTGAAAGCTTAACTAAATTACTGACTTTGCATACAGACCAAACTGTCGATGGTTCTATAACCCTTGAACCTGAATATCAACGAGGTGAGAATATTTACATTTACAGTCCTTGTTCCTTTGTCAAAGATCTTCAATGGCCAAAACCCCGTCCCAAGTCGATTTGACATTCTGATACCCCATCCCTCCCCCAGGCATTGTATGGCCCGAATCAAAGCAGTCAGGACTAATAGACTCTATTTTGCGCAATTATTACATCCCGCCAATCATATTTGGTCTGTGTTAATGCCATTCCATAGTCACTGTTCTCACAAGTTTTCAGCTGTCTCGAGTTCTGATGATGGATCTGAGCTGCGTACTTGTATCGATGGGAAGCAACGTTTGACTTCCATCCAGCGGTAAGAATCTAGATAGCTTTATCGCAGTGAAGCCACCTTTTTCTCATTTTTGTTGCTTTCCAGGTTCTTGGATGGGCAGGTCAGTCTTTAACGTTTATTGATTTACAAGGTGACTGGTGGGTTCTGACAGTTCCATTTATAGATTCCACGTTCGTATGATAACTGTACACATGTCACTCACCTGCTGAACACACTGTTCTTCCCAAATTCGCATTGCAGACAAAGACTCGTTCGTTGTTTAGTCCATCTATCTACATATGCTATATCAAACTTTTCCTGTTTAGTTTCACTAACGAAAAGCTGTGGTACAAACAAAATGGTCAACCTAAAAGAAAACTCCTTCCGAAGCAATATATGTCAAAGTTCTCCAATAAGCAGATCGCATGCGTAGAGTACGAAAACTTGACTCAAGACCAGGAGCGGGAAATCTTCCAGGTACTCTAGCACCGATGGTCTATGAGTGTCGCTGATATCAATCACCATTAGCGTGTCCAACTTGGTGTGGCTCTCACACCTGCTGGTATATTTCCTTTGTTCTTATACGTCCTTAACTTCAACTCAGGCTTGACGTAATCTAGAGCGAATGCAAGCTATCACTGGACCATGGCCCTCATTGATAAGAGAAATCTCAATCAAGGCTCTCGGTGATGGGGGCTTTGAGGGCTACCTCGAATGGGGTCACGCTCGTGGCCGAGATTTCCAATGTCTGGCTTCCATAGCATACCTCATCGATAAGCTGCCAAAACACACTGCCCCTGGAGCTCCACAACTAGAGAAATGGCTCCAAGAAACAAGACCTGTCCCCCCAGAGTTTCGTGAAGACTTGGTCGATACTTTCCGCATTTTCGTCGCCCTAGCTCGTGATAAACGATGGAGTGCTTCTCTTAACAGGCCCACACGAGTTTCCCCTATTGAATTTGTCATGATTGGTGTTCTCATCTATTCTCATCGAAAGTCATTGTCTATGACACAGCTCTCTTCTGCTATCGAAAAATTGAGAGCTGATGTGCGCTCCAAACATGTTGACATCCGTTCCAACTCCAAAGTTACCAAAGATATGCTAAACTTTATTACCTTGAAGGTCAAGTCAATCGGTCTCAGAAGTGATGGTGAGGGTGACCAACCAGCTATGGGGACAGTTGTTGTCCCGCAAACCACAAAGCGGAAACGAGCAGTTTTACGTAGTGACGACGAGGATGAGGACGAGGAACCCAAACCACCACGAAAGAAGTCCCCCGCCAACCCTAAAGCTGATGCAAAAGTCAAAATTACCAAGACCACATCTTCCAGTAAGGTACATTCCAAAATCTCCATATGTTTCTAATGATGCTATAGCACCTAAAACTTCCAATAAGACACCAGCATCTCAGCCATCCAGTTCTCAAGTTAAAGTTTCTATTCCAAAAGTTCAGGCTGTTCCTTCCAATTCAGGTACATCATCCTCCAGGTCAACTCCAATTATCAAAGCCCCTCCTCCAACACAGACCCCCCGAGTACCCATTCCTCGCCCGCTCAGTAAAGCCCAAGTAAATTCAGGGATGCAGTCTGCCACTCCAACACCAAAAGTTTCACAAACACCAGTTCCGGCTTCAAAATTGGCCTCCACATCAAAAGCAGCCTCACCAACAGATGTACAGGCATTTCGGGCACCAATGCGGTCTACCCCAAATTCGGTACCAGTGCCTCCCAGGCCTGTTTCCACTGCGACACCCTCAATTAAGACTGAACTGCAAACTCAAACAAATGTTGCACCCAAGTCCATTGTGTCTCCCATCCCGCCTACACCTAGTCGAGAAGCCTCTAGCTCATCTTTAGCCTTGCGAGACAGATTGGCTCCTATTCGAGCTGCAAAAGCTGCTATTGGTGGGCAGTCTGGGCCTGCACCACAGAATCCGTCTCCAATGGCAGGGATCGAAGTTACTCGTGTTCCTGATTCAAAGCAAAGCCCGGGAACTGGCAGTAATATACCATCCCAAGTAACAGTTGATCCTAGGCGTCCACCTCCTGCACCTCCAGAACCGAGCAGCTTTGGCAGTTCACAACCAATTCAGCAGCAAGTTATGCAACCCCAGTCACAACCCCAGGTCCCTCCACACTCTGCGCCATCTCCAACAATACCTTCAACTGTACTAAGAGGCCAAGAGATTGACCGGGCATCGATTGAGGCCATCCTGGCGAGGGCTGGTATTAGAAAGCCGCCACCAGCTCCTCCTCCTAATACTCAACAGGGACCACAACATACACAGCCAAGTGTGCAGGGTAACACAGCAGCAAATGCCAGCGATAACTCCCCTCGTTCGCAACCTCCTAGTAATAGTGGGACACCGACGTTACCTAGTTTTCTCCCGTCACTGTTCCAGAGGCTCGGTGTAGTACAGCCGCAACCAAATTCTCAGAGTCTAGATGACAATGATAATGGGGCCGCTATGGCACCGAGTCATTCACCTAGAGTTCCTACGGGCGCGTCTGCACTGAGCGCACCTCAGTCGCCTGTGGCTCCTCCGACAGCTCCAAGGCAAATGAGTGGGAGCAGCATCACCAATCCCTCTACTCTCAATCATCCATTACCTAGTCGGCCTATGTTACCTATCCAAACTGGCTCCTTACCTCCACCACCAAATTCAGGATCTAGTGCAGGATTCCCTCCCCCTCCGACCTCAGCTTCATCCACAGGTTCACATCATGAAGAAAGGCGGGGTAGCGACTATGATAGACGAGCAAGTGATCATCGCCGGACTTCAGCTCCCTATGACCGTGATTACTACCGGTCTGAGGAACGCTATAGTAGGAGAGGGTCTGCGGCCCATGAGAGAAATCGTGACAGAGACAGCCAAACGGATAGGGATTGGGGCAGATCCCGAGATAGTGGTTGGTCTGGGAGAGCGGGCAGGGAAAGAGACTATGCAAACAGGCACAGCAGGCGACCGTGAACACTCTCAGAGTCGGGTGTTCGGTTTGGAGAGAGCAAGGTAGCGAGTGAACGATGGGTTGTGGGTCCATGGGGGTGCCGTATGTGAAGGTATTTATCATTCGGTTCACGGTGCTTTTTGCAGACGCCCATGGTCCTTCTCAAAGAAAAATGTGCTGTCCTTGAGTTCATCCCTTGGCGCCTGAATCGGCAACATCCGCTTCCATCATTCATTCATTCACCATTTCGGGGCAACCACGCTGAAGCCTCTCAAACGAGCCCGAAAAATATGCATTCCTTCCCGGGAGATGCTAGCCATCACACCAAAGATACAATACCCTTCCTCATCTTTGCGACGATTATAATGTTATCTAAAACTATACGTGTCTAATCCCAAAAGATACCAAGTCAACATGTACATGTACATGTAGGAAGTATGTATGTAGTACGAACCAGACATTAAACTCAAAAAGATTGTTAGACTATGAGAAGAAGATTAGACGCTGCCGATAAGTCTATACCATATCAGGTCCTAGAAGTTCGATTCTCGAGCGTCAAGTCGATTAAATGAAAGCCTGCCCTCCGAGCATCTGCCAGAACACTGAAGCGTGTTTTCCTCAGCGGTAAACGACGGTGATTCCCACAAATACCGCGAATAGCCAGGTCAAAGTGACGCTCAGGTCCGCACCTCGCACACTACCGTTTGCACCCTTGGCGCCATCTGCCACCCAATCCCGCCATGCTGATTGCATTTCCAGGATAAAGGCCTGGCCTTCAGGGCTCTGGGTGCCTTGCGAGCCGTATGAGTCTGGATTAACAACGGGGGTGAGCCAGCCATCGGAAGTGAAATGGTCAAGACCGAGAATGGAGGAAGGGGAGGCCGGGGGTGTCGTCGATGTCGCGGAAGGAGAAGACGACGAAGACGAAGTGGGAGATGGCGTTGTTCCGAAGGAGACTTGGGCGCCAGAAGACGAAGAGAGAGCTTTTCTACATTGCTCGGCCAGCGGAAGGTGCGTGTGTACGTTCCACAGGTAGGACAGTCGGTATACTGTACTTGCTAGCAATGCCGTCGATGAAGCATCATAAAAAGTGGTATCGTTATCGGGGTAGTTTCTGAAAAGACCGTTAGAATTCTAGAAGAGATATATTTAGTAAGATAGAAACTTAAAAATAGGACTGTGTTCAAAGGCACGAGCACGTACAAGGAGTGGGTACATTCCGCCATGAATCTCTTGTATCCAATTCGCGAGATCTTTCTGCTCGTTTGCCAGCGACTTGTCATACTGGGATCGTTGTATCGTCCCAAGCACTCGGGTCATCCCAGCTGCAGCCCATGCATTGCCTATTTAGAAGCAGCACCAAAAAGGTTCAGAAGGCGTCAATGTTTTACGTAAAGCAAGATCATTTTACCTGTCGCCCAATGACCTTCGTCGTTGCCAGATGAACCTAGCAAAATATGCTTCCAAAGATTATTGGCATCTGGGTCCCGCAAGTAGCTGCGATAAAGGCTGATCTGGTTATAGGCTTCGGAAACGAGTGTACGATTTTCTGTGATAACCCCGTAGTAGGCCAAAAATGGGGGAACCATGTAAACAAAGTCACTCCTGTATAATGAGAGATTAGTTAGGCGCATATGATAGAATAACTCATGGCCCACCATAGCTGCACCTGATCCACCCGGTGGGACAGCGCGCCGTCACTCGTCTTGGGTACATCTTGAAACAGAAAGTTTAGCTGATCCTCTGCAGCACCAGCATAGTCCAAGCCATCCTTCTGTCCTTGACCCGTCCAGTTAGCCAACAAAACAGTGACACCTATACTCGCAGGATCCCCAGCACTGGAATCCTGGATGAGAGGTTGAGGACCTGTGATGTTGCCGTTTGAATTAGCGCGGCCCGCAACGATAGTCTTTGATATATTGAAAACGACTGAAAGGGCGTCCGTCAGATTTGAGGGCACAGTGGATGGCGGCGGGAGCGGAGAAGAAGATAGGACCGAGAAAGTCGAAGCAGTATACTCAAGAAGGGCCTCAGCTCGAGTGCCATACTCCCAGCTAAAAGCGCGAGGAAGACGCCCGTCAATAACAGAATATTTCTGACAATAATCAAGCACAACAGAGGCTGGTAACTAAAACATATTTCACCTGTAAACAGGTAAAGGTGTCTAAGACAAGCCCCTCGCTGAATTGGTTCCAGCTTCACGGTGTCCGTCCATAACAAGGAATACATTGGAGCTTACCTATGCGAAGCTCCCTCGCCTAGACGGTCGCTGACGATTGCAAGCTGAGCCTGTGTAAGGTTCTGGGAATACACTGATCGACAAAAAGCTACAAATAGAACCACTGCGAAAACGAGGTGTGGAGACATGACTTGGCTGGGGACCAACCTTAAAGGCGCCTCAAAGAAGGGAGCAAGTTGTTCATTTTGACGGCCAGCCAAACATCGTAGCATGTGGAGCCGGACTCAGACATGTCTTAAAATATCAATATCACCAGTGATGCCCAGAAGTCTCATGTCATATAGTAACTGATAAGGCAGATTGCCTAAGATTCATCAATTTTCAACTGCAACAAGAGACTGGGATTTCACTCAACTACACTGCTCTCATCATAATATCAGGTGCCAAGCTCCTGAAGATATCAGTCTTTGTCCACAGGACTGAAAACTTGTAAGTACTTACCGATCTTGGAAAGCGGCTGCAGTCGGCCCCAGTGGCGTGGGAACCTTTTTGTCGTCGTAACGACGTAAACTATGTCTCAATGCCAAGTGGTCGCTTTTCTGCAAGATAGACCTTTGCTGGTGTATGCTAGCATAAAAGCCACAACATGCCTTCTTGGGGGACTTTCGAAGTGGTATTTTGGCCATGCATAAAGATTCGCCAACAGATTACAACGGGGCCGCAGTGCAGGTCGAGTCTTCACGAATAGCATAAGCTATCGCAAGCATGGGACGAAGAGATACCGCAGGTGATTGTTATCCTTGGTTTTTAGGAAACTACAGCGAATGCCCATCGTGGACATCCACTAACTCTTGTAGCGTGTTTTTTTCTCGACTTTGGTACGGTACGGACTAAAGTGTGTTGTTCCTCATAGTACTTTTCGTGACACTGCAGTCGCAGTGAAAATGGCGGGCCTTCAGAAGACATCTTGACGTCCAATCGCTGTGGGCTGGGAGGAGACTGGAGAAAGATGAAGATTGATTCTGAGACAGTTGCAAGTATCAATCGTACACCCGGTGGTCCGAAAAAAGATCTCACAGCTTAGACTCTCAACCCTTCTGCCCCACGTCGGCCCACGATATCTAAACTTAACTTCATTACCGCTCCGCGCTGCACCTTCGTATTGCCACGAGGCGAGAATTACACATCGCAAGTTACTTGTACTCCGACGGGTTCTGCTCTGCCCAGGTTCGTCGATACCAACTTCAAACCCACCCGTTGCTGCAATTTGCCGTTTATCTGAGTAAATTGCAGCTGGTCGTACATACGTAAGGGACTCCACCTCGTGAATCAAAATAGGTTCTGATGTGGGCTGTGGTTGTTTACGGCGCCTAACCTTCATCTCTTACAGGAGTCTTTCGCATAAAATGTTACCATGTCCAAGTATTGGCGAGCCTTTAAAATGAAGTTGCGAAATAACAGGGACAACGAAACCGCGCTAAATGCATCCTTTCTGGTCATATAGAAGTGTTTAATTTTACCCTGGAAGGACCAACATGAGGCCTACTTCCCATTTAAAAGCAGGCATGTGCAATTAATCTCAATGCTATCGTATATATATATATACGAGTGTGGTAGTCTAGTTTACATATGTAAATGCATTATAAAACCTCAACCTATCAAACGAAATTGTATGACATATCGCTGCCCTACGAACAATTTATGAGTGTTGTCTGGATGCACCGTCACCTCCAGCTCGCCTACCATCCTCTTGACGAAGACATCCGAGTCGTCGTTCTGCTCAGCGTCCTTGGCTGCGTCCGGGTCGTGCAAGGTGTCGTTGGGTTTAGACTGAGCAAAGGGGAGCGGCACGTTGACGACGACAACGCATGAAAATCGCATGATGATACCTCCGAACTCGTTTGGGAACGAACCCATAGGACTAAGAAGACCATCAGCCATGTTAATCTACAGAAGGCCAAAATAGATAAACAAGCTGACTTAAACACGGTGCCCAACGCCTCGCTCAACTCCCTCACGATATTGCATGCGTCCTGCCGCATATTGACTGTGCGAGCCTCAGAACCCTTCTGCTCACCCTGAATATCAGACTTATTACCAATAACAGTCGAGTATTCCCCATCAAAAGCAAACGCCACTGGATTAACATTGATCATTTTTGACTTTGCAGTCTGAAGCTTGACATGCAAGTATAGGATCTGAGCTTCCATAAATCGCTCGAATCGCGTGGCGATGGCTGTTGAGAGGGCGCCAATGTGCTGAAACACGGGAAAGGGAGGGTTGGGTTTGGTATCGGGAGGAAGACTGCTTTCGACAGCCCCGGAGGTAATGGCTCGATGGGATGTTTGGTCTTTCCCAGCTTCTTTGGAACCCGGTGTTTGAGCATAGAGTGCTTCCTTCCGCTTCCTTGCATCAAGCCGCGTACGAGCAAGACATGCTTCGCACGTCTTCCAGCGATACTCTGTCGACGGTGGCAGTTTGGCATTACAGCGTCGTATGTTGCAAAATCGAGCATTCGCGACACTGGAGGGCGCAGTAGAAGGAATGTTCGGCGACACAGTGACGGTTTGGGATGAGGGTTCAAGCTGAGACTTCGAAACCTGAGTATCAGTTTCAAAGTGTTGTGTAATAACAAAACGATAAGCCTTGGGCATCGCTTGATATATCACTTACCGGAGCGTCTTCGAAGCGGGTCTGGGAAGTGGGTATACTGCGACCAGACATAAGTTCGGCGATAATACTAGCCTGGCGGCAGAATCCGTGAAGTTGAGACGTTAGGCAGGGGTAGCGTGACAATGCAGAGAGCACGTACTTCTTCCGTCTCTCGAGATGGAGTAGACTTGGCCACAGTATCCGTAGTCGACGGATATTCATACGTAGTTAGTGTCTCTGCCCTAGAAAGGTTGTCGTCCGATATAAGAGTACGGGGAGTAGAGTGATCTCTCGACCCAGGATGCGGTGGGCAGGCGGTAGCTGTAGCAGCACGCTCCCTTATTAGTCCTAATCTCTGTCTCTGGTAATCTCGATTATGGCGCCGACAAGCTTCGCATATTTTCCAACGGTAATCACTAGGGAGCACAATGTGACATCTTTTAATGCCACAGACCCGGATGGGTGACTTGGAATCACCAGACTGTGAGGAAGCTAGTACAGGTAGACGAATCTTGAGCCCCGAGCCTGTCCCCTGACCAGCTCCTCTGGGAGACTTCTGCCGCCGACGAGGCTAGTACGCGCAGACGACGGTTAAGAGAGAACAAAGTTTGCGCTCGAGCTGACACTTACTTTTTCATAAGGAACGTCAGAGTCGACGTCGATCTCTGATTCGCCTTCATCTTCAGACGAAGAAAGATCGGTAAGATCGCTGTCCCATCCACTGATGCTGGCCCTGGACGTTTCCCCACAGGTAGGACTGCACTTGGACGCCGTGGGTGAAGAAGGATGAGACGCATTAACATCTTCCGACAATTCAGGAGTTTTTCTCGAAGCATCCCCAGCTGGAATCTCTGATGCTGGCACCGTTTCAGCGAGGGGAACTGTCATAACCTCCATTGTTTCCATTGTTTCATCTCCCAAATTAGGTTCAGCGTCGCTTTCAATGTGTCCCGTCTCACTGCGCACAGAACTGGAACTCCCCTCCTCCGCACGTTTTTTGATTTTTGAATCATCATCGCCCGCTGCGACAGCCCTTGCCCCTCGAGTTTTCCAGCGCTTGACACTACAGTCCATACAGCGTTGCCAACTAGAGTCTGGAGGGACAAGTCCCGTACATTTTTCAGTCTCGCACGCGCGCTGGTGCAGGAATCAAATCGAAGGAGATCGGTCACTGCGATTTACAACGAGAGTCGAACGATTCACCTGAAGCTGTTTCTTTTTGGTTTGTAGGGTATCCAAGGGTTCCTCGAGTAACAAACCTGCGAATCCCATAGATCCCACCATAAGCTCAAGGGGAGGCTCGTGGTCGTTGGATGGTCGCGAAGGGACACGCGTAGTTAGATGGTTTTGCTCTTCGGCCTGAGCTGAACCTGAAGAGGTGTTCTGCATGTTTGCCGTTGGAGGAGCCTAGGAAGGGAACATACAGAAGTTGATCAGTTGGACTAAACTAGTTGAACGAATATTACCTCAGGATACTGCAAGTCGAAATCCATCTCATCCTCGACATCATCCTCGAGGACGGAAGAAGGAGTGATGTTAGTATCGCTTTTTGAAGAACTTCTCTCGTTTGTCTAGTAAAAACCATCTTTGAATGTGAAGAAAGGAACTAGCAGTGTACAACACCCACCGTCTTATTAAGCTCAAGAACGTCATAATTAGACTCACTCGATGATAATAAAGAGTCACTCCGTCTGGAAGTATTGTATGGTGGCTCCACCGGCGACGAAAACCGTGTAGCACAACGAGTACAAAATGAACCGCGATGGTCACGCAAAAGAGGTCTACCACAACTCACACTCTTACACATACGTAACGTTGTGGGGTAAGGGTTGCGGTATCGCGATTCATGCGTATGCATCACGGATGACCGACTGGCACTGGGTATCTGAAGAGTAGTCAGAATAGATAAATAACGGGAAGACGATCTATATTGCGCTACCTGTAGTTGCGTCTGAGGCACAATAAGCTCGCCTCGAGAATTGAAGTGCTGCATGATAGGTGGTGATTCGAACATTGGATTAGTGGATATTGGAGGAATGCTCCTAGCTGAAGTCTGTGAAAGTGGTCTGTCGATATAGTATGGGGGATTATACGAATGTGACTGGGGCAATGGGCGGGGGCGAGAGCGAGAGGGTTGCGAACGAGAGCGACAAGCACCGCAAAGAACAACGGAGTCGACAGGACGATCAGAAGTTTCGACTGTAACCATGCACAAGGCGCACTGTGTATACGTATAGACCTTCCTAACTGGAGGCCGCTGAGATCGAGCGACGTGTCGCGGCTGCGAGAAAGTCTGCAGTGGGGGAAAACGTGATTGTTAAAATTGATCAGATCTTTCTGCACCAATGATTAAAAGGCAAAGGCAAACAAGAAATAGGTATAACAATGAAGATTGGAAGAGAATACGATCCTCGTAGATATCTGAAGATAAATGGAAACATGTGGTTACAAAAAACTACTCACAGATTTGGGCAATGCAGAAGTTGTATCAGGTTGACGTTCCCCTAGACCGGGATGTGATTTATTTGTCTGTGTCCTGATCGAACTCACGTATTCTTGACCACGGTTTCGACATACTTCGCATACACCTCCAGCTCGGTATTGAGGCTCCATGTACGCCTCGCAATGAGAGCAGTACCGGTGAAAGGATGAGGGATCTACAGAAGTGCCAATTGGATGGAGTCTGCGAGAACTTGACATGCTTTGCGAGAGAGAATGCGAGAGATGCCAGGACTTTGAGTCCTGGCCCATCGATGCTTCAAAAGGCTGGTCCATCGATTGCAAAGACCTTACTATGCTTTAGGGACGAAGTAGACTAAACATGAGAATCAAAAGTTAGAAAAATTTTACGGATCTAGACAGACTCACATATAAACTGGGAGGGCGTTATGACATTACATGCTCTCCAAAGGAGACCAGTACAAAACAAGTTTAGCACGAAGGCCGTAAGCAACTTCAAGACAAAAAAAATAAAATAAGAAATTCGGATGTAGTATGCCCTTCTCCCTATTAGCAAAATGATAAAATTTGGCACGTCACGGCGGTCGCGGTTCATTACATTGTCAAGCCACACGCGGATTACTATAGCACACATGTCGATCACGGGGGTGCTCTAATTGATCAAGTGATAGTAAGCAAAAAGGCTGTACTGTACCAGTAGCGTATTGTGGACATAGTATTAGCATCGATAAGGCTAGCTGTCGTAAATGAAAGTAATAGTAAAAAAGGGCTGATGGGACAGTGGCTATGGATTATCACCATTCTCCCTCTTAGACTTGTCATAGCATTCCAGCGTTACACTCGCTAAAAAGCCAGGTATACATTGCTCCTGCTCGACCCAGAATCGCATTAATTGCGGTAGATCTTGTGGGCCTCCTTCACCTTGCGCAACAAGCTGCATCCGAGCGCCCTCTCCTTCAGGTGTAGACTTTGATAATGGCTGGAACACAAACGAAGCAGAAAGGTCGTATATTGACGTTACGCGCACCTGACCGTTTGGATAAAATGCGAGCTTCAGTCCAAGGATAGAAGCGATCGTTTCTCGGAACTCGGTGCTCTTAGCGGTGAAAACCTGAGAAGCACAGTTGAAGCTGAGGAAAGAATGTATGTTTGCAGAGTTACGTACTTGTTGCAATCGCAGCAGCCGTTTCTCTTTCTGCTTCACTACATCCTCGAGCTCCTTCTTCTCTTTGTTTACAACCTCCCAGCTCTCTCTGGGGACCAACTCCTCTCCTTGACGTCTTTCTGTGGACTGATCACTTGATGCGCCATTCTCCTCCAACTCCTTCAGCCGTTTTATCAAAGCCGAATTTTCGTTCTTTAACCGGTCCATGATCTCCTGCCTAAGGTCCGACCATTGTTGTGCTGGATTATCACGGAGGCATAACACCCGCATACCAGGTGGTACATGGTTTCCTGTTCCAATCTTACCTCTCAGCTCGAACAAAGTTTGCTCTAGCTCCTCAATTCTTTCCAGGTGCTTTTCTGACACCTCTTTAGCATCTTCAAGAGCTGGCAAACAGCGTCAGAAAACTCCAAGTAAGAGAAAATCACGGGTTCCAAACCTTTTTGTGACTCTTGTATCGTGGCTTTGCGTTTTTCTATCTCCTCCATCAGGTCTTTTCGACTCCGTTTGTTGCCCACCGTTGATGTGTCGGAATCCAGTGTATCAATGGTGATTTGCAAGGTATTATTGGCTGCCTTGTATGCTTTAAGAAGCTCACCCTGTCGCTGAAATTGTTGCAACAGAGCCTCATTCGCTTCGTTGGAGATTTCTGTCTCCTGAGAAGCCTGTTCGGCGGTGAAGCTGGCCTGATTGTAAACATGCATGAGATATGATTGGACCCACGAAAGTGAAGATACTTACGACCAATGCCTGCAAGAATCCGACCTCTCTTTCAGCGAGCATGGTCCGCTGCTCTCGTCTTGTTACTTTCTCCTTCAATGCCTGTGCTTCCGCCTTCAGTGTGTCTATAGAGCCAATTGCTTCTGAGATACGTTGTTCAGTATCTTGAATTTCTGCCTCACGACGACGTAGTAGTGCGACATTTGTACCATGTTCTTCATACAAACGCGCGTAGGTCAACCGCAGTGTGGACAAATTCTGAGTCACAGAAACTGGTGTCTGCGTTGGTGTACTCGTGTTATTAGCTTTGTGGGCCCTACACCACAATGACAGAAAGATTAACAACCGGACACTGAAGGCGATTTAGAAACACGCACCATTCTTCCCTTTCTCGTCGTGCTGCTTCTACTTGGGCTTCCAGTTTGACGATCTTCTCTCTCAACTCCTCCATAACTGAAACTTTGCGCTCCAAGCCTCGTTTTTCCTCTCTCAAAACTTCAATACTTGCATGTCGTTCTCTCAAGACAGTGACTTCCGCAGTAAGTTTAGAATTAGCACTTTCCAGTGACCGGAGATACTCTGCTTGGCGACTCAACTCCTCTCTCACAACTCCCCAAGTCTCGTCTTCCACGTTTTTTCTCGTGAATGTTTCTTGCGTTACACTGGCTCGCTCAACCTGGTCCTGTAGATCTTGGATAGTGACACTGCGCTCGTTGGCAATGCGCTTGAACTCTGAGAGTTCTTCCTCGAGAACAGAAGATTGTCGAGAGAATGTTATTAGCTGAGATTTCTGAGAGGCAATGGTTTGAGACGTGGATCGAGAGAGGGATGAGTGCGCTTCTTCGAGATCGGCATATTGCTCGCGAAGAGTGGAGAGTGCGTTACGAGTAGCACGAAGATCGGCATCAACCTTCCTCTGTCATATTACTCCCATTAGACATTGGGCGCGAAACACGCTATAGTCGACAAGCATGAACACGCACTTTTTCCTCCTCCCTCTCCTCCCTCTCCTTTTCTTTCTCTTCGCGTTCTTCTTTCTCCCTGTCCGCAAAAAAGCGTCTGTCACGCTCCAGCCTATCTATCTGTATGTCTTTGTCCCGTACTTTTGTTTCCAGTTCCATCTTGGCTGTCTGGGCGGCAAGAAGCTGGCGTTCGAGAGATGCGTGTGCCATGTGTGAAGTGAATACCTGAGCGCGTTGTTGACGTTTGGCAGCTGAATGTTGTGGATCTGAGAATTTATATCGATCAATAGAATGGACATCATACGTCGTAATATAGCGCTTGACTACCATGACATACCTCGTTCCAATTCTGCCATCAAAGAATCTCTCTTTGCTGGAGCGGCTCTCGAGGAAGACATGAGGCTCTTTGACAAGGACGATGGAGGGGTGGAAAATGAGCTACTGCCTTCCCTCGAAGACATGGCTTAACAATTCTTTGACGAGTGTCGCCTAGACCAAGCAAGGCCGGTTACATGAAAGCCACCAAACTGCAATGAATGTTCCACGCGTCGTGGCTGTGCCATGTACTAGACAAGTCTCACTGGCGCTTAGTTTCTCGAATGCATTTTACTGTTGTTAAAATTCATGCAGGAATACAAGCTGTATGGTCAAATATATCTAGTAATTACGGTACAACGGTTGGGAAAAAAATGAAAAGGCGAATGAGTGATGAAATACTATCTAGAAGTCCAAGCACTGACTTGAGCCTTCCGCCAAAAACGCATGGGGCATGTTTCGCTAGCGATCCATCTCGCGATACCTCTTCTCATCTCTACTTACTACCACTACTCTTATCCAAGATTAAACTCCACCATGAGACATTGAGTCACTATTCGTACGCTGCATTGTTGTGCTACGCATGGCAGCGGGGGCACTAGGCGTCGGACGTGGAGACACACTGTCCGACGGAGACGAAGACATTATAGAGTTTTTGGCAGCATGAATCGCTGCCAGCCTGTCCGGAACTGGACGAGGAGGCGGAGGAACCGACGGCGTCATCTTAGGAGAGGATCCTTGCCAGTTGTTCGGTGGCGGTATGGACGTGGTTAGACGTGGATCAGTTGGAGGTGGCGGCAATGTAGCCCAGGTAGGGCGTGATGGTAACGATGGCGGAGTTTGTTGAAGAAGACTTGCAGACCCAAACGGCGAAATCTGCGACATGGATGAGGGTTCAACTTTGATGGTCACCTTTTTTCGGCTTGCCTCCCCTGCCTCTGCATCTACTTCCATATCTGCGTCCCTCTTTCGTTTCTGGGCTTGCGTGGGACCTCCTACTTTAATGCCTTTCACGAAATCCAGCAACGTTTTCGAGACTCGGCCATTCATTCGGATATCTACGTGCTCCTGTCTTACATGCGCCCGCATTTCCCCGATCTTGTCTGCAAGTTCGCGCGACGACAGCTCCTCTTTGTGAACGGCGATAAGAAGACATATCGTGATAAACTCCACCGGAGATACCTTCCACTCTTTTTTCAAGAAAACCCGACTGAGTGATTTATCGTCGACCAGATGCGATAGCACCCGGAAAGTGTCATGAATACGTTCCAAGAACGCCGAATCCTCCGATAGATCAACTTCATCTTCATAGTCTTCATCACTTTTTTTACTTTTCGCCTTTTTCGTCGCTGGCCCAGAAGTAGGTTTTGTAAGCCATTTTTCAAGCTGCGGCATCGTTCCAACCGAGTTTTGGTGTGGAAATTTGGCAATAATGTACAACGCCTGGGCTATACATCGGAAGTCGCCGCCACGAGATCTGTCCCAGTTGAGAGTGTCTTCGCCCAGAACACTATCCGTGGCGAAATACGTTGCCTGGATGCTGCGGACAAAGGCGGCCATTGGGGTACTAAGGACTTGAAGTTTTTCTGAAAGGAACAAAATTCGTAATCAGTCCTAAAAAAGAAAGTCATACGGTACATACCTGCAGGCGTAAGTGCCATTCCCAATTGAACCCTCTGAGTGCAAGGTAAACATTTGTTGCGACGCTCGTAGCTCGTTATTGCAACACACCTGGAAGATTTCTCTTTCATCTGAATCCGTCAAGTCTTGGTATTCTATACAGACGATCTGTTTGTTTGCAAATAGTCGTCGATATTTGTCAGGAAGCAACTTGGTTCGACCGCGTTGTTTCGATTCCGCTGATTCTTTATACCATAACTTTTCGTTTGTTACTCTGTAGTTCAAATGTTTAGATATGAATAGTATAACGATGCAACTGTTTACTTACGGATCTTTATCTAGATAGGAGAATTGAGTATAATTGTGAATAAGCTTATGCCACGTATTGGACTTCACTTACGTGGTATCTGGAGAGAAAAGTTAGCGAAGATACAAGGATATAATGTTTTATGCTTACCATGCCATCCATGAATCTGCAAGGCAAGTTATGGTACATGAATATAATTTCATGCAAGGATATAGGCTGACCTACCTATACATAGAAGTGAGACGCTGCTTTCCGTCAATGCACGTCTTCGATTCGGAGCCATCGTCATGTTGGTGTGAGACTTGAGTACACAACCCGTTTATGGAATTAGATGATGAGAAATCGATAGCTATCTGCACGTACCAAAGATGACCGGTGGAATATAGAAGTTACGAAAAATAGAATCTATAAGGCCAATCTGCTTGGCTTCTGGCCAAACAACGTCTGTTCGAAAATGTCAGTAAATGTTAATTTCGCCTATGCCACACCAGAACACAGCGGAAAGATTAAGGACTCACCGCGTTGATATTCCGGCTCCAAGTTGATATCGGCGTTGATGATTTGTTCTACAGTGGAACGTCGGCGTCAACAGCAGCGTGCGAGGCTTCATATCGCATACGCACCGTACAAGGCTTGTGTCGTATAGGTCGTAGCTCGCGGCAACTTCAATACGTTCCTTATTTTATATCCTCCTGATTTGTCTCCATTTTTTTTACCTCCTCTTCTTCTGATGGGTTGCGTTTCCTCGAGCTCGTCCTCGTAGTCTGTGAACTCTTCGCTGGAAGACATGGCGCCAGTCGAATTGTGAGAATGAAAGATGTGGAACTTGGAGGAATCCGATATATGCTGGGTCGAAAGAACGTTCTGGCTTTCCTGAAACGTCCAGTGTACAGGAATGTGGCTTCGCTCGGGCGGGTAAAGAACTGGAGAAGTTTTGTCAGAATGTTATCTGGTCTTGGTTATTGGGTTTTGTAATCACGTGACATGTGGCGATTATTTTGCTGGTTCCAGTCAACGTTGCACGCATCTAGTTGTTCTCCATATACCACGACACGCTCACTATCACTCTCACTGTCAACGCAAACATTACCGTTGTTCTGGTGTTTCCACTCTTTCAGTGTCTTGTATCTATGTCATCACCATTTCACGAACGTATATGGATGTCCTTGACGCACCAGGCGCGCTCTTGATTGCCCCTGAACAAAAAGTCACTACGTCTTCACTTTTTTCCGAGGAGGCTTCATCCTCGTCAATCGAGTATCTTGAGATAAAATCAAAGTGGGTATTGGAATATTGGTGAAGTCCCCTACTCGTAGGTCGTTAACATGCCTTTCTAACTCTTAAGGGCTTCACATTATCACTTTGATGTCCAACGTGATCCGACTATCTTAACCAGAGCTCACTATCCGCTGTTTAGTTTCATGACAATTGGCCCAACCCAACAGGATGTCAAGTCGTTTACTCCCCCCCGATTGGGGACTGCAATCTACATCGCTAATCATTTTAATGTAGTAGTACAAAGGGGCGTGTACTAAGACGGCGGCAAGCTTCTCGTTTGACTATATTTCAACTGGTATTCCAAGCTGTCAACATCACAAGGATACATGTTCACCTGATCAACGTCCGGCGAAAAAAGTAGTCGACGTCTTCGGCCTTCCACACTGCGATGGGAATAACGAGCATGTGCATCCCACTTCCACCATGATCTTTTTTAGGGACCGGTGTATGGGTTCTGCCAGTGCACATGAGGCGACGAGAGCGATGATCATGATCAGCTGTTATTCACTCCCAAGCAAGTACCGTGCCACCCCCTTTAAGTAACAATTGTCTTTCTTATTTCCACTTTTCTTGAAATCATCTTTGTGCACACTCGTGCGACTTGCCGCTAAAAAATCTCATAAAATCTGTCAGCTTAATGTAAATCGAAAAGTTGTGCATTGAAGGAAGGCAAGGCTGATCAAAACAGACGATATTACGGGGATCGTACAAGATGCCATTAACAAATAATATCTCTCCTCATGAATGAATGCACACAACTCTCGAGCCAGTCGGTGCAAGTATTCAAAGAACCTATGGACAATCTTGTCTGGGTCGGCACCCGGAAACCAAAACACGGAAGAAGTGTTCTAAATAAATATTATGTGTGAACTTGAATGTCGTGGTGTCGACGTTTGGAAGTCGGAGGCCGAGCCAAGTGTTCTCAAGGTTTTGCGCCTCACCCTATGTCACCGTAATTGCTGTATGAATCATACGTGGGTGTCGTTATGGGCAATAACGCTCAGAAATTATGGGTGTTTCCGACAAGAAAGAAGGAATGCGTCTGCGGCCAGTATATCTGCATAGTAATCGAAGGTACTGGTGGTGTGGAGTGTCCAAAATCTATACTGTGTGACGATTTACAATGGTGAAAACGTGATTAGTCCACAGGGGAAGCTGGTTTGTGGTTGTGGCTGTCATACGATGCCTTGATGGCTCTATACCGGCTGTCCCTCATGGATGTGAAGAATCAGCTTCATTGTCGACCGTTGGGATAGTTCAGGGTGGCCAGCGTGACGAGCAGGGAGTTATTAGCCAAGACGAAAGTCAACTTAATATAAACGCTTCTGAAGCTTCAGAGAACTAGTGCCCTCAAAAAGCAAGGCATACCTGTATCCGAATGTTCTCCTAAGCATGGCAAATTTGACGAAGAGGACTGACGCTTACATTCACACCAAATGACCCCCCTGTGATTGTTCGGTCCACGATGTATCCGAACCGGTGTTGAGCACGTTCAAAGAAGGGCGGACTGTTTCAGAAAATGGAGCACCAAACAACGATCTGATCCTAGTAGGAAAAGTAAGCCAATTAGACCATTTCTAACTCACTCCGTATAGCCCATATACTTCTTTCTAACATCGGGCCAACACTCTCCGTGAGTAACCCATATACTCATTTGCTCGTCTCAACCTCACGATATCGCTGAAAGTGTCAGGCGGCACCATCCAAAAATACCATCCCATCGGAATGCCAAAGTCAGCTCGTACTATCCACCTTTCTCCGCGGGCGACGCCAGAGCACTGTCCCTTGCGGTTTCATGACCATAAAAAGTCCGTGAGAGATACTAGGTACTTGAACCAAAAGGAATGAATCTGTTGATCCATCCCTGATGCTTGTGTGGCGGGTGATCCGGATACAGAAGTAAGATAGATAAAGTGCCTGAGGCGAGAACCAGGGGGAAGAAGCGAACAAGAAGGCAACGGATCAATGTTACACATGCGCTGGCAACTGTTGAGGATTAGAGCGATAAAACAAAATACGAGGACTGTCTGGCTGTGGAATCACCCCTTCCCTCAAGCTTGAGTGAACAGGTAAGTGTTACTTTTGACATGCCAAGACAAAAAATGACTGTGACAACTAACGTCGGCAGTTTATCAGGTCCTTCACGGGGAGATACGACAAAGCTGAATTTACCTCCGTCTATGGCATCGTACATTATGGCGTCTCACGATGCCCTGCCGTGGAAAACATAAACCGTTGAGGTCTGTATGCATAGAAGGTGAAAGGAATGGAACAAATACCAATTTTTAAACCGTAAAAAAGTGATGCGATGATGGCGGGATAGCTTACATCGCCATAGAAGATTGAGGGTCTGTATACGTGAATATATGGCTGTTTCGAAGTGCAAGGGTGGATAGTAGCTGTCAGTCACACAACAAGGGCAAAAGTAGGTTTGAGCTTCAGACTTACGTCACTAGTTCCTGTGCCAATCGTGAAGCTTGGCAGAAGTGTGATCGGGGACTTGTTAAGTTCGGTGAGACCTTTCTACGAAAACGCCATACAATACAACCTGACTGAGACTGTACCAGTCCCGGAATGAATCCGGAATCCGAGCATACACAGATGTCAGAGAGGGGGAGTTTGGTTATACGCCTGAAACCGTAGATAAGGAACACAGAGTGGCTGATTTTGAATGGTAAATCTGATTATCGACAGGCTTTAAGAATGACATATTATTCTTTTGAGCCTTCTTATCTGATAAAGAATCAGAAGATGCGGCATTAAAACACTCTGATACGATACGACAAACTTGAGCCGGCAATAGCGGGGGGCCTTTACTGGCAAGAGCTGATAAGTCTGATAAGTCGTGCCGCTGATGAAAAAAGGCTCAGCAATGGAGTAATATCAAAAATAAGTAAACGTACCTGGTGATGCTAGACGAAGTCCGAAAAAAATCGAGACGATATTTCATAAAGCTTGATGGATAAGGAAGTGGGAAAGAAACTAGTGGTGTGAAGGCTACCAAAAGTGAGCCTGGTGAAAGGACTAGTGGTTGTAGGAAATGAGTAGGTACTAGAAAAAAGAGCTGAATGTGATAATAATGAGCTCTGAGTAGTACTTGTGCAGATGAGTTCGCAATACACGATTAGACGCATCAATCGGCTGTGGTGATAACAAAAATGGCCCCAGATGGCGTAGCTGGAATGTAACTTGCGCATGTGGATCAACCATCAGTACGATGCGCTCTACTGCCGCGGCATGTAATTTATGCCCATTTTGTTCTGCCGAACTCGAACAGGATTGTCGAACACCTCTTCTACGGTAATGGTAGTATCAAGGCAACTTTATGGTCACTGGCCTTATCAAAAGCCCCAGAAAAGTCACAATCTTTGTCTAGCACGCGGTGTGCAGTACGGATGTGGAACTCATCGGTCAGAAACCATGGCAAAAGCGCAACTCCATCTTTTGAACTGGCAACTCGCATGTCAGTCCATGTTAGAAGTCTCTGGGCGTGCTCGTCGCGGTGATCAATCTCTGAATCATCCACACGATTGCTGTATTCGAATACACATAATGAGGTCTCATTGCAAATTAAAAAAGCTCCCACCTGGTCTCACTGCCGCCCTATTTTTACGACGCCCCTTCCTTTTTGCTCATCTGTCCCTCGTATCAGGTCAATAAAGCTTTCTCATACCTCAAAACAAGGCTTGGCTTAGTATTGCCATATCTTCATTACCGTCGCACTTGGACTATGGCAGCCTAGGTATGGGAGATTCCATCATTGTCAACCGGTTCAATTTCCGAATCGCTTCCCTCGTTGAAATACAGATCAAGGTCAAGTTCAAAAATACTACAGGGTAATCAATTGTCTGTCTGACATGTGCTCCTCCTTATCAGTGTGAATGTATAAGCCTTTGCATCCGATTCAGTACAAGAAGGTACAGTCGCATCTGCTATTTATCCCGAGGTCCCCATTCCTCTCTGTGCGATCGTACACACTTCCTCTGGTCCCTTCCTGAGAAGCATGACCGATTTTGAGGAAAGTCGATACAGTCCTTCAGACCTCGAGAAGGTCGACCCAGACAAGGAGGGTCAGTCATTCATCTTATCCCATTCAACCCATGTCGCTGACAACCTCGCATTATAGCTGTCATCGAGGCTATCGCCGACTTTGATGACCCCAACATCGACAGAGAAGGTGCCATTGTTGGAGTGCTAGGTATGTCTCAACATACTCTTTCAGCCACATCCAAGTTAATATCCATTCGAACCCTTCAGAGGATGACTCTCCATACCCTGAAGTACGATCTGCAGTCGCCAACACTGATGATCCGGACATCCCTGTGGCAAGTCTTCGTGCGTGGGTCATGGGTATGTAACACCTGCATTTGGAATATCTCCATTACTGATGTCCTCATCTTTTATGTTCTCAAGGTTTGGCATGGGCAATCCTCATAGCGGGATTAAATCAATTCTTCTATTTCCGTTATCCGTCTGTTACGATTTCCTCAATTGTTGCTCAGTTGCTCTCCTTCCCCGTTGGTAGAGCTTGGGCAAAAGTAAGTGGTATGATTGACCATGTGGATTGCTATTGACTAATACTGCCACCCGTTGTTAAATTTATGGAAAATTTTCGTGTTCTTCTCACGTGTTCATCTACGAAGGTTATGCCTAATGTCAAAATCTTTGGAATAAAGGTTAATCCAGGACCATTTACGATTAAAGAGCACGTACTTGTAACGATCATGGCCACCGTGGGCTCACAATCAGCGTACGCAGTGAGTGTTCCTGGCAGATATCACAAGCGAAGAAGAATTTCTGATTTCAATTTTCCAGACGGATATTGTTGCTGTTCAACGCGTCTACTACAACCAGACATACAACTTTTCATGTGAGTATTTCATATATCCATATCTGTTAGATAAATTCTGACGGCATGTTGCTGCTTCTGAACACTTAAATCAAAATATCTCTTTTGATGTTGATCTCCGCGTTACGGGTTCTGTCGTGAAGACCAGTGGATGCTCGTAATGTCCACTCAGCTGATTGGTTTCTCTATCGGTGGTATCTTACGAAGATTCTTAGTTCAACCTCCATCAATGAGTAAGTCTTTCGTCTGCACTTCCAAATTAATTTACGTCCTGAACCATGCAACAGTTTGGCCAACTAATCTTGTGACCTGCGCTCTTTTCAACACGCTTCACGCACAGACGTACGCCGGAATGGGTACCCGGAGCGGTATCTCCCGCGAGCGTTTCTTCTTTACTGCATTTGCGTGTGGTGTTCTGTGGTACTTCGTCCCAGGCTACCTCTTCCAAGCACTCTCATACTTTTCATGGGTTTGCTGGATTGCGCCAGACAATATTGTTGTCAACCAAATGTTTGGGTATGTGAGTGGGATGGGGATGAGCTTGATAACTTTTGATTGGAATCAAATCACCTATATCGGGAGTCCGCTTGCTACGCCGTGGTGGGCTGAGGCTAATGTTGCGTTTGGTTTTGTGTTCTTTTTCTGTAAGTTTCTACTTTGACTTTTATCATGACTGGTGCCGTAGAATTAAACAACAATTCATCTTTCTTCAGGGTTCGTCGTTCCCGTGTTGTATTACACTAACACATGGGATAGCAAATATATGCCGTACGATCATTCGTATTTATCCCGCACCACTCACTAACATAACTTGACTAATCCTAGAATCTCTTCACGTACGTCGTACGATAACACTGGCCAGGCATATAATATCACCAGGATCCTCACCCCCGAATCTACGCTCAATCTCACTGCTTATCAGGAATACAGCCCTTTGTTCTTGTCGTACGTTCCGCACTCCATCTCTCTGTCCTATCCCCCATTGACCTCGTCATAGAACGACGTTCGCCATGTCTTATGGTCTGTCCTTTGCATCCATCACTGCCACGCTTATGCACGCCTTCCTCTTCTTCCGAAAGCAAATATGGGTGCAGAGCAGACGCTCGATGCATGAGCAGCCGGATATCCACGCGAGGTTGATGTCCAAGTATAGGCAAGTACCGGAGTGGTGGTACATGATCATCTTCGGTGAGTACCAACACAAGGGGGGTTATGTGTTCTAGTCGATCAGCTCATAATGTTTTTGTTTGTAGTGATTATGTTTGTCATCGGTGTGATTGCGATTGAAGTTTGGCACACGGAGTTCCCTGTTTGGGCGTTCGTCCTTTCCCTCTTCATTGGTGCGTTCTTGTTTTCCCTGTCCAGTGCTGGTGGCGTGGGTAACTGCTGATACTGCTAATCCAACAGCATTCTTCTATGTCATTCCTATTGGAATGATTCAAGCCATAACGAATCAGCAAGTTGGGCTTAAGTGAGTTAGATCCGAGCTGTCATGATTGAGTAGCCTCAACCTAATCTATATCAAGTGTCATCACCGAATTGATCGTCGGATACGCTCTTCCCGGTCGACCGATCGCTATGATGATGTTTAAGACATGGGGTTATATCACGATGTATCAAGGTCTGTTCAGTATCACATCTACCTTATCATACACACACCTGATCACCGGTTCTGTGCATTTCATCAGCCCTCACGTTCACCTCTGACTTCAAACTCGGTCACTACATGAAGATTCCTCCTCGAACGATGTTCTGGGGCCAAGTCGTTGCTACTCTCATTGCAGGGACCGTCCAATTAGGCGTGCAAGCCTGGATGTTTACCAATATCGAGGATATGTGCAGCACTACTCAAAAGGATGGGTTTATTTGCCCGAACACGGAAGTATTTGGTACTGCGAGCTTCATTTGGGGAGTGATTGGGCCCATGAGACAGTTCTCGTCAGGACAGACATACAATGGTATGCTTTTACATGCTGCTTCCTTGCGCACTATTTTTTGAGAGAGGTTACTGACGACACAACGTCCACAGTCCTTTTATACTTCTTCCTCATTGGTACCTTCTGCCCCGTCGCCGCTTGGCTGGTTTCGCTCAAGTGGCCGAACAGCTTCATTCGCTATGTCAAGTAAGTGTGGAAAACTCGCATGTGTGAACTCACAAGGCCTGACCTTGCGTAAAAACTAGCTTCCCTGTCATTTTCAGCGGCATAGGATATATTCCTCCTGCTAGCGCTCTGAACTATGTGCCTTGGGCGATAGTCGGATTTATCTTCCAATTCATTATCCGAAGGAGACATTTCTCATGGTGGGCCAAGTATAACTGTACGTAATTTCTTTCTGTTTGCTCTTGCTGCCCGTTGGCTAAACAATATTATTCTATCTCTACGTAACGCATTACAGACGTCCTTTCCGCAGCCATGGACTCAGGAGTGGCAGTCTCTATAATATTGATATTCTTCTGCCTCCAATACCCTCAGAATGGGACGATAGGAGAGGGCGTGCAGAAGTGGTGGGGGAACAATGTATTCTTGAACACGGCGGACGGACAATCCAAGTCATTGCTGACGGTTGAACCTGGCATGACATTTGGGTGAGCGTTTATAGCAAAAATATGGGGTCATTTATTTCCTTAATCACTTTTTTTTTCGCAGCCCCACGCAATGGTAGTAAATAGGAGTGTAGTAATAATCAGTTTTGTATGTTAGTCGTGTGTGCATTTTGGCATTTGAGTTGATGGACACCTTGCAATTGTCGGTGCGGCTACGGCGATGTTTGATACTATAACGTACATAGTTTTATTTGTGCTGCTCGTGCTCGTAGGAGACTTGGCTTCACAGGACCTTTGAGTGCGAACAGGCGTGTATAATTTGCATGATGCGCCGCGGGGTTTTCTTTTCCGTTTATCGCCGGACGAGTGGGATTTGTGGTACTTACGTAACCTACAAAAATGTCAGTACTATAGTTCAGTGCAAAGAAACGCTACTTTCTTTCGTCTCATTTTACTCACCTCGAGCACCGCACGTTCGTGACATCCCCGTCATATCTTTGCAAAGGTGTTCCCATTACACACGTCCATTCTGTTGACATCCTCCAGGCCGATTGTCTCGCGATTGGCAAAGGCGACGACAATGTCACGGAATTCGCGTCACGATCGATATCAAGGACAGAGGAGCGGTGAGAGTGCTAGGTATAGACGCCAAGATGCATATTGGGACTATGACTCTGTCGAACCCACGCACAATTATCAGTACAATCCAGTCGAGCCCTCATACAACCATCAGTTCAATTCATACCGACCAAGCCATGGCCATAGCGAGCGATACCACTATGCATCGACCAGCGCAAGCCACAATCACGGACAAGACTACCACCGTGACGGAGACCACACGCAAAGTTTTGCCCAGTACTACGGGGGCATGTACGGACAGACATCCCAACATGAAGAATACTCTCGCCGACATGATGTTTATATCCCTGACAGTCGTCGATATCATGATACGAGCCATTCAAATTATTCTACGCATAATGATCGCCGTCGTGCGCACAGACGGCGCAGTGAAAGCCCACAACGAAACTTGCACACGCGTGCACAGTTCAACTCGGCCTCGAGCCCCGCTCCAGCACCGTATGTTGCTCCTCCTTCTTTTCGCCTGCCCCCATCATGGCCTACCTCCGGTCCGGCAACCCCCGCCAGTACTCCTCCTCCCTCCCATCCCTCAACATCTGCGCCACCCACTGGACCACGTGGTAATCGCTCAGCTCCAGTCCCATCAAGTCCATCTCCTTCCTACCTTGCTCTTTCCCTAGAGCCTTCCACCTCGATACCCCATTCTTCCGATTCGCGAAAACTACTTATTCTCGATTTGAATGGCACCCTCCTCATCCGTTCACAACACCACAGCAAGCGCCGCGTCGTGCTACCTTCGGCTGCAGAATCTCAGAGCGGTTCACAAGCTTTTCTTGATGGCAATGTGTCTTCTATTGATCCTGCGCTGATACCTACTGGTCCCGCCCCGCGTCTTCGAGCAGTGCAGCCTCGTCCTTACATCCCCACTTTTCGTGCCTATCTCTTCGCGCCCGAAACGAAAGCATGGCTTGATACCATGGTCTGGTCTTCTGCGCAGCCACACAGTGTTGTCGACATGGTGGACAAGTGTTTTGGAAAGAGTAAGGCAGAATTGGTAGCCATATGGGATCGCGGGAGTTTGGGTCTTGGGAAAGACGATTACTGTAAGTCATCCAGCACTTGGTCTTCTTGGTCGCTTTTGATTTGTATTGTTTGATTTACTTAGTCAAGAAAACTCAGACTACAAAGGATTTAGTGAAACCATGGGCGAAGCTATCGTCTGATGCCGCATTACCGGTCGTTCACTCCGCACTTACCACTCTCCTCCTAGATGATTCTCCCCTAAAGGCGAGACTTCAGCCATACAACCACGTCTGTATACCCGAATACGACTCTAAGCTTAGAGGGAAAGATCTCCTCGCACTGGAAAAACTTTCAAAGGCGAAAGGCGCGAAAATGGTTGGTTCGGCCACGCATACATCGCTATCAATGGAAATACCCCAATCGTCTTCTGATATGCTCGTTGTCCCAAGTGGTACACAGCATGAACTGGGCGCAACAAACAAGAAGAAACGGAAAAATAAGAAACAGAAGAGAGCCGAGATGGAGTCCTCAACGCCTGGTGATAGTACACCTGCGTTCACGGATAATTCTCGATGTAGTTCGGTAGAGGTAGCTCGACTTTTAGAACTAGGAGACTCTACCACTTCGGAAGAACGAGAACCATCTCCGGACGAGTCGTGCTTACCCCAGGAAGAGCCATACGATCCTACTCTTCTCGCTGTCATTGGTGTCCTTGAAGCGCTCAAGACCCAGAGTAATGTTGCAGGATGGGTACGGAGCGGTGGTCTTTGGGCAGGAAGGCGTCAGCAGCACACTGCTAACGCAGAAATGTGCATTGAGTCATCTACTGATAGCCACGAAAGCCATTCTGAAGGCTTGAAGGACCATGAAATGGGCGGGGAATCTGGCGGAAAGAAACGCTCGAAGGAGCTGAGGACTAGAGAAGAAATTACCGCAGGGGCAGCTGCCGATATCCTCGCCGAGCTCAGTGGACGGGCATCTAACAGTGATGGTAGTCCGGGCCCACAGAGGAAAGTGATTCAAACCGGAAATGACGCATCCACTGTTGGGACCATGTCTCGAGAGGATGCGTTGGACGTTCCCATGTCGACTGATGCGCTCGAAAAGGTCACAAAATTGAAGAATGAGTCGCATGATCCACCAACTATGTGGTTTGAGGATTCACTAGCTTTGGCTTATTGGGTTACCGAGGGGCGAAGGGGGCTCGTGAAGCTAGGAATCGAGATCAAACATGGCGTCGAAGGGTGATGCTCTTATATCAACAACAGCTTAAAAGGACAGGGTTTGGTACCTTACTTGTCAAAGCTGGATTGCGTTGTCTCCTATCTCTAATTGTGTATTTGTTATTTTGTAGTTCGGGGGTTTGTCCTGCTGTCATTGTCAAGGTTGCTGTGTTTGCTATTTTTCTTTATAAGGAAAGGCTAGCAGAGCAAGTCATGATAAGTCGACGGATGACCGATGTCAAGGCAATTGGTGCATTGATATTGATGGAAAAGGTTATGAGTTTCCTGATGACTCCACGCCTACTTCAAGTTGTTGCATAGTCTGCTTGACAGCAAGAATCTCAGGCCACCGTTCTGATTCGAAGTAATACGGGTGTCCACAGATATCAATTCCACGATCTTTTTTGTGGCCCTCAATTCAGGCGGTTCAAATTCCTCAACTATGTTATATTTTGGATGATTTGTCTACATTGTAGGTCACCGGTCACCGCCAAGGCATCTCAAGAGTCGGATTTGGCTATTTGTGTCCTCGAGTGTCTTCATCACTTTTGTTGACATAAAACTGACGCCCTTCACCACATCGATAGAGAAATTCTCACCGTGTCTTGACATCTGTAGGTGAGACCTCGAGTCGAGCATATACTCGCACACGAATTGTGTTTTGTCAACTAAACAAAAGCTTCGGTTATCATGCATCATGATTGATAGAAGTCTAGACCTGTACTTACACTGACTACCTGGCAGGCTCAGCATCATGATGGTGATGCTGTGGTCACTCCCAACGATACGACTTACAGCCTTGGTTACTATTTCAAGTCCAGTTCAAGACTTGTGGTCTCTTTACCCTTGTTGAAGTTTTCATTATGGTGCGCCAGTTTCCACCTATCAGCAAGGTTGGGCTGAAATTAATTTATATTGTAGACCCGTTGTTGTAAAGCATTCATCAAGACGCACGAGACGGATCATGATGCAATTGCCATCCGTCACGGCTTCTTCTCCAAGCTCAGCTTCGAATCAGATCACACATATACACCTCAGTGTGGTGCCCACTTCTCAAATGCAGTGCTTTGATACAGGTATTTTTACTCAAGTTCTAGTAATGTGACTACAGATAAAAGCTTCGAGGCGTGTGCGTTGTATCCAGTCTATCTTTCCTCACTCCTGCTCGAACCTTGTTTTGACGGGACAGTCGCCAAACCATTAGAATGATGACACCCAGCTCAGAAGACTCACTCGGTGCTCTATATATGGGTGTCATTCTTTGTGCCGTGTACGAAATTTTACTGCTATAATTGTAACCTTATTTTCACTGAATGAGCATCCGATAGTCTCTTTGGCTTCTCGTCTCTACAACTTATTATCTACCACCAGAATCATTGGAGAAAGTCGTGGCTCGGGTACAAATCAATCGTATGTTTGCAGTCTCCTGTATAGTCTGATGGTGATGTTGATCTTATGCCCACAGTGCGTGTATTTGTGGTAGATAGGATTTTTCATTCTAATACTCGTCTTTGCCGACCTTTTTTCAAGGTTCCTTGATGCATTCCATGTTGTCCTTATTGTATATGGACTGTACTACATAACAGTGACCAATTTCGGTAACACAGCAATGCTTCAATATGGTACACTGTGGCCAATTCGCGTGAGTCTCCATCTTATATGACACAGATCGATGTATTATATTGTCTCTTTTTGCTGCAGTTGCAATTCGTAATTACCGTAAGTATAATCATCGCTCTTCCTCAATCATTCGATCCATCTCTGAGACGTGATATGTCAGGAAATTGTTAGTATAAGTGTTCATTGGTGAGTATCGTGTTTGTCTTTTCTGCATCGCATTGTCCACTAATTAATGGATATACGTACTCGATTGAATATTCATGCTAAGCCTTTATGCTCATTGCATCTGGACTTGTAAGTTCAACCCTTCTCGAAGTCCCTAGTCACCCTATCCGGGGAAAATACCTTGATTTTTTGAAACGACTTATGTCACCATAGTAAGCCGCCAGGGAAGAACGAAATGGATATTTTCAGCAGTGGTACATTTCATATACTGTTTTGGATAACAACGTCTGACGACAGCTATTGGGTTCCCACAGTGTATTGCAGTAACTATCTCAACAGGTGTGATCAAAATCAGTGTTTGTGGCTAGTATTTGACTTTTCTGATCCAATATCCTCCACAGGGTTCTCGTTTTGTAAGTTTACAGTACCCTTTATCATGAACACTCGAGATAATGATGGCCGTTTGTAGACCTTTGCTATCATTCGTGAGCTCATCCTCTCCCGATTTGAGAGCTTCCCAACAGTTTTACTCGCCAATTTTAGATATCTGAACACGGCTCCTCCTGGAAGCACAGTGAGTAGTAAATATTTATGGGCTCCCTAATTGAACTTGAATACTTCTTGCTAGGCGGCAATGGTGTCATCCATAGCCATTGTAGGATTCACAGACCTACTCATTGCAATCTCCATGTGCTATCTTTTGAGAGTTTCAAGGACTGGATTTGGCAGGTAAAGTATTTTGCTCCAACCTAATAACCATTTCGCTCACTATGACTTTCCTTTCAATAGAACGGATACAAAACTCGAAATACTTTCCGTATACGCTTTAAGTTCTGGTTGTGTTACAAGGTTTGGTTTGACGTTATGTTCGACAATCATCTTGCTGATTTTCAGAATGAAGCTTGGTCTCCATGTTTGCTTTTATAACTGTATGCTTCAAATTCCTTGGCCTATTCCACTGCTCAAACAAGTGTTAGTGCATAGCCATGCCTTCTAACTTGATTTATATGTTGGGGGAATGCATGCTCACCACGCGTAAGTCCCTTTGGTTTATTCTGTGTCCTATAATCAAGCAATTCGACCATCCAAAAAGTCTATGTCAACTCCTTCATGGCCATTATGAACTCGGATTATTATCAAGGTGACAAGCAAAAAGCTTTATTCTCTGGGATTGCTCCGCAAAGCGCCATCCATAACGACAGCCAACAACGTCAAGTCACTTTCATAGAAAATGAAGGTGATGCAAAAGGTGGCGAGATTACTGAAAGTGGCACTAAGCACTATCCTACGCTTCCCCCCTCGTCGGTCTCTGTAAGTGTTCAATTTTCATTTTTGTACAAAAGGAACTCGCACTCAGTTTTCCCAGAAATCCCGTCGAGGGCCCGTAGAAGTGGTTATAGAAATGGAGCACATATGTCATGAGATCTGAAATGTAATCTTGGACATCTAGAACATTCTTCTGAATTTATGACTACTACACTTAGGTTTCCCTGGTTCACTTGCAAGTATGCAGACATTTCATCCATTCTTGCAAATTGGAACGATAATCGCATTATTCTCCATTTTTATTCCATTTTATGCCTAGATTGAGATGAAATTACAAAGTATAAGATACGTTCTATCCGCAAGATTAACCATGGAGAAAGGAAAAAGAGGAATTAATGCAACACATGAGGACTATCCGTGCTATTTGAATTCATACGAAGCAATTTATTCAACAGGTCACGAGCTCCACTCTGGTGCAAAACGTTACAGATGGCGGCATGAAAGGCAAGGAAGTGAGCATTGGGACGTGCGACTTGACGTTTTCGTATGCTCGTCCCGACGCGACACGGCTTCGATTCGTCGGTCGAAGATCCTTCACTCACGATAGTTTCGTTTGAGAGGCTGCGTCGATGTCCACCACAAGTTTCGCGTTGGGTATCACCACACTTCTCTTTACTCTTGCGTCTCTGACGCCCTTTAAAGGATATCGAAATAGATGGGGGAGGGAGTATGAAAGGATTGAGCGTGCCCATTATGGTGATGTCGTATTCGTCCTCCTGTGGGCGTATAACGAATAATTAGCACCGTACAATTAGCCTCGATTCTAGAGTGCAGTGTCTGGTTGCTATCACAACCTACACAACGTCTCCTACCTTAATGTGCGTCAAACACCATTCGTAGTTTGCAAACCCGTGATATGCGTATAGCTCAAGTGAAATCCCGTTTTGTGCCTCCTGCATGCCAAAGTCTAATGTGTTGATGGAGGTTTCGGGAAGATTGGAGTAGTTTTTTATGATGTGCCAAGTTACAATGTGGCTGAGGTACTATAAAAAGAAAGTCAGCCAAGTAGAGGATAAATAGGCTGTCGAGCGGGGAAAGTAGAGAAGAGGTGATAACAAGTAGAAATTCGACTGGGAATCGGGGAATCGTTGAACGGGGTCCTACCTCTTCGTTACCAGCATTTTCAGTTGCAATAGCCTTGTATATGCCTACAATTGGCCTTACAATGTGGCATGTTTTAACGATAGCTCGTGGACCTATGTATGCCGAGGGAGTGTGGTTCTGGTCATACCATTTCGTAGCGACGCACTGATGAGCATCGCGCACGAGAACCTATGCAGTTAAAATATATTATGGCATGCATTAGTCGAAGACTGAGTTGGGTGTACCTGTTTTGCAAGTAATGGATTGACTTCTGAGTCGTTCGCTTTTACTGTGAGCAAGATAATCAGTGTCCTTCTTTATCTCACGGGCGCAGCATAATCTACAACATACCAACCCAAAGAAAGTGAGAGAGCCATGTCTGCCCGAGGCTGACCAGCAAACGTTTTCCGACATGCTCATGATCACATGCTATGATTGAACAAGCCGTATATCTCGTCGAGCCCTCCCCACATATGTCCGATGCGTCTAACATGGCATGAAGAAGGTGAGACAGATCGAGACCAAGGTATAGCCTGACAGAGTCAGGTTGCGATGAGAGAAAGTGAATAGACTCGGTGGCATAAAGCACGAGCTGAGGTGTAGTGAGAGAGGACGTATCGAGAAGCGTATCGACTTTGTCGATGAACTGCAAAGAGGCAGCGCTGGGAATATCCATGAATGGAGTTCGTAACAGTAGGTGCGACGGTAAGAGTGTAAATGCTAACTTTTCGTCCGAAAGGCATATTATTTATCTATGGCCGTGTCTTGGCTTTGGATACTTTGGCTTGGAATTTTGGCTTGGGACTTGCTTATGACAGTTAGAAGATCAAGTTAGAAGAAGTAACATCGACTAATGGATTAGAATTACGTACAACGGAGGAGTAGCTCCTTCTCGGTTCCAGTGTGTTGCCAATGGATGATAACGGTGTAATAACAATGGGCCTTTGTAAGTCCGTCCGCGCCAGATGTCTCTCGTTCAGCAGCGCTTACGACTCAAGAATTTCCGTTGACCCATTATCAAGCTGGGAATTAGCGAAAACGTGCAAAGCAGACGTCATAATGGTGTAAATCCAAGAGGTTGATGGAATTGATTTTACTGGAGCCAATCATAGCAAAAGGGATATATGGACTACTCACTACGCACAGGCTCCTCCTGGCTTCTTCAGTTTCTATGCGCCGGGAAATATATTTACTCATTTAGGAACTAGACATTCTGATACCATCACAAGTTGGTTGATGTCAATGGTGGCATGTGTGGAGAACCGTGAGGAGTAAATCTGCATGGACATGGTTCATGAGACAGTTGGATATGAACAAAATGATGCTAGGGTGATGATCGTATCGCCGTGTAAATGTAAGAATACCAGTCGTCGATGAACGTCAATACTAAAACCCCACCAAGGTTCAAGTATCTGGGAACGACAAGTTTGTAATTCACACATGTCAATGTAATGCACATACCTGAAGCTGACCTTTGGGCCGTAGCAGTATCAGGGAACAATTATCTGCGACCAATTTACGTTGAAGCAGTCGATACTTGGAACCGGGTAACATTCAATTCTAGTCGTGTTCAACGCAGCGAAATTCCAGGATATTCCAAACTAAATTAAAATGAGAGGACAAGAACATAATATAGCGGAACTCCTTGCTAGAGTCATTACTTGTATACCGTGCGCATACTGAGTACCGTAGACTTGGCATGTTGGAGGGCCCCGTCTCTAAACCAAGCAGGTCCCTTCTTACGTGGCCTTGATGGACGTGCGAGCGCACCCTGGACAAGCTTCATGGCTGGTTTCTTTTCTCCCGGAAGAGCCATTCCTGAACGAGATGACAGGACGAGTTTGCCGACTTCAGCTGGTTTTAGAGCCATATCGTCATGCGCTTTCCTCTTGGCCAGTTCTCTAGTCATCGCGGTGTGTTGTTGAAGAGGTTTGGCTAATAGGTTTTCCTAGAATTCGAGGTGGTTTAGTAAATAAAACTAATGGAGAGGAGCGTCCACTTACAATGAACAGAGTTGCTTTATTCCCCACATCAGAAAGTGCCTCGTTGCCTCTGTACTTCATCACCTTTTGAAGATTCCATCGCGTTCTCGGCCTTAGCTCGCCTGCTTCACTACTTCCTAGACTAAGTTCCTTCTTCATGACATCTTTCGTGCCAGTCACTCCTCTATTAATCACTTGATTAGGAGTTTCGCGTTGTAATCTTCCGTCGAGTATATCTTTCCCTATAGCGCGTGCAGTCATTTCTACCTTGAGATCTCGTGGGTTGTCGACAAGCTCGAGAATAGCTGTTGGTGCATTGTCACCTCGACGGTTCACATATTTATGGATTCGGGTGTATCCGCCTGGCCGAGAAGAGTAGCGCGATGCGAATGTGTCAAATATTTTCGGGAGTAGGGTAGCGTTGAGAACGAACGACTGTGCTCGACGGTATGATGGTATGTCGCCCTTCTTACCAAGTGTGATGATCTACGTTTTTCTGGATCAGGCAAAGGCTATAAGAATGAATTCGAAAGACGTCTGCACCTTCTCTGCTAGTCTCGCTGCATCCCTAGCCTTGGGAAGAGTAGTTGTAATCTGTTCGTGCTCAAAAAGAGAAGTGACCAGATTGCTGTTGACATGTTAAAAATGTCAATACGTGAAATATAAATTAATTTTACAAAGTTAGTCACCGAAGCATTAGATTTCTGTGCGAGGACGTTCTCGAAAACTTGCGAAATGCTATACCGTGCTTCATGATGAATACTTGTGCATATACAACCTCGTTGGATGATTTTGGTGAGAGCGTCAAAGAAAAACACTGGCAGGTGTAAGTACCAGGTTCGGGTGTCCGAGTATAGTCAGAGGTTGGTTCGTGGAAACGGAAAGCGTGTTTCAAACCCCGCTGCAATAGACCTCCACGTCGTGAACAGCAAAAGCAGAGAACAGGACAACGAAAACACCACAACCAAAATGGTAAAACACAGAGAACAACTCCCTGAAAAATATCTAATCATATATTTGTTAGCCGTCTGCAATGGCTTCGGATTCCATTCCGATAGAAACCGCCCATGAGGATATGATAGTATGTGCTGACTTCCATCAATTGCAGTTTCATAGCTAATCTAGCTGTTCGCCAAAAGCATGATGCCCAATTGGACTACTATGGGAAACGTCTTGCAACCTGCTCGTCAGATAGGACAGTTAAAGTCTTTGACGTAATTGACGGTGAAGCGCAGAAGTCAAATGGCGGACATACTTTGAAAGGGTACGTGGATATAACCAAATTGGGTGACTTCAGTTGAAGAAGAAATTTCGTCTACTAGTCATACAGGACCCGTGTGGCAGGTAGCCTGGGCACATCCGAAATTCGGGCACATACTGGCTTCGTGTTCTTATGACGGCAAAGTGTTGATCTGGAAAGAACAGGGACAGGGTCCTGCTGCAGGAGGGTGGACAAGGATAAAGGAACACACTCTACATACCGCTTCAGGTATATTTCTATTCTTCATTCTACTATCGTTAAACCTCACTTTTTATTTCAGTCAACTCTGTATCTTGGGCACCACACGAATTGGGTGCCATCCTAGCTTGCGCATCTTCAGACGGCAAACTCTCCGTTCTTTCCTTCAAAGGCAAGTTCTGTCTCCCGTTCAAACTTCTGCTTGGCTTGCTTTGCTTTGAATGTTCATCGGCGCTGTTATATCGAGTGCATCTCATGAGCCGTCTCGATAATACAAGTTGCTGACATGGCTGTTGTACAGATGACGGCCAATGGGGTGCCGATATCTTCAACGGTCACGCCATCGGGTGTAACGCCGTATCCTGGGCACCCGCTACCCAGCCCGGCTCCTTAATACAACCCCAGCAAGGCAGTACCGCACCAGGACAGCCCACCGCCCCTTCGCAGAGCGTCAAACGCTTCGCCAGTGCAGGCTGCGATAACCTCGTCAAGATATGGGGATACCGAGAAGATTCACAGTCATGGATCGAGGAAGAAACTCTCGAGGGCCACACTGACTGGGTCAGGGACGTCGCGTGGGCACCCAATATCGGACTCCCAAGGAGTTACATCGCGACCGCGTCTCAAGTCTGTCTTTTTACATACTATCTTATATAGTGGCGCTAACCCCTTCTGCTGACAGGACAAAACTGTTCTCATCTGGACGAAAGACACGCCCACCTCCCCATGGGCTAAAACCGCACTCGACCCGTCTTCCGCGTCAGTTTCTGCCACGTCACCCAGCCCAGCGGCTGCAGGCAAATTCCCCGACGTCGTCTGGCGTGTGTCGTGGAGCCTTGCTGGCAATATTCTGGCTGTTAGCTGCGGCGATGGGAAGGTCACGCTGTGGAAAGAGAATTTGCGCGGTGCCTGGGAATGCGTCAGTGACATGACTAGCTAGAGATTTATCGATAATTGCAATACGAGCTCGCAGTAATTCATCTTAGGGGCGTCAGCTTAGAACATACCCATATTACCTCGGTACGTGAGATGTGATCCCTTGAGAGCGAGTGAGGCATAATCCAGTATTAAGTTTACTATTTAATACAATATATATCTAAAGAGGCGTCTATATGTATGCACGCTATTAAGTGTGATCTATTTTTTAGCTTGAGGTAATGTCTTGCGATAAGCCTCCTCAATTTCCTTTTGCACATTGGGCAAGACAGGCATATGGTTCTTGTATTCCATGCTGAATTCACCTGAAGTAAATGATGTAAGCAAATAGCGATTAGCATATGGCACAGTGAAACCAATTACCTTTGCCCTGAGTTGCTCCACGAAGCTGATTCGAGTATCCAAACATGTCATTCAAAGCCACTTCAGCGATACATGTGAACTCGTCCTCTCGAACTTCACTGTCCATGATGGTCCCGCGTCGTTGATTAAGCCCACCAATCACAGCACCTAATAATGTGTTAATTTCGGTAACTTTGAAATTCAAAAGACGGAAGACTTACTTTGGAATTCCGAAGGGGCAACAACCTCCACGGTCATGATAGGCTCGAGGATGACTGGCTTCGTCTTCAAAAAGGCCTCGCGGAAAGCTCCAATAGTTGCCAAACGGAAAGCCAGCTCAGAGGAGTCGACAGCATGGAAAGCACCATCCTTCAAAACAAGACGACAACCCGTGATTGGATTGCCAGAAAGAGATCCCTTTAGTAAAGCTTCGAAGAAACCCTACAGTAAAAATGAATCGGTCAGAAAATCACATAGCAGGCGTATATGAAGGTCGTTACCTTTTCGACGGCTGGAATAAAGTTCGTAGGAATATTGCCACCCATAACTATACTCTCGAACGCAGTATCTCTCCCAAGTTCTTCATCAAACTCCATAGGCTCAACCCATCCAATGACACGGGCAAACTGACCAGCACCACCTGACTGTTTCTTATGAGTGTACGAGAAGTCCGCACGTTGAGTAATTGTTTCACGGAATGCCACGCGAGGCTTGCCAGTCGTGCATGCAACATTGTATTCACGTCGCATGCGCTCGACGTAGATCTCCAAATGGAGCTCACCCATTCCGGATATAATGGTCTAGCGAAGACATTATAAGCGCATAGAAGACGATGATATGTCACAACCACACACCTCTTTGCTTTCATGATCGATATGAACCCTGAACGTTGGGTCTTCCTTCTGGAACCGATTGAGCGCACGCGAGAAGTTGGGTGTCTCTATACCGACGGGTTTGATCGCGAGCGAAATTACGGGCTCAGGAACAAACATAGATGTCTATGGATATGAACGTCAGCCCTTTGCTCAAAGCTGCGAATAAGATGTACCTACCATGGAGAAGCTGGTAGAACCATCCGTAAAAGTATCACCAGAAGAACATTCAACACCAAAGATAGCACAAATTTCGCCGGGGCCAACGGATTCAATGTCCTGGAGGGAATTCCATTTAGATTATAGTTTTCTAATGGTGGTGTACGCATTCTTCTTACCTCCATTTCGTTACTGTGCATTCGAACTAGGCGAGGTACCTTAACCTTCTTGCCTGTCCGTGCATTGTAGATCAGCCCGGCTTTCTTCAGTGTACCCTGATAGACTCGCATGTAGGTCAACTGCCCGAAACGACCTTCCTCTAGCTTGAAAGCCAAGCCCACCAGGGGTGCTTCCGCAGCAGGGACCAAAGGTACAGGCGGAGCGGACGTAGGTTGAGTGGTATCGTGGGCATTAACCTCTGACTCGGATGGATTCGGTAGATAAGCACAAACACCATCTAACAAAGGCTGTACACCGGTATTCTTGATGGCAGACCCGAGAAAGACAGGAGAGAACTTCAACCCGACCGTGGAGCGCCTGATAGCCTCCGCAAGCTGCGAATGAGTAGGCACTTCGTCATTGAGTATAAGTTCGCCAATTTCATCATCAACCTCTGCAAGCTGCTCGATGAGTTCGGTGCGCTTCGCCTTGGCCAGTTCGAGGACGGATTCCGGGATTTCATCCGATTCTACAACGTTTACGCTGAAACACGTAGTTAAAGTCAGCATGTACGCCAAGAAATAGGCACGCCTCAACAGACCCTTTTTCGCCTTCGTTGTAAATGGATTTCCAACGGACTAGATCGACAACACCCTTAAATTCATCTTCAACACCAATTGGTACTTGGAGTGCAGCAGCAGGGATCTTGAGCTTGGAACGAATTTGATTCACAATACGCCAGGGGTTAGCGCCAGGTCTGATAAAGGTCAGTGAGACAATATATGGGTTACTTTATTGACGCATACAAACCTATCCATTTTGTTGATGAAAGAAATGCGAGGAACATTATACCGTCTCATTTGCCGATCGACCGTCGTAGTTTGACTCTTGATTTTAGATATATCATTAATCACAAATTAATGATTACAACAATGCAAGCTCACCTGTACACCAGCAACAGCACACAAGACCAATACAGCACCGTCCAAGACTCGTAACGCGCGTTCTACTTCTATAGTGAAATCGACGTGACCTGCACAATGTTGCTTCAATTTATGAAAACCTCGGGAAGATCTTAATATAATACCAACCTGGGGTATCAATGATGTTAATAGCGTATTTGTGCTTCTCGTCGTTGAGAGGCGATTTGGCCTCCCAATCACAAAAGGTAGCTGCGCTCTGGATAGTAATGCCTTTCTCCCTCTCCAGCTCCATACTGTCCATCTTTGCGCCAACCGCATCCCGTCCTCGAACCTAAAGCTAGGTTAGTAATTTTCAGACAAAGAACAAGAGAATATATGCGCGCCAAGAACAGTCACAGTAACACCAAGGCAGTCCCCGGAATGGCAGCGCATCATGAGCAAACCGAGGCTAGTATTTACTGCTTGGCATTCTTGTAACAGTCCCCTGGTCGTGAAACAGACATGGAGAAGCACTGAATGCGAACCTCATGAATTTCGCGGATTCGACCAGTGTAAAACAGAATTCGCTCTGTTAGCGTAGTCTTCCCCGAGTCGATATGCGCAGAGACACCGATGTTTCTCTGAAACTTGAGCCGCTTGAAGTCGTTGTCCGTGAGGTCATAAGTTGGATATGAAGGAGCTTCTTCTTCAGGTGTAGGTTCTTTTGCCAGCGCAGCGGCTGTTGAAGCTGCGCGTTTCCCGTGGACCAAAGAGAATGACCATCTTGGAGAAGGCCTTGAACGATGAAGTGCCCAGCTCCAGGACTGGGGCACCTGACGAGCAAACATCAGCATGGCTTGGTGCAGAGCTATGCAGAGGACTTGGAGGAAATTTTGAGCAGCGGCGATAAAACCCGTGTGTAACTGAGGTTAGGGCTTATACCATTCGAGGTTAGGGTTTATGCCAGTGAGGTGATTATGAGCAGTGGCGTATCATGCAAAGAGCATTACATGTTCCAATATGCTCGAAGGATCTTGACTTCACACTCACTCCCCAGGCTTTCGCGCTCAATAGTCATGTCTATACCTTTCGCTACAGAAAAACAGGTTGCAGTAGCTGCTGTGCGCAGAGCATGCTTGCTTACATCCTCTGTATTCAACAAATTGGTGAAGAATGAGACGTTGACCAAAGGCGACAAGTCTCCCGTTACAGGTATGGATATCGCTGGACTATCTTGGTTTCATGAAGTTGATGGGGTGTTGCAGTTGGAGACTATTCTGCACAGGCGGTCGTAAATACGATCCTTGGTCGTGCTTTTCCCACCGATCCCATCGTTGGAGAGGAAGATGCCAACGAGCTCCGACAAGAATCAGGCGTTATAATGCGACAAAGGATCGTGGAACTTGCCAACGAGACATTGACGTCCGAGCTCGGATTGGGTGAAATGGTTGAATGGGGACTCGGTCCAGGGCAAGAGAGAACACCAGAAGAACTGATGGATGCCATCGATCGCGGGAATCATGCAGGTGGTGCGGTAGGACGTGAGTATACTATTCCGCGAATACCTAGAGTTGGATAGTTAATGATCATGAACTGCAGGGATGTGGACCCTTGATCCTATTGATGGAACGAAAGGGTTCCTGCGAGGAGAACAGTACGCTGTATGCCTCGCTTTGATTGTGGATGCACAGGTGCAACTTGGAGTTATGGGATGCCCAAACTTACCTGTTGATGCGTCAAACCCTGATGGTCCCAAAGGCTGTATTTTCGTCGCTGTACGAGGCCAGGGAGCCCAACAAGTATGTTCACTAGTTACTCGATTTCCAATACCATCTTAATGTGCGCATAGATGGCAGTATCTGGTGCCAACCCCACTCCTTTGACTATCCCTACCATTAGCGGGGACTCGCTCAATTTCCTGGAGTCTGTGGAAGCTGCACACTCTTCTCATTCTTTCAATAGCCGTGTTTCTTCTGTGCTCAACATCACCCGGGCACCTACACGCATGGATAGCCAAGCCAAATACTGCTGTCTTGCAAGAGGTGACGGGGGAGCTTACCTTCGTATGCCAACAGGTGTCGGATATAGAGAGAAAATATGGGTGAGTGCTCATCGTTGATTAGTTGTATATTGTGCTCATTTGCTCTTCGACTTGAGGATCATGCTTCTGGTGCCATTCTCATAGAAGAAGCAGGAGGCATTGTCACTGATTCACGAGGATCTTCTCTTGACTTTGGACTGGGAAGGACACTAGGAGAAAACTTTGGTGTCGTAGCGGCAGGAAAGGCGGCACATGCCAAGGTCCTCGCTGCTGTCATGCAGGCAAAGGCGGAAGAGGAAGAGGAAAAGACAAAGGCAAGGGTGTAGGTAGGTCTACGTAGGTAAACATAGATATTTTCCTGAGCACTAACCGATTAGTTGGGACACACGACGTAAATATTATGATGCTTAGAGGGTGGCTGAGAATATCACTAAAACAATCTAATCATCGGTGCATATAGTTCGCAATGTCTCTTCCAAGCGTTCCGCAGATAATACCGTACTTTCATCGCCCCTGCATACATGTTCCAGACCAAGTCCCGGAATGCCATATAGTCCTCCATAATCGCCTCTTTTATGTGCCCAACCAGCACAGACACAGTCCTATCGTCCTCCAAGTACAACCGCATCCTCATAACGGATGATCGAAGATCCCGCTCGCATGATAAGATAAACTTCTCGTGAAGATCTTCGGCTGCATGCTGCTGAGCCCATGTCTGTGTGACAAGCGAAGTAGGTGCTTTGTCGAGGTTTGGGTGTTCATTGCGCGTGGTAGTATGCACACGCACACGCATCACCCACTCCCGTAGAGGCTCGCAAATTGGCTCCACACAGCGAGATATGACATCGCGGCAAGCCTGTTTTAAGTCTTGGTCGATGTCCTAAGATGAAGGTGAATCAAAACTAGAAAGAAACTTTCGACCTGATAGTGGAACCTACATGTTTTACATCCGTTATACCATCACCTCCTCGAGGCATTCCCAGAGATGCGAACAGAGCATCTGGAAGGAGAGAAGATGTTTTGTTCAATATTAAGGCGAGGGTTTCTATTGAAAAATATATGAGTGAGCTTAAACATCATCTCGGGAAAATGTGTTATACACAAGCACCTGTGACTCCACCGAAGTCAATCGAAGGCCCGGAATTTCTCTGGCCAAAGTCCAGCGTTTGCGTCATGTCTTTCAAGATCAGCAGGTGTCGAACAAGAAAGAGCTCGCCGTCTAAGGTACTCGAAGGGGGATTCCTCGCACAGATATTTTGAGAGGGCGAAACAAAAGATTGCCTGCATAAACTTATTGCTTCTTGGGCAATATCTTCAAAGATAGCAGGCTAGGGGAAGAGCGTCAGTAAATATTCATATGGATTATGAGAACGAGAACATACCTTGACGAAATCGTGAAGTTGAGACAGTACCCAGACAGTTTTTCGCAGAGTCGGGAACCATGTTTCTTGCTTGTCCAGTGAAGGCAGACGGAAAAGCTGATTTACACTTTCCTTTTCCTTGATCTCGATCTCAGAACGTGGTTTTCTTGCAGCTGGCAAGGTTGATCGACCCACTTAGCCATCTAAAAAATATTTTCTGCACTTTACGCTCACCTACGAGCTTTTCAGGATAAGCCAAATCTTCAGGAGTGGGAACGTAGTATCGAATTTCGGACTGAATGACAGACTGCGCCTTGAAGAAAAGCCTGGTCTGGGCATCTTGTAACACCATCTGCAAAAGTTGGCTGATGTGTAGTTTGCCGAGTCCTTGTGGTCTATTTGGGGGGTGGTCGAGGTCTAGAGTTAACGACTCTCCTGAGTAATCAAGGTCGTTGGTGTCTAGCGGAGAATCGGGTAGATCTGCTACGTCCAAAACCACCAGAGCCTGCAGAACAGTGCACACCTCACAGAGAGCTGTCAGCCGAGTTTCGTGGAGGATTCGAGGACGTAGATCATCGTAGAGGTAATCACATAGGTTCTCCAGGTAATGGCTGTATGGCGTAATAACGTTAACGATGGTAGCGAGCTAGTTCGGCAAACTCACTAAAGTTGAACCTCTCCAGAGTTGAATAACTCTCGATACAGATCGAACTCATCTGTACAGAGCTGCTTCAGATAGCTACAACCGGTTCTCGTCTTCAGATCATCTCTTAGTGAACGAATAAAGGCGGAAAAAACATTTGTACCTACCAGTTCAACAAGTTCTGTGCGAGCCGGGTCTAACCCTTTGATTTCTTCCGTGAGGCGGCCGACAAGCAAACTTTTCCGGGCGCTAAAGTATGCTGTATGACATTCCGATAGCAAAGCTGAAAGATCTTCAGGATGGACCTGTGCACGGCGTTCCAGTTCACCGAGCAAGGGTGCTAACTGTGGTGTGATACTCCTGAATCTAGTGTAGAGGAGGTGCATCTGCGCCGTCAATGATACATCCTTTATTGAATGACACTTGAGTAAAAAGACAGGTAAATTTTGGATTCAGGAGCACCTTCGCAAAGAGACGTTTAGAAACATCCCCTGTAAGAGCCCTCAAAGACCCAACAAAGTACATCTTGATCAGGGTCATGGCACGAGTCATGCACTGTTGGAAACGAAGTAGGTAGATCTCAGCTTCCTTGAAATACCGCTGTAATCAAAATTAGTTTGATAAATCCCCACTATGAGAATGTTTAGAACACACGTGGGAATTGAGATATTCTATACAGATATCTACGCGCTCGACCATGTACAAAAAATCGGTTTTCAGGACCAAAGATTCTCCTGGATGGTTGAGCATGCGCGTAGCTTGTTCCAACTCGTTGAAATACTCGAGCACCTGACCGATTTCCTCCATCATCTCCAGCAATTGATCCTGGCAGCAGCGAAGTAACAAAAGATAAGAGTATATAATAAGTATGAGTATCGAACGTACGCGTTCTTCTAGTAGCTTCTCGCAAGCGTCTTTGAGACTTTTTCCACCTTCCTCGACACTTCTCCAATTTGACAACATTTCATCTACTTCACGGTCTATCTCATCAATCCTTTCGAGCAGAAAATCGCACGTCGCCAGATGTTCTGAAATGTCAGCCACGTGAGCTCGAAAATGAGCCTCTTGATTATGTGCAACAGAACGATCTATCTGAGCAAACCAGTCATAGAACTGTTCTGGGGTCTGTATTGGCTGCTTTGGATGGAGGGCGTGAGTAGCTAGAGGACGGCCAATGAATTGGTTGGGTGTTGAAGGGCGAGACCCAGAGCCTAACTTGTTGCGTAAGTTGGGAGTAGAAGGCCGTGACGAGTCTGCTTCGTCAACGGTGAACTTGATAGCCTGTAAGACTCCGACAACCACTGACGGAACTACGACGTACTTTGAGAGGAAGTGGGATTGTTTCACTGGCCAGTTTAACGCCCGCGACACTTTTGAGGGAGAGGTCTCCAAGTGGTGCTTTTGCTTCCCACTGCTCCATTGTCAATGTAGGCTTGGGATGAGGAGTCAGTGCTGAAGGTGGTGCACCGCGGCGTTGACCCGCTGGAAGTCGAGAAGACGACATGATGACTGTAACCAATATACAATGTAATGAACCTGTTAGATATGGACAGGAATGCCAAAGACCTTGCCTGGAGAGAATGGTAGGGATGAGCCTGCAGTGTCAGGAATTCAGGCTTAGACTAGTACGTAGAACCCAAGTTGTTAACTTGGCAGCACTGCCGGCTCTGGTAGTAGGCGCCGTAACCTTATCCGGTACAGCCACTGAAGTGATGCAGCGCCCTATTTGATTTCATATTTCTGTCCCCCGCCACTCCGAGTCCAACGCAATACTCCAGTCGATCCCGTCTGTATCTCCTCTCTCACTGCCTCTGTATTTATATACTTCAACTTTTAGAACGCTCCTCCTTCCCCCCCCCCCGGCTCTTTGTTTACTCCGTTTGTAACGCAGGAAATCTGTCTATACTCGTCCATGGCATCTTGGTGAGCTTTTCGTGTGTGTTTCAGTTGGCTTCGTTGCAACTCAGCATCATTCCTATTTATAACAGGGTAGATCTCTTTTCCCTGCTTGCGGTGAGAATGTCATGTTCCTACCATGTCTCCAATGGACCTGACCCGTTCACCACTTCGTTATATATCAATTTGCATCACAGACGACACTATTTTTCGTCGGCGTCATTGTTGGAGTAGTACTCCTCGGGAGGCAGATATCCAATGCTGTCCAGTCGACCAAGGAGTCGTGAGTCACACCAATGCTAACCTCTCCTCTTCTGTTCGCTTGACGACGCCCCTGTTCATACCAGACTCAACAATAGAGGCATCGCTATCAGTGATAAGGGTGTTTCTGTAAAAACCAACAAACGCTTCGACAGATCAGACTACGTTGATGCGACCCAAAGGTTTGTCGGTGTACTTTGATCGGAGCTGATTTAATTCTAAGCTGTTCAATGTATTTAGGGGTTTAATGAAAGCCTTGGGTTCTTCTACCTTTGGTTCCTCTCTCGGAGAGGATGAGGCCAAGAAGAACACGCTCAGGTCCAAATCCGCGACTAGCCTCACCGAGGGAAAGTCGCACAGAAAAAGTTCCAATGCCAGCGTAACAACGAACGGGAGTGCTGAGGAACGTGAAAGAAGGCGAATTTTCGGCATGCGAAAGAGTCACAGCAGCACAGGAAAATAAACTTATCATCATGGGGAATTAGGTGTGATATACACGATTTTCACTTTGAGGTTAGGGGACGTTTACGCTTTTCTTATTAATATTAAGTTGTGTGAATATTGTATAGAAACTGAAAATTTTCTTCGAAAAACGCTGTATATATAGCATTCCAGACCAGTACTATCTTATTTATTGTGCCACTATTGCGATTGGGAGGTGTTCATGCCATCTATGACCTTGATGCTACATCATCGGGAGTTCTAACTGGAAGATCAACCTTCCATTTGAGCCATGAAAGTAAACTGCAAATCATCAACTTCCATGCCGGGACCGCCCCCTACACCCTCACCATGGGCTCGAAAGGCTCTTGAAGCATCCCTTCTCGCTCGCTTCGCATCTTTTTTCAAAGTTTTCCTGCTCAACGAGTTGCCTCTTGGGGCTGCTTCGTCATATGCTGAAAGATCTTTAGCTTTCCTCAGCCGTTTCGGCGCGCGCGCTGAAGTATCATTTGATCGTTTCAACGCGATGAGGGGCCGTTGAGGGTCGCCGACGACTGAAGGCGAGCGAGCACGTTTTCGCGGTATCCGAGGCGTTAGGTCGTCAGATTCCATTGGTATACTATAATTGATATTCAACAGATATTAGTTTCTGCGGGGCATATTTGTTTGCCTTGCACAAAACAGTATTGACGTAATAAAGAGGATAACCTACCTATCTTCATCCATCATGGTAGCTTCTTCGATTGCATGATCTTCGTCCATGACGACCTCCTCTACCGCTGGATCCTCACCAAATGCACCAGCATCGGCGGCTCCAAAGAAACCAGCTAGCTCAAATGGCTTCCCAAACTCTGCTAGAATTTGGGCCTGACCCACCGTCTCAGCTCCAGGTGCAATCGTAGCATCACCCGAGATCGTAACAGTGGAAGGGATGGAGGACGGGTGGACAGATGGTGGAACAGAGAAGTATGGTATTTTTTGGTGATTCCAATCCATGAGGACGTGCTTTGCGGCCGATAGGACGTCTGGGGTGCCACCCTACGAAAAGAAAAGAAAAAAAGGGGGGGTTGGATTACAGTGGATTGAGACCAATGGAAAGTACCGCCCACCTTTAGCAAACGTCCGCTGCTAAGTGCAAGCATGGTCAGAAATTCTAGCGTTGAGGTGAACTGTGGAAGGCCGTATATCTTCTGGATTGTATCAGGATTCGTTCTGGCCAGGATGTCTTCCACTGAGAACAGAAGATTTCATTGAGCCCGAGTGTGTATGTGTCAATTTTTTCGATTCCCAAACTCACCGACAGCAATAGGATCTTCGACATCTTCTACTTTTACAACGTTTCGCAGCAGGATACTGCCTTTGCTGCCACTTTTTTGGACCTCGTCATCGTCATCGAAGACGACACCAGGCGAATCTACTATGCGAATACCACGCTCTAATTGGATTGACTGCAAGTCTTTTGTGTGGCCAGGTTGAGCTGCGACAGCGCAGACCTAAATTATATCGATCAGAAAGCATATAAGGACATCCTGAGATAATCAACCTTGGATCTTTTGAGAGAATTGATGAGACTACTCTTTCCGACATTGGGGAACCCAACCACGCCTACGGTGACGCTCTGAGCTGCACTAGGTTTGTACGCCTTCAGTAGACGGATCAAGCCTGGTGCAGTTGATGATGATAGATTCGAGCGCTGAGTATTAGACGCCGAACGGAAGGGAAGCGTGGGGGTTGAGTGTCGAAGATGGCGAAGCCATTGCTGCGCATTATCACGAGGTACCAAATCTGCAAGAAAATAAGTTAGGAGGTATAGCGATTGCACGGTCAGACAGTCCATACCAATTTTATTGAGAACAAATACAAGCTTCTTCCCTTCACTCTCACGCCTTCTGACTTCTTCCTCAACGAGTCGACTCCTACAACCTTCCGGATCGCGAGCGTCCAGCACCAAGATGACGATGTCACTCTCATCGATCACTTTGTGAAGCGTACGGACGTAATGGCGACGAATCTGCTCTTTTGTTTTTTGTGCACTAGACGAGGGATCGACTGTGGAATCTTGAGTCTCCGAGGAAGATGCGATCATAGCAAGCGTGGAGAGTGTAGGTTCCGAAGCCATTTGAGCATCGGGGTCCGTGCGATGTATTTGCTGTGGAAGGTCGTGAGACCAGAGTCCTCGTACAAAGAAAGATTAGACGAACGGGATGTGCTCTCTGCTTCTCAGCATTTCGAACCCGAACCTTGAGATCTGGTAATCGAGGGACTCCAGGGTCTTTTTTCAATTCTTGTTTTCAAAAGGAGGACTTCCGATCAAAAATCCACGATAATGAGACTAGGCGAGTACATACTGCTTTTGAGCGGCACTGTGGTTTTCCGCGATTCTAGTGCAGGATCTAATCATTAAAGTTATATTGGATGGTTGAGGATGACTTACTGTTTTTCCCCATGGTCATTGCTCGTCGACAGTCCTAGAGAATATTGCAAGACAATGTTTGCTCGCAGATCAAAATGCGACTGTCCAATGATTTGGTGTGGCATCCTCATGGTTTGTCACGTGACCTCATGAATGATTCGGATAATTGGCAGTCCGCGGCTTGCTGTCGTTCTTGCATCGTAATTAGTTCACTCCTTGTCGACTGCCAGTGATACTTATACTTAAGACCATTGCTAGGGCTATGTCTCGGATGGCCACCTTTTCATAGAGTTACTATCCAAGAAAAAGAACACTTACACACTCGAGCGCCTCATGCTTCAGCTTAATTAGCTTACAACTTGGACCCCATTTTTTTGGCAGCTCAGCGCCTGAACACAGGCCCTTGTGACCAGTGCCCGTGCTAGTACGTTGATTTCGTCATGATAACCAATACTGAAATTTAATACTCTTGGCCCAGACGAAGCTGCTGTAAAGGTTGTCTCCCCGTGAGCGTGGTCTTGGCCAACCGAAGTCGAAGTCCTAAACTTATAGCTAATCAAGAGCACTCTACTGGCTGGAAAGGATTACGAATGTTGGCTTAGATTTCTACACCGCTTTCACAGCATTATTGCCAATTCACGCTCAAATTGGACTTACTTGAACAATTCGTTGGAAAAAACTGATGACGCTCGTTGGAATGACACGGGAAACTGATGGATTCTGTTAACAGGCTGTGTCGTTGGTCGACCCTTTGTATTCATTTCAAGGCACCGTGATGTCCGGGTCACCCCGAGATGCAAGTACCCCACGGGATCATGTAACCCTTTTGGTGCTCGACTAGGCTCAGACTTTATTGCTAACAAGTACATGTAGCGATGAACTCTTCTAACACAACTTGCTCTGATCCAAGCCCATTCCAACCAAATCCGGACGTCAGCGGAATTGGCGTACGTGTCTCTTTCTATTTACAAGCGGTACTCCTCGGTGAGTCGAATTATATCAAACGAATTACTGCTCATCCAGCATAGGTATATGTGCTTGCTGACGTTGCCGTTCGTTATATAGCTTTATTAACTGCCCGTTCTGGGTCCGTTAGTGAAACGACTGGTGCTTTATCAACCTTGATACTAACAAATATGGCTTATGTTGCTACTACTCTTGTGTTAGGTTTCAGCGCACAGCCTGAAATGAATCTATACGAGTGCGTCCTACTGTCTTTCTAACATTTTCTTTGACTGATCTCGTTTCAATATATCAGTGCACTCATTGTCATGTACTTGCTAACATTCTCATGGTTGGCCATAACCTTTTCACTTCCCCAGTATAATCGGTTCAAGCGGGGGAGTGCCGCAGTTAAAATTCTTTCCGTTATTCAAAGCTATATGGTCTTTGCCTGCGGGTTTTCCATTCTTGCTACCATTGACAACTTTGGTATGCAGCCTCAATGCAACCGCGTCCTAGTGGTAGCAATTTTTGGCCGGTTCTCTCTATTTGACAAAGGGAGAACAGTTTTCTTGGTTGCATTGAGCGTGGCCACAATACTCTACACAGGATTCACCATCAATGACTATTGCGCGTTAATTTTTGGCCGATGTCAATGTAGCCGTCGGCACGGTCGTACACAGCGCAACAGCTCAAATGGGCTGGCACCCAGTTTCTTTGATCGTTTTCACATCCCCCAAAACAATGCCAAACCAAATATCCCTGCTTTTCCCGTCATCCATCACGCAAATGTGGATGGGCGCGTTGTCCTCACTGTTATAGTAATCTTCATTATATCCGCGCTGTGTATCCTTAATACGGAGCTGTTGAGGCACTATAATCATATTGGGCCGGAGGATGAGTCCTGGGCTTTTGGTCAGGTGAGTCTTGTTTTGTTCTATGGCTTTGCGTTGATATAATACATATCATTGTCGTAGATTTTACCAATGTTTTTAACGCTTTTGCCACTAGTCAATACTGTGAGGGCGTTTAAGGAGTATGGTTTTGGAACCAAGCACAATCACAAGGAACGAATAGTTGGTCCTAGCACCCCCCATGTTCTTCGCACCACTTCAGGTAGATCCTCAGACCTGCATACCCAACCGGATGATGAGATGGTGGATTCAGGCGGTGATGATGAGGTGAACTAGAGAGAAATTCATCATTCTGCCTACTACGATACCCGTTTTACTGAAGATATTAATACTTTTGGTCGATAATAAATACTATCACGCTGACCCGTGTATGACCATTGACTTAATTACAACATAATTAACTTTTAGATGAATGGAGACAAAAATATCTATGAGAAAAGTAAAATCATCAAGATAGGAAGATGAGTTTGTTGTCATAATGGGCAATAGCGCAATATAAATAAGAACATGCATTCGTTGTCTTCCATAGAATCGGCCAACGCAAGATCGGTATGAGAGTGTCATAAGCCATGGATTTAGAATAACCTATGATTTAGCGACATAAAAATAACCTGACACTACACCACAAGTATAATTGCACTTAACCTTAACTGGAAAAAGAATGTGACTGCCTACGACAATACTAAAGTTTAATAATAACATCAATACGGATGGATAGGTATGATTACCAGCAGACTCACGCAAGTGGAAACGTTACAGCCCAGTCAGTAGACTCCACGCGCCACCCCCACAAGAACAAGAGAAAAATTAAGAATAATCATGGCAACGACAGTCAGGACACAGAGTACTAGTGTGACCCTAAATCGTTTCAAAATCCTAGGAACTTTGATGAAAAAGTTCGAGCGTTATACTTCTTCCTTTGTTGCACCCCATGTTATATTGTACGAGAACATGTGCGCCAAGATGGCTTGCGTAAGATGAATGCTGAGGCCGCCAAAAAAAGAAGAAAAAGCCGAGAAACTCGTTAATACAATGATGAACAGGGAAAATGTACCGGCAATACTCACAAAAATGGTATCCATGTCAATTTCTCAATCAAGGAGCCTAGAAAACTGCGATGCCCAAGGCCGAGGAGTGTAAACCCGAGGTCCCCAACCCCAGGAGAGACGACGGTACAAGCCAACCATACTTCATGATTTCTGGTACAGACAATTCAGCATCAGACAATCCAAGATTCAATGTTTTAGAGGGTGATTGAGGGAGGAGACGGAACTATGCAAATAAAACCCGTCGACATCGACTTGGAAACCGAGTAGAAGATAATTTATTCACTGAGCTTAACTCACAATATTTTCTTTACATTATCTGCTGGGTCGATAAATGCTGCACCTTGCAGAGCTGTCCATCTCAAGAAGGCATCATGCCAAACAAAAGGTGTAACTTCGCCGTTAGCACAACCAATCGATATGCACTTGTTAATACGTCGCGTGAAATGCGTAAATACCATTCTCGAAGTAATGGCGAGCAACTTGCATAACATCTTGTGATAAACGAGATAATTTTAAGAGTCAACGTATCACGAGTGGCTATGATACACATACCTGATTCATGCTGTGTGATAGCAACTTCTGGACATTCCGCGAGCTCACGAGCAGCATCTCGTAAACAATCCTCAAGCCATCATTCCCAATTAGCAGAATTACCTTCGGAGAAGCAGAAGCAGAGGAAACGCACCTCTGGCACAATAATATCAGGATCCACAATTAATATGATTTGACCCCATCTCAGCGACTTTCCATTGCAAACCCATGGCATCCATTGTTTCACGCTTTCTTTGAAGCGCCTTGCCTTCTAGACACCCAGATTGGTCTTTGGCTAACGCGTTTCTTGCAACAGCATTTTCCAATACTTTCAGATGTTTTTCCAGCTTCGAGCTCAATGCGAGTCCATGATTCATGTTCGACACTTTCTTGAAAGGATCAGCACGTTTAGAACCTCCCGGAGTATTGTCATGTTTCGAACGTGCGACCCAGCGTATGTTATGCTTTGCATAGAATGCGATGCGTTCTTGACGTTTTTCTTCACTGATCAGCTGTATGCCGTCATCGTGTACAAAGATAACCAAAGTCTCGCCTTGTCGTGCGTATGTTTGCATGGCCTTCTTGAGCGAATAAACAGAAGGGGCACTGAATAGGAAGCATTAGTAATGTCAAGCGTATATCGAAGGAAAAATATATCGAAGGTGAGCACGCACATTGTCTGCTCTAAACTTTCTTTGGACACAGGAAGTTCAATTGTAACGTGTGGAAGCGCAGCGTCAACATCTTTATTCGGGACCAGTCGATTCGCAGAATAATACTTCGAATTCTCGTGGCATTGAGAAACTGGTCCAAACCTGCCAAAAAGAAGGCCTCCGACTCTTTCCAGCATGAGAAGTCAGCATAAGAAGTAAGACACTTAACTCACACGAGCGATAAGTTTCCCATAAGATGCAAGCAGAAGAGTTGCGGCTGCGGAGTCAGCTTCGACGGCAATTTTTTTCCTCATGGTATGCTCCCCAGTCACCAGTGATACGCAAAAAAAGGAACGGAGAAGTGGCAAGCATTGCAAACCGAACGTAACTACCATCTAAAACCCATTCTGCGAGCAAGATACTGACACCACTTCTTATGAAAACTGATTATCTCGCGTCTCATGAGCTGGCTGACGAAGTTGGGCAGGAAAGCACATACACAAGGAGAGCGCTGTAGCAAGGCCACAATAGAATGGAGCGAGGAGTCTGGTAGAACGCTGTTCCTTATTTTGGGCAGAGCCAGTCTTCTCCAGGTCGCACCTCTCTAGCTGTGATGCGGTCCGCGGGGGTGAAACTCCACCAACTCCATAACCTATTTGAACCTGCTTTAGTTTCTAGCCTACTGTTGTTTCTCTCTTTATCGGTGACCGGAATATCTTCCGTGATAATCTTGACTTTCTGCCAATCCGCCAGCCTAAGATCTGACGCAGCCGTGGACACAACAAAAGTAAAAGCTCCACACTGCTCCATATCAGACTGAGGTAGAAATCTGGTATGAGCAAAAAGGCTTTGCTAGACTTCTCAGGTACGAACGATAACGCCAAAGCAGCATCAACAACTGCCTTTTCACTGCGACTATGGGATTGAGCAACCTGACAGCTGCTTCAAATGGGGCCAAAAAAGTGGTTGCGTAAGGAAACACTCGAAAATGGCATGTCTCCACCCTTAAACAACACCAGAGGAGACATTATCTGCTGAGGGTTTGAACCACGCATTGCCTTGCGTCTGTCATGATGGAAGAGTTAGAAGCAGAACGCGCAATATATTTTCATAGAAGACGATACCTGCCTGAATACATGGTGAAGTAAGGCATCATACGCGTCGTAATCCTTGATATGCCCCTGTAAGCTTAACCGAAAACTTTCGCTACTAGAGAAGAATGCTACAAATATAGGAAGGTACTCTGGAACTTGAAGGGGTGTTATCCATTGCGCTTTCCATAATCAAAACAAATGCTGGGAAAGATTAATTGATCGCGCCGACTTTCCGGGACCTGAAGTCGAGACCTTCAAACCTCAAGTGGCATGGATAATCACGTACAGGATGCCATAGTCGCATTGACAGCCACCTCTATCGCACCTGCATCCTATCACTATATCAGCATTGTAAATATCAAGATCGGGGCTGGATGACTCACAAAACCTTGCTCTTACCGTTACATCTCGATTAAGGCAGGCACATGAAAGTTGTGTGGTTCGGATTGTACCTTGACCGTTGTCTAATGAAGCCTGCATAGTGGGGTGGTAGCGGGATAACTAGACAGCGATCGAGCTGGAGGGCCGCTATCTTCTGAATGGGTGGCTCAGGCGTGCATCCGATATACGGTACCATTATTTCTCTTCAACGTATACTGAACGTTCCTGTCCCTGTAAGTTTGAGCCTATCAACAACCTAGAATGGTATAGCACCCGTCCTGAAAATGTAGACCATATGCTAACAAGCTATCCACCGCCGAAAGGACGCAAACCCTTCGTAAGGACTTGAACTCTCGAGCGGTGAGGGGTACTACATTTGAGCGATAAATTGTTGATGATCTAGAACACACAGCGCTTTGCATATGCTTTCAGGCGGTGCATCGAGCTACATGAGACAACATTTAGGTAAATATGTTTAGCAAGTTTGGTGTACCGCAGGACTCAAGCGCATATAGCAAGGAGAGGCTGGAGAGCTAGTGCTAGACTTGAAGGTACTCCGAGCTCTTGGACTAGCCGGGCCAGCCCGAGAGGTTGAAGAGGAGCCGACAATGCTCCGCCACATTGGGAGTATACTGTGGCGGTACACCTGCCACGATCACGATCACGATCAATGATTGGTCCGCGTCTTATCATCATCACGCAATTCCAGGCTCACTGGCAAACTGAACTGCATAACGGCGCCCCAACTTTTTATGACATGCCTTCCAGGACGTAATAAACCTACTACAGGAGCAGACTCATCAAGAATTCAGCTTACTGCGCAATCTACGACTTCTACTTGGGACCTGGGGATGATCGCCGACCTACATGATGCCAACTGTTAACACTCTCCACCTCACACAACGTAACACCACTGCCCTGCTGCTGAAACCCTGCCATCAGACGCATCACCACTAAAGATATTTTACACTTTGTATGTGTGTAGAACGTGGAATTCACATTCCTTGCGAGCGCCATGTCATCTACAGCTCTATCAGCATCGGCATCCGTCCTATCAACACGCAATAGTTGGCTATGCCGTCAGAACGACAGAAGGTGAGTACGTTTGCACCATAAATGTAGTTTCTGCGCTCTTTATTTTGTGGCGGAACAGCCCGTAGGTCCTGGCGCACATGTATAATTTTAGCTCAGGCAATTCCTGGGGTAACATGGTCTTCGTCATTGGTGGAGCTCAGGTGTGTTATTCGTGTGTGCTATAGGATTATTGACGCGAACGTTTTGATCATAGAAGCAGCCCGACTGCTTTATGGTATGCATTCGTAGCGCTCGTGCCTGTTTTGCGATTGCGACTTGCTAAGCACGTTAGTGCCAGTACGTAAAGTATCTTTTGAAATCTTGAGTTCAATATCTTATAATAAATATCAAGAGCTAAACGAAAAGCAATTTCATAATATGCATTTCTACGCCATTCACAGGAAATTCAGAGTAGAAAACCATCGTGACATAAGGTATCGTGAAATACAGGTTAAGTATGATAATCTATTGATGTGCATAGGTGAGCGACAAAGTTCCAGTCCGGTTCCCCAAGAAATAAAAAAAGAGTAAGTATAAACCGATATTACAGGAACAGTCCATCAGTGAGATATTTTAGCGTGAACTCGAACCAGAATCCCTTGAAGCAGAAGCATGAAATCCTCAGCAAAGTTGCCACATCTTGACATAATCACTGTCATCACTCAGGTCAGCGCCGGTTATAGCAAAGATCATACTAGACGCACACGACGAGCGATCTGTCTTCAACGCTAGGAGCCCAACTCGAGTACCACGTGTCCTGCGCCAAGGCAAAATCACGCATCGCAGCTATTACAAGACCGTCCCAATCAGGATCAAAAGGAACGTGGCGAGTAGCAAAAAATCGTACTGTCAGAACCGTCTAACCAAGGTTTCCCGCCAGCGTTATCCGGGAACCATCCATTAGTGCCTCCTACCGCGAGATCGAGGATCAGATAGAAAGCTGTTAAGATGTAATGTAGGATATTTGAAAGAATCTCGAGAAGTTTAACGTACGCTGATCGAATGGAGTAGCATTCGTGCCGTTGACCCATGGGTTCTGCAGCACAATATCCTGGGTTCCATTCTGCACGACAGTGGGGAAGTCGCCTCGAGTGAAGAACGGCTCGTTGAATGAGAGTTCGAGCATGTAGTGCAAACGTGAGTCTACGTAAATTCGGCTAAACTTTATGGTCAGTATGTATATCCTTATGAGAAGACCACGGACAAACGCGTACAGGAAGTCTGGGGTCCATTCCAACGCGTATGTGTGGAAACTCTGTCCGTAATCAGCACGGCGTTGTGTCCACCAGCCGAACGTCTTGTAGACGGCGTTGAGGAACGAGATGGGGCCCCAGTTAAGCGAGCCTCGAACATAGTTGATGCCCCTGTGCGGATTCATATTAGTCAATGAGCAGCACACATATTGATTGGATCCTACTGGTCAGGGTACGAGGATGGGTTACCGCGTGATTCCATGATATCAATTTCACCTGTTGCATAATGAGGATCCCGTATGAATGTGCTCAGGTGGCGGCACTCACCGCTGAGAGGCCAAGGGCCATATGTATTGTTTACGGGAAGCATCCAAATGGCAGGCCAGAACTAATTATCACATTAGTATGAGCATTCATAGTAATCAAAAAACATCATGTCTCACCCAGTCGCTGCATGACAACAGTCAAATCAGCTCCAACGGAAGAGCGGAGATGAAGAGTCAAGACTTACCCTCTAGGGAGTTTCGCGCTGACCTCAACACGACCGTACTTAATACTCGTGGTATTACGCGTGCTGATACGCGCACTTTGCACGGGGTTGATGACGGTACCAGCAGTACTATTACTGACCGCACCACACGATTGGTAGTACGCCGTTGCATCAAAGGTAGTGCCATTTCCTGAGCTTGATGAAGATACCGGGTTAGTGACGTTGTAGGTGCAATCTGTCAGATTGTAGGTGTATCCGTTTAAGACGTTTGCAGTTCCGATGGCATCCGAGGTGAGCGTTGGCGTGATATATAAATAACCGTTCGACACATAAGAGTTATTCGGCGAATCTGTAGTCATTTCGAACTCGCCATTGCTAAATGATGCGGTGAAAAATCATCAACTGAAGTCAATAACTTAAAACTTGTGATGCTGATAATGTTGCTAACCCGAAACCACCTAGTTCGACCTCCCGGAACCAGTTTCCACCAGCTCCAAACACGCTTTCATTGTCATTGAACTCCTCATCCATGATCATACACAAATTTCCGATCACGGGAACGCTCTTGTATCCATAGTAGCACTTGACTGCTGCTCCGATAATTCCAAGGAATGCGGCACCATAAGTGACATAGTACGAAAGGCGAGAATAAGTGTCCTTGTCCTTGACCCAAGACTTGTCGATGGTAGAAGGATGTTCAAGCAGAGTGGACTTGAGGCGTTTGACTGGCTTGACTGGTGTCGATGCTTCAAAATTCATCGTGCTATACATGGTGACTTGGCGGACTGGAGGTGCTGCAAATGCTTCGCGCAGACGAATACCAGAGGAAGTACGAGTGGGCACATCACTGATTCCCGGACTACTGCCGTAGTAGGAGGGGTTTCGTGGAAGATCCTGTGTACTGGCGCGCATGGAAGCGACGCCGCTACGTGGAACGACGGGGACCGGAGGTGCTGGAGTGCCGAGAGAATGAACATCTACACTGAAGCTGCGAATACTACCAGGAGGAGAAAAAGGATTGACATGGGCTGCAGCTTCCGGTGTCGAAGGTGTCGAGGACAGCCGAGAGAGATGGTTGTTTGAATCACCATCCGTAGGGCGTCTGGTCTCTTGATGGATGAAGAACGGGTTATCCGAAGGTCTGGTGGAGGAAGTCGACATGACTGCACGCAGATTGCAGATATACACTAGACTAAGTGGATTTGGAGAGGGTGGAGGTCGAGTCTAACTTGGGGCTTTCAGACACGATTTGCTGGACATTATAAACGATCTGTAATGGATTGAGTTATACAGGAATAAGGACTAGAAAGAAACGCACTCTCTGGCCTTATCGGAGCTCGGAGTCCCAGAGCACTGTCAATCGTCGTGGGAAATACGAACTGATCTAGGGCCAGATCACCCGTCAATGGAATCGAGATCACACGGAGATTGATCGGTTTAGATCTAACCACGTCGTTTCCGTCCCCGCTCCATGAGTGCCGGGACGTAAGCTGAATAAGCACTGTCGCCCTGTCTCTGTGTACAACCATGTCTGTCTGCAGAAATATCGGGAGAACGTTAAAACATATAGCCACTCTACCACATACCTAAGCTGTGCAATTGCTAGCGCTCCACAATGCCAATCAGTCTGGACCTCAGGCCTCAAGTTCCGGGACATGCATCTTGCAAGGCACTACGGCTGTTTATTATAAGGCCCATTGCAGGCCCAGCTATACGATCGACACACCATCCAGGGAGCTGGACTATGTTTGCTTGTCGTGCGATTGTCATGGCCGCCAGTCCTGGGTGCCTGCGATATCACTCAGTGTACAGGGCAGGGCAGCAGAAGCTTTACGACATTGGGTACGTCCTTGGAAAATCATAGCGCCGTGTCGCCACTAAAGGCTCAGGGGAGCTGGCTACCACTCGACCTCGAGTCTTCCTTGTACTTTTTCAAGTTATGCTTGATCGGGCTTGCTAGCCTCTAAGCGCAGCCCGCCCCGCGATGGATCACGGGACACTGTATCCCTAGCTATCATTCGCCATGTAGTCCCCGCCGCCTGTTGACGCACTGACACTCATCGATCGTGAAAAAAAACTATTATAAGTCCCCACCCTGGTCAAATTCAAGGGCATACAATCAAAGGCGAAGGTCAGGAGGACATCACCGCCTTACACGGGCATTCAGTATTCAATATGATAAGAGTAAGATCAGCGACTCGCTGCGCATAGCGAAACTTTTCTGAATTACCTACATCGTCGAGGAATATGGAAATGCGATGCACTCATGTGTACCTTAGTACGAATTCAAGCTTCAATACACTCTGTCGCGAAAAGGAGCCTATCTGCGCAGACGGCATGAAATGTCCGAGTCCTTCTTGTACCTTGGACGGACTCAAGTTGAAGGAATAGTTGGAAAATAGCGCTCAAAGGAAACTCACTTTCCAATCAATAAAGCAAACGCGGCCGAAAGATAGCGCATTGCGAATATTCTTTCAGTGACAGCCAGATCGAAAGAGCTTCTTTGGTGTCTACTGCGAGCTTAGAAGCACTCAGCTCGTTTCAACCACATTTGGGACTCTCATTCTCCATTTTGGTACTCCCGAAAGCGTATAGTGACGTACAGTAGACCCTATTCAGGCAATAGGCGCCATTGGGAGCCTACACACACCTCAAAAACTGTGCACTGTATTGCATCGTTCGAGGGTCAATCGGTCCCGGTCAATCTACCAGTAAGAAGTCCAAGACAGCCCTCGCTTCCGTGATTATTGCAGGAAACCCGCGGAGGGCGACGGGAGTCGGCATCTATCATCGGGAGATAACGAATAAGTTGACCACACCAAAGCCGAAGGCCATTAGTAGAAGGAAAGTCATCATTATCGAGGATATACGTGTGAAATCATCCGCCCCAACATTCCAAAACGTCTTCTTTCCTGACCGTGAACATTGCTGAAGCGCTGAAGAGCTGATTAAATCAATTTTGGGCAGTGTTCTTGCTCAACAACGCTAAGTCCGCACATGAAAACAAAAACTTACGTTGTATTCACCCTCGAAAAACATACGTCGAACTCTTGCACTAACTCTCTTTCTCGAAACTTCATCGCACGTGTCATGACGACGAGGGATTGAGAACAGATTTTCCAGACAGAACCGGCAAGTAAGTTTGTGTCGGGAGTTTATGTCCCAGAAGTTGATACTTGCTCCACATACCAAGTAAATGCATCGTATCTCTAGCCAACCACACGGGTGAGTCTAATGATGCAGAGCTGCTGGAATTCGTGAATGACAACGACCCTTTGACAACGAAGGCGAAGACGAAGTTAAAGCCAAGAAGGGTGACACTGCCCATGCTCTCCAAGTCCCCCGGCAATATGAACTTCGTGGATATACTCACACTCTGTGGAGTTAAGAAGAATAGAAAGCCCGGTAAAGTGGTATCACCCCGAGGACATGGCAGTCGATAATGGTTGAAAATGCAATGCAGTATCCAAAATGACGACAAGAAACCAATGCTCCATGCTCCAGCACTTTGTTCCATACTTCTATGCGGCGATTCCGAGGCCTGTAAAATTCATATAGCAGATCAAAGGAATGAATTGGCGAATACAGGGCTTAAAGATAGGCATTGATAACGCACGACAAAGGTGACGAACTACATCAATGGAGATCTGCAGGTCTAACGCTTTTGAGTTATGAAGTAGTTAGATAAGAGGACAAGATAACAATTACATACAACAAGTAACTGGAAATTAAGCTACATAGACCGTTGATGTACACTCTCTATGCACATTGGCACTAGTGAACTTCCCCTAAACGATAAAAAGGCACTTTTATAATGAATACTTTGAATTGGATAGCTAAACATAGCCTTACCAATGGGCCCGGACTAACACGGAGAATTGTCATTGCTCATTAGTACAAACTTGAATCAAGTAGTGCCTGTCTAAGGAGTGTGAGCAAGAGCGCCGTCAATAGCTAATACTATAGTCCTGTGTTGACTCAGATGCTCCTGTTCAGGGGCAGCGGCGCAGGTGTAGTCCGTCCTTGTTATGAAAAATTGAACCGTCGGGGCGGATTGTGCGATAGATGCTATGCTGTAAGGTCCCATGGAACAGCAATTAACAATATTGGAAGATTAAGCTCCATCGATAATCTAGGGACGTGCTGGGATAGTAGCCCTCCCGCCATTCTTCGGGTTAGCAGCTGTACCTGCAGAAGTCATTTTTGTCAATCCAAAGGTAGGAATGTTGCCTCCGAGGCCTTCAACGGTGATCAACGACGAGAATACGGTCTTCACCATTTCCTTCGCACTTGACAGCTTGGTGCAACATATTGAAACAAATGATAGCAATTTTCCTGAAAATGGTGTGAAGCAAGAGATTACTGACGTTTCGAAGCATAGCGTCAAAGTAAGGCAGCCGTAGGTACTGCTGTCGTCCTTTTCCGTCCTATCATGAAGTGCGGGCGTCCATCACGTGAATTTGCAATGCGCTGCCAGTGACTTCACCAGGTGTCTTTAGAAGGGAAATGCTGCACCGTGCAGGAACATGGGTGCCATGCTTTGGGCAATGCTTGACTAGTGAATCCCGTTGATGTTCCAAAAATATAACCCCTGTCACTCCGTATCAGCAGTCGGTAACGCTAATAAGTGGAATCACTGACTTGATACAGAAAAGCGCCTTGATGAACAGTGTCTTTCCATTCAGTGGTATCGCGCGAAGGAAAAGTAATTGGGTAATTATTAGATTAAAATTTCCCTTGTGCTCATAAAGTCATAAAACTTACTTGGTTCGTTTCGTTGGAAAATAGTCTCATTGCTTAATTGAATGATCTGATTAAGGCTTTGGGGATTAAAATTGATCGCCGTTTGCGTTATTCGGTCGTTTAAGTCCTGGCGCTGAAAGATGAGATACCGGCGATTGCTAATCAGCCTTGCTGGACGTTGTATTGATAATTTCATATCCCCGAGTGCGTCATGTCGTTGAATCACCTACCACAGATAAGGAGAACGAGTGTTTGATGGTTTCAACGCTAAGAAACGCTCGTCAACCATTGGTTCGTAATTTGCACAAAAACTAGCTTGCAACGCTCATTGAGGATTCAGGCGGCCTTGTCTGATGCGGCATACACGAGGTGAAAAGGTAAAGAGGATCACGGTGAATCCTGCATTATGTACTGCTCTGTAGTTCTGTTCGTTTTGTTGCTTCGATGCATGTGTAGGGAAAGTGTCTAACAGCATCGCAGTTTGGCTGTTTGCCAGCGACGGAGACAGCTAGGTTCTCCTGTATCGCTGAGTCGGGATATCCCGCTATGGATTATACGGGTGGTCCCGGCCCGCAAGCACTTTGCCCAAAGGGCTCTAAAGACACCTCCTATTGGAAGCCTCGGAAGTACTTCTCGAAATGGAAGCTATTAAGGAGTCTTATCATGCTGCCATTCTTGCGCGGTGGAGCACCATTCGTACGATTGATGCCGAACGATATCCGAGTCGATCTGATGACGCCTCTGCAGGTATTACTATGTGCGGCAATTGCTGGTTGAGGTAGCCCACACCATTACACGACTGCATGAACGTGTTTGAAGCAGTATTTTCTCAGCGGTCCTCAAAAGGCTCATTGTGCTATTTCCAGGTTGCAGACTTCGCTGTCCAGTGGTCAGCGATTAGCCAGGACGGTTTGTCATCTTAGCTATGTTCTCTAGCATTACCATGCACGAATGATGTTGATGATGATCAATGCCTCAGTCGGACCTTGCAAAATAACGAATGTCTGGTCCTTGATGGCGGCCGCCATGTTAGCAGTCGTAAAAGATAAAGCAGGAGCGATCCAGACTATGGATAGCAGTAAGGGCTCTCAGTGACAAGGTGTTAATTATTGTCAGGGCCCAGCCCGGAGCGGAGACAGGACAGATCCGTGTTAGCGGGAATCTGCCAGATAACGCAAACTTATCTCACGATGTCCTTGTCTGACAGATCCATCTGGAACGAGGGGCGATGGCCACTACCTCCTGGTGAGTCATGCCGTTTTGTTCGCCAGAATGTTCCAAGCAAAGAAGAAGCAAGTACAGCCCCGCACACACGCTCTGACGTCCAGGGACATGTATGCATTCCAACCGTTCTCCTCGATTCTCATTTCCTTTGTCACCCATGTCTGCATTTGGCATTCCTTCACCTTTTCATCTGGCAGCAAATAATTCAATGCCCCAAACACCTTATAACGCCTCGAGGTATCGACCTTAGTTTCTCAGACTCAAGTCGCACTCTCTTGCGTCTCTCTCTGTACCCATCCACGACTTATTACACCATCGTAGGTTGAGCAATGGACTACGACGCGTATGATGCTCTGCTTCATCACGTCTTCCGCCAGGTAAGCATAGTCCCGCCAAATATTCCATTCTTCCATTCGGTTTCATCCATGTCTCGTCGTGACCTCATGCTCGTCGTATCCGATTTATATATGCGTCGTGCTCACCGAATATCCACTAGACTCAAGGTGACGCTTGGTTTAAACCATCAGAGGAGAATATCTCTGCAGGTGTCTGTCTTCGTGTAGAGACTGGTCACTTTCGTGTTTTCCCCTACGAAAATATTCACCTAGCCCCATTTGAGGCGGCCGTCCGCACTCTTAATCCCGCCGTAGCGGTCAAAATTAGGAGTGCATCTGTTCATGCAGCTTTGGCAACAATGTGAGCGTCTGAAAGCTTATTCTAGTAATCAAGCATTTTCTGATCCCATCCGCATTTTTCTCGCCATTGATCCATTTAGCTCCGATCGCGATACTGCAGTCTATGTAGACAGTAACACGAGGATTCAGGTCCTCGACTCTATGAATTTTTTGCCGAGAGCTGAAAAGGAGCAGTGCGGTGCTTTCATCGTACGTATACTCATTGTACGATTCAAACTCACTAATAACTCTTGTTAACTTAGCGTGACGAACGTGTTCTGGTTGTGTGGTCTGATAATTATGATAATATCATTCCGCTCTGCCGCGATTTCGAGGATAAACTTATCAAACTCGTATGGCGCTCTCGCTTAATATTCACTCCTACAGCGTCAGAGCTCTCCCCGTCTGTCTCTACATCAAACGACAATCTGCCAGAGAAAACTACAGATCTCACTGAAAAGATCCCAGTCACTTCAAAGGAACGCGATAATCTCAAGTCCCATGCTTCTTCCAAATCCATATGGCGTTTCTTCAGTTGGAGGTCTACTCGTTCTTCGCACGACTTGTCCGCCCGTGATCCTGAAAGTGGCGTCAAGAAACCTCGAATTACAAGACTGTTGGCTCCCTTATACAACGGTCTTGGCTGTGGCTTGTCTTTATGTAAGCCAAGTGACATTGTAATATTTGTTACGACTAACCAATCAGGCTCCCTTCAGACTTCATTGGTAGCGGTATCAGTATGTTGCTTCAAGAGTCCCTTTTGGATGGTCAGTGGTCCCGATTTGGTCTCGCAGCTACTGTTCCCTTTTCGTTCTGTATATCCCTCGTAAGTTTTTCGCAAACGGATACTCTCCATATACTCTGATCGAATTCCAAACCTTCTCATATAGTTCTTTGCATTGCAAATTGTTGGAGACATTGGCATGATGTGAGTATATATGCCAATGCCTCGAACTTGAACTGATATACGATTCGTTAGACTCGGTCCCGTATCGCAATACCACGAGAACTCACGCTACTATTCCGCTGTTCGGCCTGAGACCAATAAGGAAATCGACTCAGCTCTTCCTCATGTCACTATTGAACTTCCGGTCTACAAGGAAAGCTTGGATCAAACCATGTAAGCTTTGATGATCTCATCGCACGTCATGTTGCAATGTGTCATAGCCCTACCCGTTTATACTTTATCCTTTTTTGGAGTTGCAGCTAACGACCCATTTGTGATTATTTCAAAGTGCGCCTTCGGTTTACTCCATTAAAAAGGCAATGCAAACATATGCTCGTCAAGGAGGCACCTCTTCTATCTTCGTGCATGATGATGGCCTCCAACTCATTAGCGCTGAAGAACGAGAAGCCCGCATTGCATTTTACGCCGATCACAATATCGGTTGGGTTGCTCGTCCCGGCCACAGCAACGCTCCCGATGGTTTCAAACGTGCTGGGCGTTTCAAGAAGGCGTCAAATATGAACTACGGGCTCGCATTGAGCCTCAAGCTTGAGAAGCATCTCAAAGTACTCGAGGAGGCTGAAGCGAGGGGCGAGCTCGACTTTACAGACGGCGAACCTCTAGAAGATCGAGCAATGACCATGGCATGTGAAGAAGTCTACGAAGAAAGCGGCCAGAAGTGGAAACCTTGGGCTTGTAACGGGAAATCAATCCGGGTCGGAGATATCATTTTACTTGTTGATTCAGATACTATTGTGCCTGAGGTGCGTACATCAACTGTCATCGGACTACAGCTCGGATTGAACTCTCGTCAGGACTGTTTTCGGGATGCTGCTCGGGAACTTCACGAAAGCCCAGACGTCGCTATCATCCAGCATAATTCTGGTGTGTATCATTCTTCGTTTGTGTACATACTTCTTTTTTAGGATGCTGAATCATTCCAGATGTCATGCAAGTTGCGCACCACTTTTTCGAAAACGGCATCGCGCATTTCACGCGTCGTATCAACAAATGCATTTCGTTTGGTTGCTCCAATGGTGAAATAGCTCCCTTCGTTGGACATAATGCTTTTCTTCGATGGTCCGCTTTGCAAGATGCAGCATTTATAGATACCGAGGATGGCGTTAAGAAGATATGGTCCGAGTCTAATGTATCTGAGGACTTCGACATGGCTTTACGGCTCCAGGTATGCCTTGAGCTCCTGCTATATCTGAATGGGATGTACGATCCTCACACTTCTGCTAATTTACCATGACAGTTGAAAAAATACATCATCCGATGGGCCACCTATTCCGAGGGCGGCTTCAAAGAAGGTGTCTCTTTGACGGTGGACGATGAGCTTAATAGATGGCAAAAATATTCATATGGTATGTTCCATGTATCATGTCGTGTTCGAATGCGTCTGAAATATATCGATCCAGGATGTAGCGAGCTTATCTTCAACCCGATCGTCCACTGGTGGCGACTGGGACCCATCAACAAACAGCTACGAATATTTATTTGGTCTGACTCTCCCGTTCACTACAAGCTCAGTATGCTTGGATGTATGTTCGATTCCTTGTCGCTCTGTCCTCGATCTGATAATTTCCTGTTATGTAGATATGTTTTCGTACTGTAAGGGCGCAACTCACATGATTTTGCGTATTTCATATGCTCATTGAATCCTAGATGGTATCGCAGCATCTGCCATCCTTTCAGCTTTGAACTATTTCCTCCTCGGGTTCGCATTCGACACAGATGGCTACTACTTGCACAGCTTTGAGGTTTTCCTCGCCATTATTGCCGTCTTCCCTGGTGCCGGTAATTTAGGTTATATTTTTCTTGAATATCGCCTCGGTCACAGAAGCATATTCGACTCATTAATCGAGACTGTCACCTGGGTGCCATTCTTGTAAGCATAACCTATACTGCCATATGATGATCGAGCAAGGCTGACCACTTCCTGTTGTAGTTTCTTCTTCTTCGGTGGCCTCAGCATTCATCTCACCGTCGCTGTTCTCGCACACTTATTCTCCTATAATATTACATGGGGTGCAACAAAGAAAGAGGTCGAACGATCCAATTTCTTCATCGAAGTTCCACGCATCCTCAAACGCTTCTGGCTCGCTTTCGTCCTGTCTTTCCTTGCCTTTGCTGTGATCATCGTCTTCAGTACTTCAATTGTCACGCCTGATTGGCAGGTTCCGGGAACGTACTGGGCCGTCATCCTCCCTCTGTCGTAAGTGACCTTTGTAGACGTAGCCTCAGTGTTGTTTGCTGATGGCTCTCGTTTGTCTTCAGTCTTGTCGCAGGAAGCCATATCCTCTTCCCTGTGCGTATTCCACGTATGGTCCTCCTTACTAGAAATCCTGCTAACTATCGCGAGCTATGCAGATCGTTCTGAACCCCTGGTTAATGATTTTCTCCTACTGAAATTGTTTTACGAAGTCGACTTGTAAGAGTCACGAATGGACATGTCTTGCATAGACTTAGCTAGTCTCCTCGTATATAGTTTCTTCTCAGTATTTTAAAAGTCGAGCGAAAAAGCTGGTAATATATGATTTTGGTTGGTATATAGTGTATCACATTTTTGCAGGTATCTTGCTCTATTGATAGGATTGTATGTAGTCTTGGGCTTGTACTACGTCGCCTCGATGTACTAGAAAGAAAGATAGAGATGAAGATTTTAAACAAATTTTCGGTGCTAATAGTACAGTATTGAGTGATAAGGAAAACCTAGGCAAGCAATGCTATAAAATGTTGAGAGAACAGCGAAGCAGCAAGAGAGAGGCATTAGTTGAAGTGCTATGGATAAGAAAGTGGATGATTCTTGTAACAAGATATGAAAGCGAATGACTCTGGTAGCATACATTCGGACTGTGACCACTGACAATTGCAAGGACTCGAAGGAATCGGCACCAGTATCGTCATGCCACATAGTCGAGTGAATAGTGCGCTCTCGAGCTCGTGGCTCGAACAACGTTCTGATAACCTTTGTCGCTTCTGTCAAATGAGCTATGCCAACGACAAAATGCAATAAGCTTACTATTGAAGACATGCTCTCAGGCTCTATATTCGCTTTATGAGTGTATCACAAGCATTCGCAAGGCGCTTCGGATTCATCGTCAGAGTCTGGGTCTACTTGTGTGACTTCCAGTTAATCTGCAGAATTAGTGAGAGACAATGACTGGGGGACAAACCCTTGATCAGCCCCTAATCCACAGGCGGCACGCTTGTGTCCTCACCTTAAAAGCCAACGTGATCCTCATCTGCGCGAGTAAAAGGTCAGAAGAAAATCACATTGTTTGACGCTGGGGAAATATTAGATACTACTCTTCAAGTTACTAGCCTAAGCAATGGGTCGTGCTATTGCCATAAGTATGCAAAAGAGAGCAGGCAAGGACTAAAAGGGAAGAAGCCACGGATTATCAAACGACCCATGTTTCAGGCTGTGGGTTGGATTTACGCAGACATCTGCAGGCCGGATGTAGTCTCTTCACGTTCCATTTTAATAATGAGAATGGACTCTAAAGCTTGTCATTTACGAGTTACATCTTATCATGGTAAGGGAATGTGAGCCCCAGAAGGCTGCATTATCCCAGCATGATGTCGCTGTGATAGGTAAAGCCAGAGAAGATGGGACGACGCATTAGTACTTGTACAGTTTTAGCAGAGTCTTCGACCTTGACAATCTGAGGACATATACACTATCATTGATATCAAGTTTTCGCCTGCCAACATTCATAGTGTTCCAAATTAAACATTGATTTTCCTCAGTTGACGCCGTCGTCTGCCGAAGAAAACAAGTCAATGGAGCATGCATAATAGGAATATTAAGGGGATGCACCTTCTGCTATGTCGTAGTGCAAAGGGGAAAGGTTTGTCAAACCAGGCTCTCGCTTGTTAAGGTTGGAATCTACTCGAGCAAATTTATCAGCACGTTGAAGCAGTAGAAAGAGTTCTGAGCAACATACCTTCTGCCCATATGTAGAGCCCCCCTTTATCATGTTGACGCTCCCCGCGTTTGTGGCCGTAGTGCCGATTTTGAACCACATTATCATCGCCTAGGACGTAGTCAGTCATATTCACACCACTTGATACTGAGGAAATACTGGATACCATTTTCCAAATTAGTAATGGGTCCTGCTACTGTTATATGCACAAGAGAAAAGGCAAGAATAACAAGAGAACAAGTCAAAGCATGTTTCATCGTCGTTATGCAGGTAGAAAATTCTGTTTAGTTGAGGAAGTGCGGGAATGAAATGAGAACAACATGGAAACGTACTTTATATACTTTCATATAGGCCAGTGAATGCTGGTGTGGCAGGCCTGAGTAACGGCAAACCTATAGGCAATTGCTGAGCTATAAGGCGTGTTCCGTGTAGCATGCCAGTTTGAAACCAGAATCCCGCGTGTCATGTGTACAGGCGATGAATATTAATGAATCTCTGTCAAGTCAAATTATGGCTCCTATTCGGCTCCAGCTCCTTCCAGCAAAACGGTAGCATTTCTTTACCCAAGCTCTAAATCAAAGTCCACGCATTTATGAAGTTAGCGTAACATGCATAATAGCAGTGAAAAAGTGTGACTTAGCTCAGAGAGTCAATATTACTCGTGGATAATAACTTCGACATGTTCTTATATAAATGCTTCCTGTGAGCAGGCGTCAATGGTAGCTGCACAAATTCACCTGCAAAGCGAACATAGTCCGATTATATCATCCTGATAGCAATACAAAGCTCAGGACAGTCGTACCTTATCATTTCGAGACAACGTGACGCATAACCTGTTCCGATACTACTGCGCTTGTATCTCACATCCTGAACCTAACCACGTAAGACCAAACCATAGCCTATTGGAAGCTGTTAGCATGGAAGCTATTAGCAGAAAAAGGCCTGTCAAGGACGCGCTTACTCACCAGTCCTCCAGAACGATGCATGGCATCATATAATGCGCAGAGAGGATCTAGTGCCTGTCGTGCTAGGCCCCGTCACCAATGACTTGTTAACTAGTCTCCCTGTTAATACAAGCCTGACAACAGGGGTCTTAGACGTGACGTGGTGTTCCGGTTCGCAAACATCATGTCCTTCCCCTTCAGATACCAAATGTGATATCCCCAACAAACCACCGTTCCAAGCCAGATGTTTCTAGCGCACCTGTATCTGATCTACGTGGCCATGACCATGATCTGACAGCGCGATAAGGATTGTATAGGAAACAGACAAGTATTGAGGAGATATATCGGAACATATGAAGGTGCAACGCTTTCGAACGATCAGCTAATTTATTCCTTCGCCATTGTGGTGCAGGCATCCTCTCTCTCGACACCTATACAATACTCTTGCGCTATCATTAAACTTTAACCATCGTTACGTTACATTAGCTGACATGTGCCCCATATGTTCAAATTTGCACGCACTTATATCCAAGTAAGCAGGGATGTGATGTGTGCGACATGCATGCATTTGGCGTCTTTCAGTGGTGTCATTGATCGATGATCCCGCCTACGTCTTCAAAAATTCGTTCACATACAAGTCAAGATAAGAACAAACCCTAGGCTACAGACAAAATGATATCTGTCACATAGGCGGACAAAGTGCTATATCCCTCAAACCTTAAAAGTCAATCGAGAAGAAAGTCTCAACGAACACGAGGATCGAATAATGCCGGGGAAGTAGAGGCATAGCATCCATGTGTGCAAATTGCTTTCTGTCAAGGAAGTTGTCATAAGAGCTACATCGAATTCTACGTTGGAAGGTATACCTTCTCATAACTTTATTATCGCTTGTCAACGTCAGTCCACTTGATCAACAGAAGGAGATGGACCCTTTGCTTCTAAGTCTTGATACACAGAGTCGTCGCCATCCGTGGAGGCAATGATGTCAATCGAACATGCATAAAAGGGTTAAACTTGAAGGTATATACCAAATATATCATATGGTGCGTCATAGCGGCCACCACCAATATGAGGCGGGTAGAATCTAGGCTCGCGCTTGTTAATTTTTAATATTTTAAGACCAGAGTCTACATGAACAACAACAAAAGTCAGCGACAATCTCCAATGATTATTCAGTACTCAGGGAAATACTACATACCATCCTTCATATCAGCAACCGGTGCTGCTATCGTCGCTTGGAAAAGCGAGAAAGCGAGAATCAAGAAAGAGCCAGTAGACACAGATTTCATGTTAGATGCCTTGTCGAGTCAAATGTGGATTCGGGGTTATTGAGATAAATATGATCATTGCGCAGCAATATTTTATACTTGCATCCGGGCGCTCTCTGTAAAAGTCAGGATAAGTACTCTACAAGGAAACGAAATGAGCATGCATTTCACTGTTTTCGTCCGGGAACAAGGCACAATCCGGAGTTGACTCGATCATGAACTGCCTCATGGTTTTTCATAGACAAACAGTGCATCACAGTTACTACAAAACTGTAACGTTGCCATGTTTGGCTACGGTGTAGGCTTTATCAGACCAAGTGCCGACAGAATCAAATAAAATTACACACCGGTGCTGCACGGTAATAATGCTTCGCCCTCAGTATCAGCCCAATTGGAGCTTCAACGAGCTGGTCAGAAAAAGACTGCGACGAACTCCGAGTTGGGAATCGATGCTTGTGTCGGAGATGAACCGTTGCCGATGCTGGAGGAAAGTTGTAACTTCAATCATCGTCCTTTCCTTCAAGTTCTTTTGCCTTGAATGAGTGGTTTCCAGATAAAACCCGGAGCTTATGCCAAAGTCAAAGTAACACGTTACCCATATATTACCATTCATTATACTCGAGAGCTGATGGGCGTCGGTGCGCACTTTGGCAACCTTTTTTTGTTTTTTTTTTGTTTTTTGTTTTTTTTGTTTTTGCTAACGCTAACAGTATTGTTTTTCAAATTATCAAAATGAAGAACAATATGTGGTAGATGGTCAACCTGCGCCCTTCTGTGCACTGGCATCCAGGCTGGCACGAGGACGCTTCGAAGTAGCCATCTGAAGTCAAATTCAACTCATTTATGGTACACTCCTCGTATGTTATCGTAGCGTCTCAGGCTATATGGTCCATAACTGGCCCTTACTCGGCAGACTTGTGCAAAATGCTGTCCATAATTTAATTCAATGGGGAGCTTCTTCAATGACACTCCTAATTGACTCACAATAGCTAAGTCTACACTACATCCATGTGACCGTTAAAGTTGTCCTGCATGTGGCAGCAGCAGCACCCCGCTACTGGCTTGCATACTAATAACAAGTTTCTGGCTTTTTACGTTGGACGTGCCCGCACCCGAGTCGTTGGTCTTGGCTCGTAATATTCCGCCTCGCATTTCATGGTCCAAGACTAGTGGTCTATACTCTCTCTTCCTCACATACATCAAGCTTTTGCTGTTGCTTCGCCCGATGTTACCGGCATATTTTGAAGTCGTTCCGAATACGCTCTTATAGCTGGTTACCGCTTCAGTACCACAGTTTCTTATCACCATAAGGTCGAATCAATGACTCGTCATTCCTGGGACTGGTTTTTCATTAAAGGTGGAGAACTCGAACTTGTCACATTCATGTAGCTCCTACTTATCCGAGTCATCACTGGAGTTTCCAGAGGGAAGGCAATGTATCAAATCATACGATGGAAACTGCCAGGGCCAGCATTAGTACTCGGTTCAGCCTCGCTCAAGCCTTCCAGATACTGTATCAAGTATGAATCTCATCTCGTGGCTCCACAGTGTCAGAGATTCGACGGTGATTACTTGCCGAATCCATACTGGAACATACGTCCATGTATAAAGGTTGCTCTGCACGAACCTAACCACCCCTACATCTTCCCCATAGAGGATCATCCTCAGCTTCAAAATATGCAATCCACCAGCATTTTCTCCCTATTCATTCTTGCTTTCTCCCTTTTATGTGTGGTAGCAGCAGCACCATCTCCGAAAAGGCTACAGTTTCGTGAAAATAGTTCTGTTGATCCAATAGCCCAAGGTTTGTCTAGATGCTCTTTTATTCCAACACTTCTAACCTGAGTAGAATCTCGAGCCTTGGGCCCAAACGATGACTACCCAATGGCAGAAGGTATGTTTTGTAGAAACCATTCTTCTACCATCTGCTTTGGTGACAACATAACTTTGATAATAGACTCTGACGATGCTGTGAAGTACGATTCTCGAACATTAGGTATATATTCCCTATCATATCCCATGTTAGAGGGTTTTTGCTGATAATATTTTCTGCGTAGACTCAGGCGATATCAAGCAAGAATCTTAACTCCATCAGCATTATGTCCATCTGTAGAAGGCATGTTTTCAATAAGAATCCTATACACCCATGCTGAATGATACATTTGGGCAGACAGCTCGAATAACCGTGACAAAGATGGCAATACTGAGGCTTGAATGTTACGCTGCTTTAGTTGGGTTGCTGAATGGAATGGGATGGCTTCCCAAAAGGTCTTACTCTTTTGAACTCGAGTTTTGTATTCACTACATATATAAACGGAGAAAAGACTTGCTGAAATTTCTTCTTCTTCGGTGGGCCCTCCATTGAATATCACATGAGATGCAACGAAGAAAGACGTCAAATGCTTCTAGCCTCGCGTCTATCCCGTCTTTCTTTGCCTTTGCTAAGAATGACCGGATGTCTATGGTTCACTCGCACTCAGTTATCAATAGTATGTACGAATGCATTTTTATTCCACAGCTGTGCCTCAGGCTGCCACCCGATACAAATTTTCTAGAAGACCTTTCAACTTTAAACGTTGCTTTTCCTCAGTCAATGTCGTCATCTGTCGAGACAAGCATGTCAATGGAGCATACATGATAGCATTATCTGGGGACGGACCTTCTGCTTTGTCGTCGAGTGCAGAGTCGAATTTCATAAAACCAGGCTCAGGCTCGCGCTTGTGAAGCGTCGGAGTCTACTCGAGCAAACTGATCAGCACGTTGAAGTAGCAGAAAGAATTGTAATGGACACACCCTCTGCCCATATGTAGAGCCGCCCATTATCATGTTTACGCTCTCCACGTTTGTGATTGTATTGCTCATTTTGAACCACATTATACTCATCTGAACAGAGTCAGTGATCATTCACATCAGTAGATGCTAAGGAAATACTGGATACCGTTCTTCGAACCAGTAATGGGTCCCGCAATCGTCATATGCACAAGAGAAAAGGCAAGAATAACAAGAGAAAAAGTCACAGTATAAGGAGATTTCATGGTAGATGTCTTGTCGAGGGACTGAATGTGAATTTGGGGGTTATTGAGACATGATCATTGCACAACAGTCTTTTATACTTGCGTCCAGATACTTCCGGCAGAATCAAATAGCCATATTCTAGCAAAACGAAAAGGTGAGAACTTCGTTAAGTCCAACAAAAGCCAGGATACATACATAGAGGGGATACTTCATGAAAGTAAATGCAGCATCAATGCATACACCTGCTTCCCGCTGAAATAAGCATATATTTCACTGTTCTTCGTCCCAGAAATAAGGCACAGTCCAGGGTGGATCACAAGCTGCCTCATGGTTTTCATAGACAAATGATATTGTGCTTGTACCTGAACTACAAAACCGTGACGCCGGCGTGTCTGGCTAAGGTGTAGCCTAATAGGACAAAACGCTAAGAGGATCAAATGGGATTACACACCAGTGCAGTGCATGGTAATCATATCTTCATTCCCGAAATCAGCTCTATCGCAACTTCACATGCTCTGCATTGTGACTTCGACCACATACCTTGTCCTAGAATCCTTATACATCGTGGGTCTGACTATTGAGAGATGTGAGAGAAGAGGCACTATCCAACTTCTACTCTTGACCTGCCGATGAACATGTTCCTGGCAGGTGATTACTATATGACCTTGACAGGATCTACCTTTCCATTCTTACAAGAAATGTCTAGTGCCATCCACATCCCGCGTGCAGCATTGCAATGAGTACAGTAAGGCTCGATGTAATCCAGCGAAAGGAGTGCAAATGGTGACATGCAAACCAATTGGAGCATGAACGAGCCGGTCGGGTGTTCCATAGAACTGAAGATTTGAAATGATGAGTCGCAGGACGTCGTTTCAACCTTGCAGGGTAGACGAAGTCCCAATGTTTAGACTACGTGTGACCTGTAAAGTGTAGAATCCATGGTACCTCGGGCGATAACTACATGATCACCCATTACTTTGCGTAAAAGTACTCAAACTTGAAAGCCCAAAAATTTGAACCTAGATGAATGCAAGTGCATTAGTTGATCATGGCACGGAAGTGAGAGCAATGTAGACAAGGGTATTGAGTCTGCGATTCCTAATGAATAATTCCAAGTTGCATGTAATCGATAGAAGACAAGCCTGAGAGTAAAGCAATGTTGTGCGGAGTCTGAACCGTTCATGCCTCTGGCGACGATGTCTACGGTTCAGTCTACAGGACACAACCAACCATGGCCTATCCATCCCGTACATCGCCTACCAAACGAGATTCTCTCCTACATATTCACATTATATGTGCACGTCGATATTCAGCCTTTCGATGGCCACAAGGTTCTTCACGGCATAGATATCGAAACCGAGCCCTTTGTATTCGAGACCCTCGACCAGCGAGAACCGCCACTGCGCCCTGATATTTCCAAAATCCGGAATGGAAAATTGCTTTCTTACATTCAAGCAACTCCCCGTTTCTCACAGGTCATAATATCCCATGTATGCACACACTGGCGCGCTATCTCGCTTTCAATGCCCTCCCTCTGGCAACAAATCCATGTCATGTTCAGGGGTGAACCTCCCTTACACCGCATACAATCCTGGATCACGCGCAGCAGGGAAATGCCGCTCTATATTGATATCCATTACATAGGAACTGATGAGGATCGACGTCAACTTCCCACTAGTTTGTGCTCTCTCTTGATATCACTGCCATCAACTGACGCAACTCAAGTAGCAAATGCAAATGCCTCTCTCGCGTCCCTGGACAACGTGACAGATTTCCTCTCGATACTTTTTCGCCAAGTTGCACGTTGGCGCGTCTTCAAATTTTCTGCATTTGATTACGACCTTGCCTACGCAGCCTTTGATCTTCTCTCTGGCCTTTCTCTGGCACAGGCGAAGCAACTCCAAGTATTTCAGCTTGAAACAGAAAACCCACTGATTGGTCCTCTCGAAAGAAAATACAGACTCTTTCATGATGGAGCTCCCCAATTACAAGAGCTCGTTTTGGATGGCATACGCATTGACTGGAGCCACAGCTGGTTAACGTGCCATTCTGACCTCGTTCATCTCGAACTCGGACGCCAGGCTTCCTACAATGTTGGGCCGTCGTGGTCACAATTTGCGCAGTTTTTGCGTACCGCACCCAGGCTCAAAACACTCAAGTTATTCCATTCCTGGCCCTTAGGAGACCAATCTTCATCAGAAATGGAAATGATAGAGTTGCGCTCCTTAGAGAGTCTAATCCTGGTTATGATCACACCCTCTGTTGCTTTTCAAATAATTCGTCGGCTTCGGTTGCCTCGTCTTGACAACCTTCATCTGGAGCTGTTATTTTCATACACCGCGGATGCTTTCATGGAGCATTTAATGACTCCCACATTGCCTATACATGGAAGCAATGCGACCAGTCTCCTTTCCAGGTTAAAAGTACTTGAGATTCTTGGTCTATCTTGCAGCGATAGCTGTATGACTAGGTGCTATGAACAGCTGACGAATCTCAAAACACTTAGGCTCAGTGCCTCGGCGGTGTATTTCAACAAGAAGCTCTACAGAAATCTTATTCCCACCAACTCCAATGAAGGAGTTTATCTTCCTTCTCTCACTACTCTAATCATCGGTTTTGTTTCTGGGGTAGAAGTGCGGGATATGGTAGCGAGAAGAAGAGATGCCGGGGTTCAGTTGAAGGTTGTGTATATGCCATCCAAGGATCAAATGAAAGAAGATGACACAAGTTGGTTGGTAGGAAACCTTCATAAATTTGGGATTTTCAAACCTATATCCATGCGAGAAATATATGCATGATAACATGATAAACAATATATATATTGGTCCGTTTGCTTATCTATATCCGTATGGTCTTTCTTTGCTGGTGAATATTACCCCGAGGCGACTGGAAGCTACCAGCCAGTGAGGTCTCATTCAGTGAAGCACAGCATGATCATGTCAGGACCTCCGTGAACTTGTCGGTGTATCTAATTATTCACTAACATCAATCATCCTCCCGCGATCATTCCCTCACACTGTAGAGACTTCTCTCAGCGTCCTTTGGTACGTGTACCTTAGTCGATCAACCGCAATTAATTCATTGGCTGACTTCGTCCTCTTCGCAACCACGATCTCACGGGACTGGAAGCCATATCTGCATATGGCCAATGCCAAGTCCTTCAGCCCTTGATATACACTCTCACTATCAGTTACGACAGTCATGGTATGTGGTTGTCAAAAGCGGTCTCTGAAAGGGTTGGGCTTTCAAAGATACGTCTATCATTTCATATACTAATGACTGTAAGTAAACAGTCTTCCCGCCATTGAGTTCGCTCGGTACCTACGATGATACCGAGGACGTCAGAAAACCGAGGACTTCAGGAAGGGAAACTGTGATTTGATTCCACTCGGAGGAGAAAAATGATCAAACAAGAGGCCAAGAGATCTAGAGGAACGTGAATGAATGTAAACCTTAAGGGGAATATACAACGCTGTTGTGGAAAGGGAGGTAAACGGAGAATCGAGGATGCGAGTCAATGAGCACTCGATAGTTTCAATTTTTGGACCATTAACAAAGCGTACATCAACACCATTCGATTCATACATGGGTCATCCACAAAATCGGTACTGGTAGATGGAGGAAACGGAAACCCGAGGGTTTATTGGTGTGGTTAGCCGATGTTTCCCCATCCCTTACGAGATAATGACTCGTAGCAAGTATGTTTGGCGGGACTCTTATGAGAAATGATCATCAAACGCAATAGTATAAATGCAAGCAATAGAACACAGTTTATACTTTTCTTCAATGATGTATAACTTTGGATACTGTTGACCTTGGAACATATATTGTCCATACAACCCACCCTAATAGTATATTTGGTACATCAACGGACCCGAATCTCGTGCTGAGAGGAACACTAGTGATAATGGACACAGGACAACAACAGCCGCTACATACATTAATCCATAATAGGCGGCATAGCTTAAATGGTTTTCGAGGTGTTATGTGAACGATCCGAATGATCGGCACTCAAAACGGACGTGAGTGCAGTACTCCGAATAGTCGGAGTCCTAGACAGATGACTGAGGTCCACAGTGGTGAAACTCTGTACGGTGCTTGTCCGTGAAGTATTATCGGACTGGGAGGAATCGTACGAATCAATATCTTGCCCGTTTCGGAATACCCGGTAGAAGTATGTGACGATGACGAGAAGGTTGCAGACAACCAGCCCACAGGCACCCTGCAGGAATATATAATGTAATCTGTCAGTTCAGACTCAAATAGAAAATGATGCAGTAACATATACCTCTAGATCCGCCGTGATACCTCCCATGAACCCCGCAGCCGGAACCAAAAATACAACATGAACTATACTAACTGTACAGCTGAGTATACTTGACGAGAATACAGCAAGGATTAAAATCCTTTGGTTCTTTGGTAGTTTGACATGCCATAGCATACGGAGGGGCATGGCTACCAAGATGATATCCGATATCAAGTCCGCTGTAAATGGATTCGTCTCCATAAGCAAGTCGTATATGATCGTGCGAAAGCTTACTACAAAGCTCAATCAAAGCGATAGTCAGCGTGAGAGGGCACTGTATGATTGGGTCTTGATACCATGATCGGTCTGCACCGCAGAGATAGGCTTTGGCGCTGAATATTGTAGCCCACATAAAGAAAAATACGACTGCTGCTGCGTAAGTCAGACGCCGGAAGGTAGCCGAGGGGGGAGCTATGCGTATTATAGAGAATACAATGCTCATGCGAGCTGACCTGGATGGAATAACCACATCAAAACCAAGCTGATGGAGAACTCGTACAAGCTTACCAGATGACACACGTGTACGATAACAAAGTCAACCATAACGAAATAATGTGTGACTGTTTTCCACCGTCTTTCAAATTGTCAAACACAAGTCGGAACGAGCAACGCTCAGAAGTATTGTAGAAAGAAAAGACATACCGGCTGCCACCAACGTCCAAGTAGCCACGACACATATGACATCAAGTCCTAGTGCAAGAGTTGCCCAAGCATCCTCCCACCAGAAACGTCGCATCTTAAATCTCAACCACAATCTAAATGTCGTCGCTAGTAAAGCTATTCCGTGAATCACTGTCACCAGGACTATCCGCTCGTGGGCTCAGACACAGATGAACAAGTCCATGTAAACAAAATACCTCACCTTCCAAGAAAAACACAATTTCAGGTGGTGGATACTCAGCTGACATGAATGTAAGGCCGCAACTTTTCGTGAGCGTGAAAGAGTTGAAAGTGATACAAGCGGGGAATTGTCTAGGTCTTCAATGTATGATCACGTCTGAAGGCCTAAACTGTATTCCATTAGCGTACCGCTTGAGCAAGCGTTCAGTCAAAAATTATACTGTTCAAGACAAGGAAAGGAATTACGGCAAAACAGTCCATGAAACTTGAAGCCTTGAGAAAGTCACGTACCACTAATAGGAACTTCCGCCTGCCCATTCAGTCATACCATGCCTCGAGTGTGTGAGATATTCCAATTGGACGACACCTTTCAACATGGTTAAATGCCAAATGGTCACTTGATCGCCCATTACGTTTTCCGCTCTAAATGGCTCTGACCATAAACATCTCCGTGCGGGAATCGAGTTGCCACTGAGCGCTGCATACCCTTTTTTTCAACGAGAAGACAAGACGACATATACCTCTTCAAGTGATATAATCCATATACTTTTGTTGCAATAGATGAAAAGTAACTTCGTCAATTGACGACTAGTGTACCACCCTGGCCGGCCTGGGGTGATAAGATGACTTTTCCACCTAACACAGTTTATATCATGATATACTGTAATTTGGTTCTTTCCCAGCGGGGTTAAAGATTTAACCACTCACGAGAACGATAGGCGCTCAATTCCGACAACCCGATTGGATTTGAGAAGTTAGGTCTTAAAGTTCAAGTTGTTGATCAAAGAGTTTGGTAGAGCCTCGCTGCCACGATCAGGCTAAGGGGTTGGCCCTGAATCCTCTGGCGTGGCCAAGCAACGGTAGTGAGGACGATATCGTATGCTGCTGCGCGCCTTGAGCAAAAATGTTTGGCAATATAGACTAATTCGAACCCATTTCCTTTTCAAAGCTATTGTCAAGTACAACTCTCGCGGCCTGTCCAAAATATATAAGGGCTGCTTACCATCAACCTTCAGGCCCTGAATCTCCTAATTATAGTGGTCGGATGGTTACAGTTGAAAACTCTATTCAATCCGGACTTCGGCATCGCCATTTTGATTCTCCGAAAGTAGAGAGTTAGTGATAGACTCGAATATCAAAATTATTTTTAAAATATAAGTTTTGCGTGGGGGGTTTGGAAAGCGAGAGTTTGGGTACTACAAGACCCATTTATTCCAAGAAAAATCAGGGCACCGTGCTACTACACATGATTTGCAAGAAAATAAAACCCCACAACGAGTGGCCATGTATCACTGCAAAATTTCCACCTCACCATTGTCAATCGCGAGCCGCATGCCGGCTATCCTGGCCTCTACAGATGAGATGCGAGTGTAAGTTGCATGGCTCACCCCAGTGACATAGGGAGAGGTGGTCTGCCTTAAAACATAGAGTGAGAAGACATCATTTGGTAAAGAAAGGATGAGCATACCAGGCCACAAAAATACCAATGCGACGACCTCTAGTCACTAGATAATATTGCCCCTGCACCCCAGGCTCCGGCACATTGAATGCCCAGCCTTGATAGGTCTGGATTAAGACGGGAGCAGGAGCAGGAGCAGCCCCAACCGCAGATGTGGGTGATGGGGTAGGCGGGGTGCGAGCGGGCGAAGGGGAGGGCGGGGCAGAGACTAGTGGGGAGGAGGTGGCCGTTGCTGGGCTGGGCACTTGCGCCAAAGGGGTGGTGGCCATTGGAGGGGCAGATCTCCCAGTTGCAGCAGAAGTTGCACCAATATTGGTGTGATCCAGCACCGCGGACACCAACCTCATGGCACTGATGCTGGAGAGATCGAGGTTGGCCAGTAAGGCCAGCACGATATCTGAATAATTTCAGTTAAATAATACATTAAAACAAATTAGTATGTACCTAGCGTTTCCTGGTTCACACTTTCATTGTTCTCTTGCACAGACTGTGCGCGTGACTTGCCAGAAGAGCCACTTGGATGGTCGGGGAAAGAGCATTGAGTCATTGCAGGGAGGGAATGGATGGACTCAACAATGGATTGGGAGGGTACAATAGCTGCTTGGAAGTGCTTTACAAACACGCACCTTTATACCACGCACCTTAATACCATACACCTTGATATAGAGGAAATGTTGCCCCCATGGATGTAGCGCTGAGGTCCTTGAGGACAACAACAAGGAGGAACAGTAAAAACTTTCGAGCAATCAACGAGCGATCACTTCTGTCATTCACATCATGTGACCACATACCTAAAATGGTGTCCTCAGTCTATCGACTCCAGAGTTGCACTTCAGAATCCTTGTCTGAATGCATCAGACAAAGCTCTTCTCAGAGAGATAATCAGAAGACAGGTAAGGCCTAAGATGTGCATCCTTGATATACTAACACACCATTTTCTTTGGCGACAAGACAAATGCGTGCCAAGAAGTACCTGTTCTTAGATTTACCACCTGGACTATCTGAGTCTCCAGATGCAAACTCTATTGGACTTACAGACATGGATAACATGGGATTTGCAGCTCGAGTGGTTGTGGTGGAGTTTGGAGGGAACCAACATTGAAGTGGGGGTAGTGGGTTACTGTAGATGAAAGGAAAGGACAAGAAAGGGCTATAGTGTAATCAAAGTCAATGTCATGTGTTGTGCAATGGTCAATCTGATTCAGATAGTCTGGATGATAAGGGCCACAAAAAGGGTTGAATATAGAAGAATAACTGCTCGGCGTCGAATAAGAGCCACCATTTGCACTGCCTTGGCTAGTTGAGAAGCATCAGTCGCATGTGGGCTGTGTGGTAGAACCGGGAGTGAGGATTAGTGAGGGTTTCTATCATAGGATGCTCGGCTACTGGCTTGCAGGAGTTTCAGACTTAGTCTGGCATGTCCGGTATCACGAGTCCTGATTATAACATTGCGCTGCAGAATGGTAATGCTAAGTACATAGAACTTCTAATAGATCATGCCTGGGCCCCATTGTCCACATCTGCCTGCCCAGATCCATTGCCATCTGAATCAGTCCATTCATGCATGTAGTCACTTTCGTCGTCATTAGAGGAGAATTTGTTTGCGCTTGAACTGCCTCTTGTGTACGTTGGCGGCCTATAGACTGGAAGGTCCATGAGAGGCATGAACTCAGACCCCACGAATCCTTCATCTGGCAACGCTTGTTGGTCCATAACGCCTGTTGAAGTTCGACGTTCTGTATTTCAGTTAGATGTGCAAGTAAGTTGAGATACACATCCCACGCATTATCTTGTGTAACTATGGGCGAGCCAATACTAGAGATAAAAGCTGAAGCTTGCTGCGCAAAAGCGGGGGGAACGAGTTCAAAGACAGGGTGATCAGGAGAAGCATACATATTTCTGACTTCGTTAAGTGATGGTAAATGTACTTTGACCTGTTTGATACAATTAGTAATAGACTTGGATATCGCCCTATGAAAAACATATAGAGAAATCTTGAGATTCGAAGTTTTCTGGCTGTTCAAAAATGTCGGCAGGGCGTCCATGGGGCAGGATCTTGTTGCGGTTGTGCCTAGGGAGGGTATGGTTGAATCTGTCCACAAAAAGATCGAGTTCATCTTGCAGCCAAGGGATGAAAATGTAGTGAAATGTCAGCCTAATGAGCAAATGCCATTAGATGCTATCAAGTCCGTTTTTATAATAACTCACCTTTGCAAAGGGTCATCTGGATTGTATAAACCTTCATTCAGCCCATAGTCGAGGAGGCGTTCAAAACCAGGAGACCATCGCCTACGCAACTGGTTCCAGAAAATTTTGGGCTTGATATTGCGGTGCGACCCTTTAAACTTATGTTGTAGAGTTCATTCCAGACTAGGGTCTTGAAGGTGGCGCAGAAGAGTGTGACCGTTCACAATGCCATTGTTTTCGGATCTGGGGTCACTTTGGGTCACCAATGGCATGCCTAGGATATCATTAGAGTTGTTAGTTTCAGTAGTGTGAAGTGCTGAGAAATGCTTACCGCCAAGTTTTGCGACAGTGTCACAATACCAACCGCATATCAAGCGGGGATTGCGGTTGGTCCACCAGACCTTGAGCCATAAAACCTGCCCCGAGAATGGCTCCAGCCCAACGTGTAGGAACAATTGGAACCGTCGCCATTTGTCGTGTTGGTCAAATGACCATAGATTGTTGACACCCGCAGTCCAGTAGTAGCTCCGTTTGAGCCGTCAACTTCTCTGTGCAATGACCTCTTGACGATGGTGGGTATTCATGTATTCCAAAATTAGCCGGCTATATCACAAGGTAAGTGGATTAAAGTGTCATTCACAAAATAAACTTACCGTGGTACCATGATCTTCTCTTCTTGTAATAGAGTCTTTTTCATGTCATGGGAACCTTGCACAGGGAAGTGGGTGCGGATACATTCAATGGCGGGACCTATGCTCTCCAGGGTGTGGGCCTGCCCACGTGCACTCTTCAAGCCCCACTGCATGCATTTCTTTTTCAGGAGTGCCAGTCTATACAATGACACCAGTATGAGCTTTTAAATACCTAGCTACAGTGTTAACTTGCTTGGACACGTACAAGAGTTGGAATTGGTCTGTATCATAGTGTTTTTTCAGTCTGTCAACTATTTCTTGGTTTGAATACCCAGCACTGACATACTGTTCAATCAGCAGACATACTATCCCATCAGGCACTGATCAAGTATTAGCAGCTAGCTGTGAGCATAAAAAAGGACTTACGGGGAGGAAACCTAGTGCCATTTCATCCTCTTGGGTTAGGCATGGGTTACTAGGAGAGAGACAAGATGGAAGTGTGAAGTGTAACTAGTGGACTACCACATGTAAACTGACCATCCCATACTAGTCCTCCAAGTCGTGTGAATCAGCATGGTTGATCAACACTGTGACTGCCATGTGTTAATCATGTGTTATACCATGTGTTCAGACTGTCGTTCTAGGTTTCAGCCACCTTGTTCTCAAACTGGGCTTGGAGGTGAGCACTGGTAAGCTCTGATCACTTTGCAAACTGAGAATGTTTGCGAATGACGTCCAACTTGCGAGTTGCCAGTGAATTTCTAGATGGCCGCCACCTTGTTCTCAAACTGGGCATGGAGGTGAGCTTGGATCACTTTCTGAACTCTTAATATTTGTGAACAATATCGGATTCCGTGGATATAGGTGAGCATTATCATATCATATATAACTCACTAGCAGATTGAATACTCAACACAACCTCCCATGGCCGACTTCACTCCTTCAAACCAAGTGGCCCCCAAAAAATGTGATCAATGTAGTGTCCTCTTCCACCACAGCACTGTAAGGACCATTTCATTATTTTCCTATCCTTGCTATGTCTTGGTTATCGAACGCTTTTCCCGTTACACCTCTGGCTCTAGGGCTAGAGGTATCCTTTGCCGTTTTTGCTTCTCATAGCCCTCACAGGCTTTCTTAACCATCACTACCATTTTATATCACAGATCAGAGACTGGGTATCACTCCCAGCCAGCCAGCACACTGGGTAGGGACTGGTAGTAGGCATCTTGCCAACCAGCTCCAAGCCCCAGTAAAGCCTGGTAATACTAATAACGCCTTATCTAGGATCGTACCTCATCATGAGGATACGGTTCCTGAACACGCGTGACAATTCTCTATTATTAGTATAAGTCTCTCACCTGCTGATTAATTCAAGTCAAAAGTCGTACGATAGTTACTCTCCTTTTTCCTATTGGTTGATTAATTCCTCAGACCACTTTTCGTATATTCTCCTTTTGGTCTGAGGAACAGACAGTTCCCTATATAAAGCTGTACCTATTCATGTATGGCTCCTTAGTTTTCTATTACTGAATTTACCCGCTTTACTCCTCAACAAGAACCTTTGAAGCTTACCTCTCAAAGTCCTCTACTCGCTATATTTGCTAGCGTCTGTCGACCTCAAGCTCATTGAACCCTTACTCCCTGCAAGTGCAGAAGGAGATAGGTTTAGTTTTTGTTATAGTTTATCGTTGCCTCACAAAATAGAAAACTCACTCTACAATCCGTTCACAGCGCACCATCTCGCTTGAACCCATTATAGCCCTAACCTACCTTTTCCTTCATCCCTCGGACGTGTTGTCATTCACCGTCCTCCTACCCATCCAAAACATCCACTTGCCTTCTAGCTAAGCTAGCTAGTTGTCCTCTCCAACATTCCTACCCACCTCGAAGTAATACTCTTACTTGTTCTTGCTCAAGTCCTCACCCTAGCCGTCGTCTTTGATCACTTCTACAATCGTCAAACTGTCGAACATCAGAGAGAGCCTAGTAACGGACGAAGAACGACGTTCACTCGAGGAATTCCACCGCGCCCTCAACAACCGAGACCTCCACGTTGCAGTGCCTGCCAGCGCTGCCACGAACCCCCAGCCTGCCCACAGCGACACAGAAATGTGAGGCAACAATAAACTATAACAAAAACTAAACCTATCTCCTTCTGCACTTGCAGGGAGTAAGGGTTCAATGAGCTTGAGGTCGACAGACGCTAGCAAATATAGCGAGTAGAGGACTTTGAGAGGTAAGCTTCAAAGGTTCTTGTTGAGGAGTAAAGCGGGTAAATTCAGTAATAGAAAGCTAAGGAGCCATACATGAATAGGTACGGCTTTATATAGGGAACTGTCCGTTCCTCAGACCGAAAAGGGAATATACGAAAAGTGGTCTGAGGAATTAATCAACCAATAAGAAAAAGGGGAAGTAACTATCGTACGACTTCTGACTTGATTAATCAGCAGGTGAGAGACTTGTACTAATAATAGAAGATTGTCACGCGTGGTCAGGAACCGTATCCTCATGATGAGGTACGATTCTAGATAAGGCGTTATTAGTATTACCAGGCTTTACTGGGGCTTGGAGCTGGTTGGCGAGATGCCTACTACCAGTCCCTACCCAGTGTGCTGGCTGGCTGGGGGCGATGGCCAGTCTCTGATCTGTGATATAAAGTGGTAGCGATGGTTAAGAAAGCCTGTGAGGGCTATGAGAAGTAAGATGGCAAAGGATACCTCTAGCCCTAGAGCCAGAGGTGTAACGGGAAAAGCGTTCGAGAACCAAGACATAACGAAGATAAGAAAATAATAAAACGGTCCTTACAAGAAACTGAGTACTACGAAGACTCATCAGCCGCCTCTTCCCCCATCTCTGAACTAGAAGGACTAGTTCTTGCCGTCAACGATTTAGCATTCGAAATCTCCCAACTCCGCCAATACGTCACGCTTACTCGAATACGCATCCGCAGCTGCTCAAACTTGCTTTTGGGAATCCGATCAAGCGTCCAGAGAATTGTTCAGGTTCAATTCGATACACCTAGAGCACCTACCGATCGAAGTCTACGAACAGAGAATTCTAGAACCCCCTCGTCGGAACGACAGTGAAGAAAGACGAAGCCCTCAGACGACGGGCGGCAGAACATAAAACAGCTCTTCTCATACTATCCAATGGAATCTCCCCACGCATCTATCACCTTCAGGACTACGTTGAAACTCCCCAACTTGCGTTCTCGCCAGAACAGGACAGGAGAGAGATCCATTACCTGCTTCCCTGTGGAATCATCATCCACCGACGACCCTACTCCGCACCCTACCTAGAATTCCTTACGCCATATCTCGAACCATCCAAAATTGACGTATACGTTACAGCGTCATTTAATCCTATCCCTGTTGAACTTCTTTTTACAAGAATTGGAATTTACAAAACCGATCTCATCAAGTTCTATCGGGAAATACCATTCTTCTTCGATGTCCCCCTCACTCCCGAACAGAACGACGCCTTCAACCCACGAGACTATCTTAAGACAGGAGTCCACGTATTAGTTGTCACCCCTTTCTGCCACGACGCAATACGAAGGATAGTAGCCTGCATATCGCAATTTCGCAGACTAGTGTTTAAAATTGGACACGAGATCCTCGAAGGAAGGAATTGGGAAAGAGAACAAAGACAGATCAGGAACGTCTGTCGATTGTTCAGAGAATACCAAAACTACGGGAAAGAAGTTTTTAATTTAGTCATCCGCCACCCCACAGATCGTTTCATCGTTACCAAAATCAACACCGAGTTCTGGGGAGTGCTTATTCGAGATAACAACAGAGTCTACTCGCAGTACAAACCAGGGTATCATCTGACTAGAGGAAATTTTTCTTATATTCCTCCCGTCTCCTCGTTGATCCAAGGAAATGTTCTTATTGAAAGAACCCCCTCACCAGACGAAGCAACCTCGAACTTGGACAGTAACTCTACCACTAGCTCACAGGTAGAAAGGGATTTGGAAGAAGAAGAGAATATTTTTGGATTTACTTCTAACGATTGGAGTGACGAGTTTGATTACGACTCAAACTAAATAAACCTCGTTTCAATCCTCCAAAAGTGTTTTCCGAATATCAAAACCCAAAGCTGTCCACAGAGCCAGAGACTCCACCTAGACAAACCCTACCGCTACCACCTACACGCCCACCTCCACCTCCAATTCCTCCAAAACCCTCATCCATGTCTAATCCCACGCAGTTACACGGCAAAGTAACACTCGCAGCAGAACCCTTCGAATTCAAAGGAGAGAAGGAACGATTCATAGCATGGCGCCAAGCACTACAGTTGTACTTAACCGCCTACGCATCCTACTTTCCAGACGAGAAGACGAAGCTCATCTACCTCCTGTCCAAAATCAGCGACCAAGGAACGTCGACAGTAAAAGCTTGGAAAGAGAACGTGCTTACCAAAGCTCTTGACGCAACTACCCCCGTATGGCCGACTCTCTCGACCGTCCTAACCGATCTAGGCCAAGTATTCGGGAATCCAAACGAAAGATCGCAGGCGGTAAACGAGATCGAGATATACAAACAGGAGAATAAGCATTGCGACGAATTCTTTAGCCACTTCACAACGCTCATGGACAAGGCTGGATATGACGCTACCACTCACTTCAACGTGATCAATTGTATTCTCAAAAAGAATCTTCACTCTTGAATCTGTGATTTCGTCATCATCCAGAAAGACCTACCGAAAACATTTGCTGAGTGGAAGACGCAAGCCTATGCATGGGAGGCAAGGAGAGAAGAGTTCCAGTTAGACGAAAGACGAAAGAGAGAAGTCACGCAGCCGTTGCGACCTATCTATAGACAACAGACGTATACGCACCAGCATGTGCAACAGCCGCAGCCACAGCAGATGGCGAGACCCCAGACAAATCAGTATGCAAGAAGGTTCGAGGATCAACCTCAGGGAGGTGTATTCCCCGGACAAGGTGTACCTATGGATACAGACCGACAGAGTCGGTTCAGATTATGTTACGGATATGGCCAGCCGGGTTATATTGCAAGGAACTGCCCTCTGAAGAAAGTTGCAGCTAGAGAAGCAACCACAACCCAGGAGGAGACGAAGACGAAGGATTTTCTCGAAGGTCAGGAGTAAGCACGGACTCTCTGACCAGTAAGCACGGTTCAAAAATGTATTTGTAACTGATAAATCA